AAAATCAAACATTAAGACATTCATGTCTTCTACACATGGAAAAAGAGCATGAAGACATCTACACCAGGTTTAACAAATAATATGATGTATCATTTAGCCTGATTTAAAGCAGTTGAATATATATTATACACACTCTAAATATACACTTCTGAGCTTTAATATTTTAGCATGATAAATTTGATTATATTTGTTTTCCTAATGTTCACGGTGTATAACCCAAACGCTCCTACATGCACGACGGAGCGTTTCATTACTGAAATTAAACAAAGAAACGCTCCGGAGTAGGAAAACTGGCTGGCGGGAATGATGAGCCGTCTGACGATTTCCCCAATAATGGGAATAAGAGGTATGAGTTACATATTTCGAGTATACCATTCGATGGGTGTGATATTCATGTTGTACTTGGCTGGCTGTTGACGTTTGAAGCAATTCGGAAGAGCTGTACGAAGCAGTATAGTTATCAAAATCCAAAAACGTATTTGTCATTCTACCGGTCAAAACACCTTTTGTCGATACATGTGATTAGTTGAGCCAAGATTAGAGCACCAACGTATATTTTAGTCAAATTCCAATGCTTCAACGCACCATATATTATCGGAATAGTGATTTGATGACCGAAAATCCAGTCTTAAAAATGATGACATTCTCATATTCAAGAAACGCTTCGATCTGGTTAACACAGTGAACTGGAAACGCTCCGGTAGTCTAGATCTGTTTAGGAAATATATAGCTTGCCTTTCCTTTTCAGGAAGAGAAAGAAAAGATCTATTATACCCCTTGGCATCAAAAGAAGAAAGATTAATTTACATATAAATTTTCGTTTTTTTCTATAGTTTTATGATTTAGCACACATGTAGGCATGACATCATCTAATGTAGGCTTAAATCAGCTAGTTGCACGTTTAGCACCACCAGGTTCAGATGTTTCAATTTGCCTAACAAGTACAACACGTTTTTGAGAGAAATATTCGATTCGGAACTCTTCTCTAATAATCTGAAAATGATATCAAAACAAAATGGTAAGAGCGTTTCTAAAATTGTGTTCTAAATCGACGGAGCGTTTCGAGGAAAACAAGCGATTTCTTGAAAACAAGTAATGGATTTGGACTGGGATTTTAGGAAATGAGAATATACGCGTTTGTGATCTACTACTTTTACAGAAAGATTTGCGTTTTCATAGAAATACTAGTTTAATTCGTAATTTGTGGTCAAATCGTCATCTTCAGATTCGTTCAATCTACACTAGGGAGCTTTGATCAAGCAAATAACAGTTTACCACCAGAAGTTGAATAAATAAGATCTTTACTCACGGTATTGTTCATCGAATGGTACATAATATTTCACCATAACATATGATATGTAAGAGAAACGAGAGAAACAATACTGACGGTCATAGTGGAATCTTCATTAGCCGCCATTTTATTTCGCTCCGGAGCGTTTCCGCGTAAATGAAACGCTCCGTCGTGCATGTAGGAGCGTTTGGGTTATACACCGTGATGTTGCTCTTTGAGCTTTAAATTGAATATGTGGCTGTCACATATCAGACATAACTCATTGATAAATCAGTTTACATTTTCTAGGAGTAGGCATTTTCTCACCTATGCAATTGGACACATGCAGCTGCTGTTTTAAGAAATCACAACAAACTTCTATGACATCATGCAGTCCAAACATGTCAGCAGCAGAGAGCAAATCTTGGCAGTTGTCAGTGGTGACAGTTATCTCACCTGTATATATATGAAACAAAAGCATCACAATTAGTACTTACGCAAGAAGGCTATATAAGACATGTATGTATAATGACATAGAAAAGATGTTATCAATATCTCAAGGGAAATATATAGAGATTATCCTAGGCTATATGAGATTCAAGATATATGGATTATCTTTTTTTGCTTGTGAATATAATCTCTCAAGGTCAATTTAAATGTTGATTTAATATACAGTTACACACCTGAATAAATAAAATCCAAAAGAGAGGTGAATATCTCTGGTTGAACTTCCCGGATATGTATGATATCCTTTCCCTCTTCAGACAGACCTCCAGTGAACATAGCATGGAAATAACTGCTACAAGCAGACAGTACATTCCTGTGTACCAAATATGTCTCTCTGCCAATCTGCAGCCTTACGTCACATAATTCCTGTCTGGACCACATTTCTTTAAGTCCCTTCAGCAGGGAGTTGGAATGTGCGGAAGAGACATGGTGCTCTCTGGCCTGTTCCTCCTTTATTTGATGATGCTCTCCAATCTGGGTAACTATTGATGACATTGTTTATGTAACCAGAACTGGACATTCCTTGACACCATGTTTATACTTACACTGTACAAGTGAATATTGATGTCTGTGTATGTGTATACATGTAGTGTTCCATGTTGTCTAATGTTATTGACAGGATTCTACTTCTTCTATATCCATTACATTTTGTTCTAGTAGAGTGAGTACAGTGTAGATCAGGTCTAACTGAAAACAATAAAAGCTATAATTAGTAAATTAAAAAGTAACATGTTAAATTTCTGCAAATATGTGCAGCCCCATTTTTGGGCAGGAACAAGATAAAATACATCATGTACAGGGTGACAAAAAAACTGGAACCCATAAATCATCAATTTTCTCGGAAAGTGTTATACCTACAACATTCTTCATTTCTTCAGGGTAGAAACTAGACTGAATGCATGACAAAATGACACAATAATGAGTACTGTGGCTTAGATATTAATCATGCAATGGACGTCAGAAGAAAATACTTATATTGTGAGAAAGTATATTGAGACAAAATCCTATAAAGAGACACAAACTGCCTATGAGAGATCATAGGGTAAGAAGAGCCCTTTGCAAGTCACAGATCTTTAGGCTTGTACAGAAGTTTGATTCAGAAGGAACTGTAAAACCAACAAAGAAAAAAAGTGATGGTAAACCAACCTATTCAGGGAGAGAGAGGTCTATCAGAACTCAAGACAACTCAACAGTCAACTCAGAACATTACATCCCTAATGTTCAAAAGTTTTGGAGAGCGCTGGGTAGACGATGTGACTTGAGAAGGGACCAGCAATGGTTCCAACAAGATGGTGCCACACCCCACACCTCAAATGAGTCCATTCAATTGCTTCAGGCTCACTTTGGTGATCGATTAATCAGTCACCATACCCACCACATCTGCCCCCCCCCCCCAGTTCCCTGATTTGAACCCCCAGATTTTTTATCTGTGGGGGTATCTCAAGGACAATGTGTATACAGATAGTCCACTGACAATTGATGACCTCAAACTCAAAATTGGGAGACTAATTAGAGAGATGAATGCAGTCGGGTCATTGACAATTTTGCAAGAAGAATCCAGCTCTGCATCCAACGTCGTGGTGCACATTTGGAGCACATTATCTAATCGTGCCTCATTTGGAGACTAATTGAGCTAGAATGCTAAAACTTTGACATCTCAAATATGTCATACATTCAGTTGACTATACATGTACCAAATAACTAAGCTCAATATGCATAATTGACGAAGTTATTAAGACTTAAGTGGGTTCCAGTTTTTTTGTCACCCTGTACCTTTATTCTCATGGATATTTTATATAACATGATATAATGATTACATTAGAATTTGGTTGACACGGAACATGTCATGTTAGAGCATGTTATATGGGCATCATCATGTACACATTCATTGTATAGCTTATCTAATTTCCCATGGATTCCAATAAATGGATAGATGTTCCCTAGTTTCAAGAATGAATAATTCAAACTCCATTGACAGTTGATGGTATTACAGTCCTCAATAACAAGTCATCACAGCCTTGTTATTTATGTAAATGTTTTCAAATTATTTGACAACTTTTTTATATGTGGATCAATTCAGAGTGGGCGTGGTACACTGATAATGGAAATCATAGTCTGATTGTGAGATACATGTATTGATCCATTTCTGTCAAAATCAAGTACCAGTGTGTATGTAACGACCCTACATAGCAAGTTCCTACTGCTGTAGTGCCTTAAGCTTATAGATCAGTTGGTAAAGCCTCAACTTTGAATCTCAGGGTTCTGACTCCCATGTATATGTATTGAGCGCTGAATTTAGCACTTTCTTTCATACCTTTATCTGGCTTGTTACAATATGCACCATATTTTAGTCATTCCCTGGGGCACCCTCAATCGAGTCACTACATTGTTGTCAGATGTGGGATCAAAACATCGAGCCCATGGTTGCTGCATGCAACATCGAAAGCAAGGCTGACCACAAGGGTAACCAATTCTGGTGAAATATTGATATTTGTCTCAATTAGGTTTCAGTCTTTACTTGTATAACTGTCCCATTGTTCATTGTGTACTTTCTCGGCTGTCAGCTGTAGTATCTAGCCATCATAGCTAAAGGGGTAGAGCGTCAGACTTTTCAGCAGTGCAGAGGGTACTGGGTTCGATTCCTGTAAGGGGCATAGAATTTAGCACAGGGATTGCCCTTGTGTACCAGTAAAGATGGGACGTCATCCTTCAGGGGGAATGGTGTTATGACCCTGGCCTTGGCTAGTCCCTTTGACCAAAGCGGTAGAGTGTTAGTCTTGTGAGCGTAGGGTCCTGGTTCGATTGGAACATTGAATTTAGCACATCCCTTTCATGTATTTGGCTCGTTGCACTACAGCTCCCCGGACAAACGTGTCCAGGGGTCGTTACAATGAATATTGAGGTCAAGGCACAGTGAGCACTAGCGTTATCATTCTATTAATATAAGATACATGTACTTGATAGATGATGCTGACTGTGTGTCCCGGGGGATTGAGATCCAGTCCATCATGGCACGTCCAACCAAATTTGTCTTTCATGTTGACTTTCAAGGGTTTCTGGAGAGTAACTGACTAAGTCTATTTGCTTTCTCTTAGGATATGTCTAAAATTGTTATGATGATGAACAAACTCTACCTATGACCCTTTTTCTGCACATTTATGCAGCTTCTTACTTACGTTTATTTCCAATTTCTTATAACTGCACTGAACGAAGCAAGAGGACTGGCTTTCCTGACATCTATCGTCCAGAATTTAAACTAAAACGGACAACACAAACGTCAAACTCACAAATAACAATCATGATGACTCATGAATCAAATATTTACACTTTTACTCGGAGAATAGCGTTTGAAAAAGGGGGAAATTTTGTAGGAATACAATAAACTCAATCCAAACTATTTTGTTTATCAAATTCGGAGTTATGAGTGTCGTCAAATTTCGCGGCAAATTTCGCCACGGCTTGGTGGCTGCATAGCAACTTTGCTGGGGGTCCGAGATGAAGTTTCGGTAATTTGGCCTACGAATCCACATGAAATATAGATAAAGTATAAAAATAAGCGATAACCTTTCATTGATTAGACAAATCAAGCGTTTATTACATAAAAATATCAAAATGTATTACTTTTTAACTGTTTGATATATCGAAATAAATGAAAATATTAATCAGAATCTAGCGCAAGGATATATTGTGAAAATAAAAAGTGAAAAGGCCAAGGAAAATATCAAGATGGCGGACCTAAATAGCAGTTTGACAACTATGGATTGGTTACCTCGACTTAGCGTCGGTGGGGCACTAGCTGGAGCTACAGCTGCTAAACAAGGACCATCATCTGATACCAAATCATCCCCTAGTTCTAGTATAGGAAAAGTTGCAATTCGTAATTCACCAAATTCACCGATTGATCCTTCTGCAACTTTGGACACTTCTCTTGATTCTGCTCAGCAACAACAGAAAGATGGAAAGCCTCCATATTCATATGCTAATCTTATAACATTTGCTGTAAATAGCACGCATAAGAAGAAAATGACACTAAGTGAGATTTATCAATGGATTTGTGACAATTTCCCATACTATAGAGAAGCTGGCAATGGCTGGAAAGTAAGTTACATTTTTTTCTCAAAACTGAAAATTTCAACATTTTCATAGAGGACATAGGGTCATTCTCGTTCACGGGTCATTCACGGACAAACCCTACGTATCAGGTGAAAATCCGGGGCATTTTTAGACATTGTACAACATATATCACCACATCGATAATATGATATGTCTAGGGAATTTGAAGTTTCAATAAAGAAACCATATAAAACAAATTATTGAAGATCGTCTAACAATTTCCCATGTCAGAGATTACCCCTATGTCCTCGTCAAATGCTATTTTCACTTAGCATCTGCATAGATCTACAGTGGTGAACATAAATAATTACTTACACTATGAAAAAGACATTCTGTCACATATGTCATAAATTCTTACCTAAGTGAATTAGAACGCACAAATATAGTGGAATTTGTGTCCATAATGACAAATAGGAACTTAAAAATTTGAAGTGATATTCACATGTTAATTCCGACTCTTCATATGTTGAGGTGATTTTGGAGCCTGATTATGCCGCAATGATTGGCTCTCAGAATGCAACATGACACATGCCAGTTTTCAAAATGCCGTTCTGCCATTTTGAAACCTGTCAGGAGTAAATAAGGTTAACTGATGTTGCGTTCTTGGAGTCAATCCACCTTGGATCACAAACATGGCAATCCATGAAAACATTCGTCAGTAAAACCTAAAAATTTAAGAAATCAAAAGATCATTGTGCAATAATATGGATTAACACGGCTAAATTCTTTAAATTTTAAGAGGGCATAGGCTTATTGCACAAAAAACTAAATAATCTGAAATATACAAATGTCATTCATGTACAATGTGAATATACCTTTCCATATATTATTGCACAATGGTCTCCTGATTTCTTATTTTTGGGGTTCTACTGACGAACTAAAACAGTGAAATGGGCTGTGGTAAACTTATGTGCGAGTTATAAATTTTGCCTCACTATGTTATTAGCTAACAATAGTGGTGCAAATCGACATGACCAATGATACATGAAAAATTTACCCAGAAGTTGACGAATGAATGCATTTTTTGAGATAGCTGACAAAAATAATAATGAAGAAAATTACATGAGTTCTCTTCTCAAATAGTTTACAAATACATTTATCAACAAATGTCAGATTGTATTGTTATATTCTAAGTTGTAATTATGTTCGCTATAGTGGCAAAAAATACTGAAACAAGTTGCGATTATTTAATGCATTTGTAATGACACTCGGTAGCAAGTCACTTCTACAGTCTCTACTGAAGTGGCTAGCCCTTCTTGTTACAATTCCCAGATGAGTGCCCATGGTTCTTAAAAACTTTTGGTTCTTGAACTGATGGCTGAAGTTTTTGGAGCTAGTATACAATGTAAGCCTCAAGTTAATGTTAACATTCTATCATCTCCCTTCTTTTCTGAATCATATTATACCTGGTTAAACAAATGTCATATATCTAACTTACAGGTTTTATAATAGGAAAAGCACAAATGGCAACTGTTACACAATATTACTGCATATGAGACAAGAGTGGAGTAATCATAGTATGCATTGTAATATATATGTCTAAGTGCTGTTTAGAGGTAACTTTCAAGCATACAAGTGAAGGGAGGGTATGTAACTCAATCTAACAAACTAAACTAGCATGTGATATAGGATATACTTTTTAGAGGGGTTGTATCATTTATACAATGTGTAACAGCAACATTTTGAACCAATAATTTGTCTTTTGTTGAAGTTTATAATCACTCTAGAAACAGACAAAATGTTGGAGGATGGGGATTGGGGGTTGTATGATTTCTGATAAAAATTTACCAAATCTGCAAGATTTGTTTATTTTTTCATGAGAAAGTTTACTAATAGGGTACATTTTGAATAAGTGCACAGTATTGTAAAATCTGTTAAGTCTTTTATGAATTTTTTTAACCGATTTGCTTTCTAAAATGAGATTTATGTAAAAAGCGTGATGTTACCAATGTACCTTTTTGCTATAAATCAAGCAGTGCAGGTTTACATGACCTGTATTAAATGCAGGAGATGTTATTATAACCAAACTTATGTTGTTACATCCTTTAAAATGAGTTAAAAATATTATTAAAAAATACTCAAAAAATAATATACTGTAGTAAGTAAGAAGGGGATTAAAAAATATCCAAATTCTTTACACAAAAAATCTTAGTGAGAGCACTGCATATGCTGGCATTTATAATACATATATATTGTACACTGTATAGTATGTTACAGGTGCAAATTATGTTTCCAAAGCATTGTCAGAAAGTTAATTTTCAAAAATAACAGACACTTACACATAAAATGACACTATGTTCTATGGTTGTATTATACACTGGGAGCAACAAATACATGTAAAAGCTCTTGATTTAATTTTCTTGAACCTTTAAGATTTTCTCAATAAGTATCATTTTCATATCCAAAATTATATCGATGTACTATAGCTGAACATTTTTTCCAGAATTCTATCAGACACAACTTATCCCTGAACAAATGCTTTCTAAAAGTACCAAGATCAAAAGATGACCCTGGGAAGGTAAGTACTAAATATATAGTATTTCTTGTTGAATAATTAAAAAATTTAAAAAAAGGAATCTATAGGTAGAGAGCACAAATGGTAGCATAACGAAAGTTGAACATCAAGAGCCTTAAAAACTAAAAATTATTAAGAATTTGTAGAGTAAATGAAAAATGACTTAAATGTATACAGTATGCTTGTTATATCGAATGATGTCATCTGTGAGTCTTACTGAGCAAAAATTGCTAATTTCAATGATATACATGTACTTTAATTCCATTGAATGATCTTATGTAGGGGTCCTATTGGGCAATAGATGCTAATCCACCTGAAGACCCTCTGCCTGGAAGATTTGGAGGAAAGTCACCTAAAAGAATGCGAACAAATGTAAGTTGTTTGAAAATGCACTTCTTATGGCACATTAATGCACTTAATGGCTGTTAAACCAATTATAGATCATAATTTATGAAAAAAGCTAGATGGTTCATGTCATACTAGACATTCACTTGCAGTTTTTTACTTGTTGTACATTGTATTTTTCTTGACTTATTTGAGGTGAATACCCAAACTGGGCTGTCATTGATTCTAGCAAGTATTTTATCAAAAGTTTTGCATTATAGTTATATTTACATGCAACTGGTGTGCAACAGAAGTGTGCAATTAATTAGACTCCAGATGAAAATCTGGAGTCTATTGCTTTTGCCAGTTTTCTTTATTATTATTATTATTCTTCTTCTTCCTCCTTCCCAGATTTCTCACCAACTAGAAGAGCTTACTTTAAGCTGCTTACATGATTAACTAGGGAATGTATCTGGCTTTCTGGGAAATTAGGTCAAATTTTTATCTAGGTCAAAGGTCAAGAACTAGGTCAAATCCAGTACTTTGTCACTTTTTCCCATTATCTCGGTCGTCCTTCAATATTTTTGATCCTGGTTTTTTTCATTGTGTTCCTCATAAAAAAGTAGAAAACCTAGGGTCGATTTAGTTTTTTGGTATCTCAAACCGATTTCGAGATATCAGTGTCCGAAAACGAGGTCCAAAAAAAAGTTCTCCCAATTCAATGTCCACGCTACTGTTCTTGTAGAAAATTTTCTCAGGATTCCGAAACTGAAAACCAAATTTCGATCCGACTGCCGGTTCAGAAGTTATTTCGTTTTGAAAGCTCAAAAATCGCTAAATTTGGTGCCCATGTTAAGTCAATGGGAAAAAAGATTTTTTTGAAGTGAAAAATACGAAATATAGACTGAGTTCAGCTAAATATAATGGAAGCTTTTAAAAGAAGGGGACCTCAAAAGCCATCTAGCTGAAAAATTTGGACACAAAAATGCCAAGGTCAAAATCTAGGTCAAATTCAAAGTTTTTCCTTATTTTTGCGATTTTGACACTACACTTTAATTATATTCTTCGAAATCGTGTATACATGTAGCCAAGAGTGTGCTAATAGTGTTAGCCTTTTGCCGTCAGGAAGTATTTTGACCCACTTTTGAGATATGGTGTCCCAAAAGTAGGTCAAAATAAAAAATTCTTCAAATTTAAATTATGAGTTATGAATCAGGGGTAGAATTTTGTCAGGAATCGGAATCTGCAAACCATATTTCGATCCGACTTCCGGTTCGGAAGTTATGGCGTGTCCAAAAAGTAGGTCAAAATAAAAAAATTCTAAATTTAACGTATGAGTTATGAATTAGGGGTAGAATTTTGTCAGGAATCCGAATCTGCAAACCAAATTTCGATTCGACATCTTGTTCAGAAGTTATGATGTTTTGAAAGCTCAAAAATCGCTAAATTTGGTGCCCCATGTTAAATCAATGGGACCGAATAATTTTTTGAAGTGTAACAATACAAGATATAGAATGAGTACAGCTAAACATAATGAAAGCCCATAAAAGAAGGGGACCTCAAAAGCTACTTTCCTTCAAAATTTGGACACCAAAATACCTAGTTCAAAATCTAGGTCAAATTCTTAGTTTTTTCTTATTTTTGCAATTCGGACACTACACTTCAATGATATTCTTCGAAATTTTGTATACATGTAGCAAAGAGTGTGCTTATAATGTTAACTTTTTGCCGTCAAGAAGTTTTTAGACCCACTTTTGAGATCTGGTGATCGAAATGTAGGTCAAAATAAAAAGTTCTCCAAATTTAACGTATGAGTTATGAATTAGGGGCATAATTTCCTAAGGAATCCGGATCTGAAATTAAAATTGCAATCCGACCACCGGTTAAGATTCTAAGCCATTTTGAAGTTTGAAATTCGCACTTGCCAGTATTCACGATGCAGATTGATCAAATAAACTTTCAAAAAGTCCTACATACCCTACTTTACCTCCCTACCTACTCAGCTACTTATTTGACTACTTACTCAATTGCTTAATTAGTTATTACTTACTTAGCTACTTACTCAGCTACTAACTCAGCTTTTTACCCAGTTACTTACTCAGCTACTTACTCAACTACTACTAAGGTACTTACTCAACTAATTACTCAGTTACTTACTCAGCTCTTTACTGATCTATCTAGGTCAAATAAATCTGGAGTCTTAAATTGAACTTGTTCAATTTCACAAATCTAGTTCTTGTTTACAATTTAGTGTTGTCAATATGGCATTTTCTTTACACTCTACATAATAACTTTATTTTTAATATTACCATTGATTAATATCTTGAACTGGAATGAAGTCTAAATGTTTACTTTATCCAGGTGTTATAGGATTTCCTTTGAATTATTAATTTTGTATTGATTAGTGCATTACAATACAGCTACTAGTATTCGTTCATTGTATCACACTAATTGTTTTGCATAGTTCAGTAGTTCTAACACTTAAAATTCAATGCAGATGTGTATTGAAACACTGTGTGAAATAAAGCCTGGACACTCAGTGCAAATGACCATTTTGAAAAGAGACGAATATTTGTAATCGTGTGAACAAAAATCTAGAGTTTCTGAGGTGAAATTATTTCAGAAACCAGTAAATGATAGAGGTTCTTTTTGTTGAGATCTGCAGTGATCTGTTCATTAACACCAACTTTCATGTGTTAATGCCGTAAATATATGAATCAAAATATTATTCATACAAAATCATCAGATGAATCTCTGACATTACCCCAAATATATGTAGCATTCCTACAATTGAATGTCTCTAATATGATTATCATGTCACCAACAGAAGTGCTGATATATTGTTATTTTTATGGATGGCTGTTTGTTTGACGGCTGGTGTTTAGCGTTAGGCCCTCAGCATCTGTAAGGCTTCACTATTATATGAATCATTGAAGGTCTCTGATATGATTATTATTGTATGTTACAGTCCCATCCCTACAGTCCAGTGCACAGCTTATATGAATCATTGAAGGTCTCTGATATGATTATAATAATTGTATGTTACAGTCCCATCCCTACAGTCCGGAACACAGCCTACAAGGATCATTGAACAGTCTCTGCTCACCAACACTAAATCAGCTCCAGGGAACCAGTCCTAACAATTCTTTAATAAAGGCAGAGGTAAGGCCAATTGCCGATTAGTTATAAGTGTACATAACAATCATCAAACCTTAAACTGACAAACTTGGGAATTATCGATGAGTAATATTTAAGAAGGCTACACCTTGTCATACATTAAGATGTTTCAATTTCTATTTTCAGGATGGTTCTTTTGTGGACAACAATCCCAACTTTGAAGATCTCAGTGCATCATTTAGAAGTCTTTACAAGTCTGTGTTTGAACAATCCCAAGGTATTCTTCATGAGATAATAGATCCTAATTCTTACGTTAATTTTTTGTTTTTGTATGATTACATTAGCTCTGCTTTGCAATCTGTCAGTCATTAGGTAGAGTGTTGTACATTTATCATAATCTAAAGAAGTATGACTACTTTTTGCTTCATACATATAATTTTATTGTTATATAATGTACTTTAATTGGTGATTGGGCTCTTTGACATCATCATTAGCTTTTTAGCAACCGATTCAATGGAGGTTTGTTTGTTTGTTTTAGTTTTGACCAATGTTATCTTGTAATTTTGATATCAAAAAGTTACATTTTTGAAACAAAATTTACTCCTTGAATTGAAATTTGAAAATCTAAAGATCATCTTAAAGATTTGTTTTCTCCTATGGGTTTGTAGCTGGCCCATTGAGTCAGTTGCTCTCATACAGCAATAGCTTTCATCAGCAGCAGGCCCAGGAATGTCACCATGGTAACCATGCTAACAACAGTCACCCTGGCAACCACTTAGCCTCTCTAAACCCTCATTCTACAGGTAGACTAGCATGGATCCAACCTCACCATAGCACTCAACTGCTCCTTGACTTGGGTGTTATTTAAACCATAATGGTCTGAACCTCTCCCCTTGTAGGTTTCCGCATGGCGAAAATGTTTGCTATTAATGAAATGTAAACTGTTACACCCTAAGTATTGACCCCTCACTCACACCCTTGACCTTTAAGACCAAACCCCATCCTTGTCTGCATGCCGCATGCTAATTTGGCTTTTTTCTAGGTAACATTGGGGCCATATTGAACATGAGCCAAGTCAGCAATCTCAGTAACAACAGCTCCAATGGTAACTATAGTCAACACTCATTTAACAGTGCCAGTAGTGCTGGTAGTGGAGGTTCACATGAATTGCCACACAACAACAACAACAACACAGTTCAGGGTAAAGCTTATAACAGCTCTAGAAGTGCATAAGCATCTAGCTTTAGTCACATTGTAATCAACATGCCGCACTTTTGCTGTAGATGGGCTTTAGAAATGCTAACATATTTGGGGTCAATTCATTTCAGTTTCCCTTGCTTTTTATTAACTTTTTATTTATTTTTTTGGCAATTGTGATATTTCTGTCATCTTTGCTGATAGGAGGCCACTTCACACCCACTGAGTGCGCATCCCTGTCCTTTCACATTTTCAACATATTCTGGTCACTTTAATGTGTTCATTAAGTTGTGTTCACTGTATTGCTTTCACTAACATGTGTTTACTGATTGTTTGACTTTGACATTTTGTTGTTTTCATTTCACTTAAATTTTCACTTGAATGCAATATTCGGAAATTACTTCGTAACTGGTTAAGTTCTTGTATGACGTCATTCTGCATGCCTTTCTGTTAATTCCCTCCAATATTCTCTACATTGCCTTGGCATTAATATTTTCACATGTAAAACTTCAATGCTTTCACATTTTCCCACATGCATACTGCATAGCCATTATGTTCAGTTGTCATCTGTAAAGAATCATATAAGTCACATTATGAAATGATAGCAAAATAGTTTAAGAGAAGGGTTCCCTGGGGTTGTTATGTGACTAAAGGCTACCAACATGCACCTGGTGGAGCTCCCTTAAGCTTAGTCTCTTGAAACCAATTAGTTAAGATATTGAAATAACCTTGCATCATTCCCAAGATATATATTAAATAGAATATTGCAGTTCATCTCTTGTGCTCTGTGCCTCTGTTTGATGCATCGTATGCTGGTATTTCAGATAACCCTTTGACAAACTCATCGTTCGATTGGCTACAAAATCTGGACATTTTGAAAGAGAGTGTTAGATTGGCAGGCAGCACAAACTTCCAAGACATTGATGTATCACAGTTTGCAGGTAAGTTCATGTGGAATTCAATGTTAACAATAGCATTTCAACTATCAAGTCATCTATGACCATTATATATCACATAGTGTGTACATTTTAATGTTCCGTAGAATGAAAACAAATTATTACTACATATCCAAAAATACTATTGTAACTTTCAGAATAATATGCAAAATAAAAAATAATATGTAGAGATCCCCCAGGATGCTGAGTCTAATTTTACCAATTATGGTAAAAATATATCAATATTTCACCCTTGCAGGCTGTAAACAGTTTTTCAAGAGGATGAAGTGATCTTCCCAAATTGAAATCACTGAGGTGCAGCACCTCAATGTTTTCCATTACAGCAAAATGCTCCTCAATTCAGCTCAACATGTCTTCTTTTTCTTCTTTATTCCTGTTAATACATTCAGATATACAACACATAGACTGCCAAAGTTAGAAACATTGGTGGCATTGGTGCCTTCTAAAATGTTGCACAAAAATACAAAAATCTAAAATTTGCACAAAAAAATACAAAAACCTAAAATGTTGCATAAAAATAACAATATTGTGAAATGGTGCACAAGAAAATTAACAAAATCCTCCACACAAAAGAATCCTTGGAAGATCACTGGGATGGAATGTAATTGACAGATTTTCAACAGGGATATGGTGCAGAACCTGGTTGTTGTAGTCCTGGGAGATCACATCATCAAAAAATTCATTTTTGCATTGTGTTTGTGTCTTTGTCAGTATGTATGGTTGAGGGAGAGTACTAAACGTTGTATATCTCAAAGAGTTCACAAAATATTCTCTCGTATTGTAGGTTTGATGGAAAGTATGAAACAAGCAGATTTACAGAACTGGTCTTTAAATCCCAACCAGTTTGCAGATTTGGCTGCATCACTGAGTAACTTCTTCAATCAGACAGGTATCTTACAGCAGAGTCAGCAGCAGTTCAATAGCAGCTTAGTCAGCTCTGTATCAGGTAAGGGCACTCTTAGCTTATATATTCTTACTTGATGTGATCTTGTCAGGCTTTAGATTCTTCTATACCAGAGTGCGTCATGGGGATTTCTGACATTATAGTGGTTATACAATGAAGCACGAATTTGTTACCAGGAGTGTATTAACAGAAACTTCTAAGATTTTTTAAATCAGTTGATGCATCCATTGATATGATGACGTCAAAGTTTGGAAACAGATTAGGAATTCTAAACTAAGCAGAGATTCTGTTAATGACTCCCATATTAATATCCGACACATGCTGAAAAACTTATGTCGCACCCTTTTCTGTTGAGTAATGATGATTTCTTAGATGTAATTGAGGAATGCTTTTGTTGTAATATGACATGTTAGTTTCAGATAGTGGCCCATATTGCTCACCTTGTGGTGGAACTGGGCAAAGTTTCACAACACTTACTCCACTCCAGCCTCTTGATTCCTGTAAGTGGGGCTCTGTATCAGCATGTTGCTTCATAGACCCACTAACATGTTAATATATCCTAATGCTATGCTCCTAATGAGTCACTTAAGTAGGGATTAAAGGACACCCATGATAACCAGTTTTACAGACATTCCTTTTGGAAGCTGTACACTGGACGAAGTTCTAAAAGTTGTATTCTCAATAAATTTTCAATTACTGAACCATGATTCAAAAAAATTGCCGTTTTCAAAATCTTGAACTTCTGGATTAAATGCACAAGAAAGCCCCACAATTTTCGAAATATCCAAAATTGTAGCCAATTTGTAGTTTGTTGGTTAAGACACATAACAAAATAAAGTGAGTTTGATATTTGAAAAGCATATTGCTTTTGTTATATAACACCATCTATGGGATATAGTCATGATGATGGTGGTGTGATCGATGACTCATTGTATAGAAACTAGGTAACTCAAATTCAGTATCAACAGCTTGTTGGATTTTGTCTGCATTTGTGTGATTCTAAATTTATCCATGGGCATCTATTGAAAGCCCATGATCTTTATAAATAGTCTTAAAGATTTTTTCTTCAAGTTGTCATTTTTCTAGTTTAGAACTCTTGAAAAGTAATGAGAATCCAGATTGTACATTGTATTATATTTAAAAGTTTTTACCTGACATTTTCATAATAATATGCATGCCTTTTAGTTAGCAGGGCTTAGTTAGCACTGTGTGTTAATATTAGATATATAACAAGACAGCATAAGGGGTGCTCAACAGTTGTATAATTTCATATTAGTTTTGCAGGGTTAATCAGGTGTTGGTCTTACATAAGAATTATGCTTTTATCATGCTTAAGAAAGGTATGATATTGTCATCAGCTTGGTGGTTGGGGGAGGGGGGGGCTCTTTTTTCTTATCTGCGCATATCCAGGCAATATGCTGGATTGAGATGAAACTCCGGGATGTTTCTTTCTATGAAAATCTAGAACTGCATTTCCAGGCAAACAATGAGGTAGATTGATTTGAAATTTTCTCTTTCCTTCTTGATTGAATATGAAATTGCTAATCCATATTTGTTTTTGACGGTAAAAAGATGGCCAATGCTTTCTCGCCTCTCTTACTTAATTGTCCATATCACCTGATATTTGAATGAATGAATCATATACTTGTATGTTCCTATCACCCTATATTTGAATGAATGATTTATATAATAATGGGTATATAAATATTTAGGCACCGGAGTGATAAGATTAAGACCTCAGCCCCCAAGATTAACATAATTTTATTTGATTTTTTATCAGAATTAGGCATTGAGTCCCTTTAAATTACTATTTAAATTCTTTCACTTTAACTGTGTGGTGTCTCAGTCTCTAGTTAAACTATGAAGACGAAGCTCTCTTTTAAGAAGTGAAGTCGAACGAATGCAAAGGGTAACAAGAACTCAGTCAGAGACATCGAAAATATTGTTGGGAAATGAAATATATCAAAGGTTGCTAAACTAGGATAATATGTATCCCTTTCACTTGTAATCACAATGGTAACATATAGGGAGTGCTGTTTAGTTTGGCCTGTGATAAACACATTTTACTTAACATCGTGCACCTAGGATTATATATTATATAATCTTCAAAAGTTCAATATTTAGGATATCTAATATTTTCAACAGGTTAACTTTAATCCTGTTGTTAAATCCAATTGTTGTTCTGAAAACACGTGTGCAAGAACATGAGTGTTTGTGGGCCAATAACAAGATAAAAGCATTTGTATTTGTGGACTTAATTTGATTTTGAGGTTTCACAAGTAAATGATTTTAACTCTTTTTGAATTATCTGGGTTGTAACCGCCTAATTTGGTCAATGGTTGTTTTTACAAGAAATTTCAAGATTTTCACACAATTTTTTTTTAGTCAAAAGCTGCTTATTTGCAACCAAAATGAACCAGCACATGCAATGTCAATCATGCTTCTACACAGAATTCATAGGGAGCCCATTATCCAATATGAAGTCATTGAAAAAGGGGCAATAAATGAAGTGTAAAATGCAATATGACCTAAGATTATTTTTATTCAGATTTGATCATACCTCATCAAATGTGCTGTTGTTTTACACATATCTTTTGCTAAAAAGAAGTAAGATTCAGAAAGTTTAACTGTTAATTAGTGTAATGGACTAATGTGCGTGTGTTTTTTATCGTACCTAACAAGAGGTATGATATTGGAGTCAGCTTGAAGGGCGGCGGGCGGGCGGGCGGCGTCTCACTTTTCAGCTTGTCTACAGGTTTCCAGCCAAACCATTTGAGGGATTCATCTGAAATTTTCAGGTATGTTTCTACATATCAAAGTCAAGAACTGATTAGTTTTTGGGCATTCTGGGTAAATTTTAAGGTGGCCATTTTGGATTTTCCATCCTAAAATCTTTACTTTCAAGACTTGTCTACAGGTTTCCAGCCAAACCTTTTGAGGGATTCATCTGAAATTTTCAGGGATGTTTCTACATATCAACGTCAAGAACTGATTAGTTTTTGGGCATTCTGGTTCAATTTTAAGGTGGCCATTTTGGATTTTCTGTCCTAAAATCTTCACTTTCAAGACTTGTCTACAGATTTTCAGCCAAACAATTTGAGGGATTCATCTGAAATTTTCAGGGATGTTTCTACATATCAACGTCAAGAACTGATTGGTTTTTGGGCATTCTGGGTAAATTTTAAGGTGGCCATTTTGGATTTTCCGTCCTAAAATCTTCACTTTCAAGACTTGTCTACAGGTTTCCAGCCAAACCATTTGAGGGATTCATCTGAAATTTTCAGGGATGTTTCCACATATCAACGTCAAGAACTGATTAGTTTTTGGGCATTCTGGGTAAATGTTAAGGCTGCCATTTTAGATTTTCCATCCTAAAATCTTGTCTATCGAGGCTTGTCTACAGGTTTCCAGCCAAACTGTTCAAATTTTTACATATGTTACACAGTGATAAGTTCTAGAGCTGATTAACTTTTCTGTGTCCATCTTGCTTTCTTGGTCAACAAGACCACAATGCTGTGTTTTAGGTACGATATTGTTCACGTCTGTGCCTTGTCTAGACATTTTCTGATAAGATTACTTAAACACTGTTGAAATAGTTAAGTTTTTGTAAGGAATTGCCTAAAATCATACTCAAACTTCCATTATAATACTCTATAATCGCAATGGCAGTTACCAAAGCAATGCATTGAATTATGTATATAAGTATGCATGTAACATTCCCAAATTTGATTCTGCAGTAAAATGACAATGACATATCAAATATTGTATATATGTCTACATTCTCGCGCAGCTCCAGACTCATTTTGTATGTACATGTTACCTTGTTATAGCATGTTTTTTAGCTCATTTATTACCTATATATATTATTGTCAAACATGCTATATCTTTTACCATGACAGCACCTGTGTAAGAACTCAAATTCTGCATATTACAACCCTAATATACATGTATGTATAGCCTGTATAACCCTTTGTTCTTTACTAAATATAGGACCTCCCATGTTGGCTGATGTCGGCAGAATTCAGGCATATTTCATGTAGTAGTCACTTTTAAATGGGTGTAAATCACAAGTGCAGAATTTATCATTTTTCCTCTTTCTTAAATCAGATATCTTAAAGGACAGTTGTTCACTCTAGTAAGTTATAACATTCATCGTGGCTCAGGCTCTGTCTACTTTCCACCATTTGGTCCAGTTTTGGCCATGGTTCTGAACCATAGGTTCATGTTTGAGTACTTAACATTGTAGATCTAATTGAACGTTATTTGTAGTTTGCCACACTGGACTTGGATAACCATTGAGGAGAATCATGGCTGAACTTTCTGTATCATAATCATCGAAACTATGCCAAGAATGAATAATAGAAAAATGGAATTCAAGGGAGCATCTTAAACCTGATAGTTTTGTTATTTCAGGTGGATCAAACAATGGTTACCTTAGCAACAACACTTCCCACACAGGCTCTTTGCTGGGTAGTCCCCCCAATATGACACACAGCAATTCACAGATTAGCCCCAGGGTAAATATATCATCTTCTTAAAAACAAAATATTAGTAATATTGTTCAAATATAGATGTCTCATTGGGATACACTGATAGAAGCTATCAGATAGGTGGAAATTCACCAGAGAACTTCACATCGTTGACATCGACTTCTACAGTTGCTGTCCAGTAGTGTGAATAGGAAAAATGCCTAGAGCTTTAAAGCGCAACTAGCAAAGTTAATTTGAAGTTTGTTTTGATGATATTTAATTTTTCCTTTATTAAAATATAGCTCAACTAATGAGTTGTTTTGCAAAAATTCTTACAATTCAACAGATTCTGTGTCACTTTCTGAATATTACAGATATTGTGAAATATTTAAGAAATATAGACCGAAGAGCAGGGGTAATATTCTTGAATACACCTCGCAGGGCTAGGTATAAACGTTCTAAAGCTTTTGTGCCTAGCCCTAAGGGGTGTATTCGACGATATTACACCTGCTCTGGGGTCTATATTCCCATTTGAACATGAAAACTCACCAAAATGTTTTGAATATCCATTATGGTCCGCCATTTGGCATTACTACGGGCCGCCATTATGACGTCACACATTGCTCATATTGCTAGGGGTATTGTTCGCGAATGTAACCTGGGTGAAATATTGACTTTGTTCACAGTTTATAGAAGGCTTGAATACAGTCATGTTCGAATCCACAATATAACAGGATATTATATGTTGTTTCTAGTATGGTAGTGGCTCATATAACAATCAGCAGCCGACCCCTAACCCTTCACAACCATTCAGCACCGATGACATAGAAGACACGTTCAACTGGGACAACCTGTTATGATGTAAGACTCCTCCATGTTACCAAAAAATCCAGATGTACCATGCTGGATGACTTGCTACAGGGAGCTACAGTGGATACTGCCAAACAATGGGTTGCCAAGTGAACTGTGAAAGAACAAGCCTTAATCTATCCCAACAGACTTGAAGGTAAGCAGGCCTACTTTCAATCTGAATAGGGACAACAAACAGGTTATCAGAAGAACAGTACATCTTCTCTGTGACATAAAAGCTCCCAAACATACACTGTACAGAAATTCTTCAGCATACATGATGTACAGAATTCTTTAGCATACATGATGTACAGAAATCCCTCAGTGTACAGAAATTCCTTGGGGGATGTGGTACACAGAAATTCTTCATCGATTATGTACAGAAACTCTTAATCTAAATGGTGTACATAAAGAAAGTCTCCAACATACATGGTTCTATGGTGTATGAAAGGCCAGTGTTAATGTTAATGTTATACATTATACACGAATACATATCACTGGTTCTAGTCATGTAAAATGTGATTCTGCTGAGTAAGTGTGCCATTTGCCCCTAGCGTCTGGATATAGGATAGGGGCGATGGATTGCAGGCAGAATTCACAGTGTACTGAGGTGGTTGGACATGGGGCAAAGTGAGGATGGAGCTGAGCTAAAATTTGACCACAAAGGACCAGATAATTACATACTGTGTTATAATGGAACAATGATCTCTGAGTATAGTATTAAACAACATATCTGGTGTCACAATACACAAAATAAAATTTTAGGGATATCTTGTTTCAATTTCAAAAGTAATATTCCCCCCTTCAAGATATGGAGGAATATTATTTATGAAAGATGCACAGGTTTTCCCCTCAATGAAATGAAATATTTGTATACTATCTTTAAATTATTTTGAATACTCTACCCTGGTAAATATAATATTGTATACAACCACATTGTAATGTTACTTTTGATGAAAGATGAGAATGAGATAACAGACTGGATGGGCTATAAGTGCAGCCAGGCAGTCATATTTTACTTCCTGGAATTTTCATATGAGCTGCGTTTGATCTTACCGCAGTGAATCTTGTACATACCTACCAGATATTTTTAGATTATGTGCAGTGGCACAGGAAGCCAGAATTTCACCTCATACATATTGGCACAATCTTGCTGTTGAGATCAAGTATGTCAAATAACCAAGAAGAGTAAAACCTGTCTAATCTGAACATCACTGAAACTGGTCAAAAGTGTAGGGATTATTAGGTGTTCACATATTGAGGATTCTTAATGTGAGATTGGGACTGAGAAGTGTTCAAGGGTGTTCAGATTATTTAGTATATACAGGTTTCACTGTAGCTAAACTCTTGGTTTGAAAAATGAATGGCTCCTATACCACTGATATGCACACATTTGTAAATAGAACACAATGTACATAAAATACTAGAAGATAGTGATATAAACTTAGCTGCAATAATACTATTGTATAAATATATTAATATACAAAACTATGTAAATATGTAAGTATAAATGTGGATTTTGAGACTGCTGTAGAAAATGTGACTTTCTTAGACTATAGTAGCTCGTGTTCTTTTCTAAGGTAGATGACATTTGTTAAAGGTATATTTCTTGTCTTGATATGGTTCTAAAATCAAAATAATTTACAAGCCTTACTTAATCAGAGTACAGGAAAATGTATTTGTATTGTCAAATATGCACGTATCATTTCCAGTTGGCTGCCATCTTTTATCCAAATTAACAAACTTGGGAAAAGAACTTTAAAGCTTGTTATATAATGTATTATTATATAAAAAGTGATTGATTGTAGCAACCATATCAAGACATCAATGGGCTTACAAGGAGTGTCCCTTTAATGGGCTTACAGGGAGTGTCCCTTTAATGGCCTTACAAGGAATGTCCCTTTAATGGCTTTAGAAGGAATGTCCCTTTAATGGCCTTACAAGGAATGTCCCTTTAATGGCCTGACAAGGAATGTCCCTTTAATGGCCTTACAAGGAATGTCCCTTTAATGGCCTTACAAGGAATGTCCCTTTAATGTAATGGGCTTACAAGGAATGTCCCTTTAATTGGCTTACAATGAATGTCCCTTTAATAATACTGTGCTGGGCACAGTTTGTGTACATGATTATGAGGATAAATGTCAAATAGTTTTGAGATGATTATATAATTCAAATTCTAAATGGATATTGTTATTTTTGTGATACAATTAAGAATATCTGTTATACTAGTTATTGTAGTTCATAGAATTACAAATAATTTTAGCTATTGTTCTGTTACATTAGGAGAGTTGATATGTATTATTAAAAAAAACTATGAATGTGCAGATTAATTCAAAACAGCAGACAAAGTATGGGTACAAACTACATTATCAGTGTAAAATGATTCACCTAAATATCCAATCATCATGAAAATAAAGTATATGATCAAAACATGAATTTGTAAAATAAAGCTTAGATATTAAATATTTGTAGATTTGCTTGTATGGCGTAAAGTTGAAAATGTTTAGAGAATGTCTAAGGGTTGATGATAAGCTTCACTAATATATTGCTTCTAATTTGACTGCAGGCTTGTGTTTCTCATATAGCCAAAGGGAAAAAACTTACACCTGAAATCACAGTTTGTCATTCTTGATTCCTTGGTGGTAGCCAGGCTTGAGGCAGACAAGGCAACTGCGTCACCAAATTTTTACAGAAATATATTTTTGGCACATTTTTTCAATGAAAACTGGAAATTAAATGAAAGGTAGTAACACTGTATACCTCATTAAGCCTAACTCTGCCTCAGTTATTCATTTTTGCTTCGCATAATTGTGGATTCTGGTTACGTCCCTGGATTCACTCCAAGTGTATCATGTTTAGCAGGTCCAAGCATAACAGGAAGCTTAGAAGCTTGAGCTTGGTGGAAGTAATCGGACTGAGGACATTACTGAACACTCTTACAATACAAATATTAAGTGATTATTTTTGAAGAGTGTATGTGTTATAATTTATTCAAGTATTATTCATGGCTTAATCATGAATTCATTTGAAATCCTTTATTTTGTGTTAAAACAATTGTACACATTGACTAGTAGAGGTCTCTTTTTAAGAAAGAGTTGATCCAATAGGGACATTAAAATCTCATGTATATTTTAAGATTTGAAATTTATTATTTATCTTGGCCTGAGGGTCCAAATAATTTCTCCTTGGCCAGACATATATACATGTTATACATGTAGTCCTGATGTGTAGTAAAGATTATGCCGATTTTGTTTGGGTTAGAAAATTATGTAACAGAAATATCATTGTTTTCTTTTTTCACATAACACGAAGATGTTTGGGGATTTGACAATAATTTTAGTTTTAAATATTATAGTAATGTTGCTGTATTTGAACTGTTAGAGAATCATGTTTCCGTCCAACTTTCTATATGCAGCGTGTACAAAGAATTATTTTGTGATGTACTTTATCATGACAAAGTAGAAATAAAAATGACAAAATTTAAACACTGATATTTTTGTTTTAATCTACTGGGTGCTATTTTGTTTCATCACAACCATATTGGATGGAAATTGTGAATAGATTCTAATAATTCATTAGTATTCCATTTTGAACTTAATATCTCAAACTGGTGTAAACTCTTGACCTTTAGAAGGTCAGCGAAAGATCTCAAGGTCAGATATGAACTCCTTGCGGTTACTGGGTTAGTATTTGCTTTTTTCAAAATCATTACTAATAGAATACTTCTATCTCTCTAAATACTTTCAAAAAATTAAAGTTTGAGGTCAGGCTTTGAGAAACTTATAAGATAGAACTTTGATTTGACCAAGATAAAGATATTTTTCATTACAAGTACTGTAAGCTAGTGTAATGTACGTTGGAAGTAGGAAGTGTTTTATAGAAAAAATAACGAATAGCTGATGTTGCTATAGGCCTATGAGGCATCTGAAAAAGGGCATCCTAACCAGGAAAACTATAGCAGAGGGCCTCCTAATAAAAAATAAATCAGAGTTAATCATCTGAAGTCTGAGAGAGGGATGCTGCATATGGTAAGAAGCAGTATGCATTTAATCGTGAACTACTCATTCTGAAATATGAACGCTGGCCACGTGTTTTGAGTTTTACTTTACCTTAGTACATTAGTAGTTTAGTACTTTTGAGCGATCAAACAGATCCTTTCTTTTTTTATTACAACAGAAAAAGTAGGAACTGTCTACCAGTTTTCAGTTTAAACAAAGCATCTTTATTTCGAAGAAATCTTAAGAATAGAAAATTTCGAAATTGAGAGCACAGCTCCTTTGTCAGATTATGCGAGGACGTATCTGGTATGACTAACCGGAGAGGGGGAAAGTGTTACCATGTTGAACACGTATAAGTAAACATTAACAATGACGAAATGTTTTAGAAATAAAAGCAAACCACGCACTCAGCAAGGCAATTTCCCTAACACGATTTTGGATTAATATAAACCATCCCACAGAACAGAGAAACGGTTTGATTTCATTCAATCGTTTTTTCTTAGTGTAACATTTAATTTAGATACATTGATTAATAGCCGTGCATTGTCATTTCTGTAGTCTTTATGCTGAAGAGGCACGATTTTTCTTCCACTGATTGTTAAGAGCTTGTTATTCCAAATTCTATTTTGCGCTGGTCGTATAGGCCTAAACAATGTAAACGTTTGACTCGATGAGAATTGGTTCTGGTTGAATGGCGTGGTTCCTGGTTTGACTTAAGATGACGTGTAAATTGGCAATTATTTGTTTTATTCATATAATTGGCATTGGTATCAGTCTCGTGTGTAAATTGTAAACCATAGATGCTAGTTCTGATATCAGATAATATATCTACTATGTTCGCTATTATAGTATCTACTTTTTACAACATAAATTCTGAGATAATTATGTTTTAGACGTTTAAGCTATTTGGTTGCTGATGAGATTACTTCATTAGTTTGTCTTCCAAAGAGAAGTTAGAACACCATTTAAACGGATGGCAAATGATGCAGGCAAGTGAGGCCAATGTTTTGAAAAATGCCAATTATTCATTGACATGCCTATTTTCTCATCTTGATTCAGTTTCATGGCTATTTTTTCGTTTTGATTGGGTGTACTTTTGAAACCTGATTTGGGAGTTACATTTTTCCACTCAAGTTTCAAGTAAATTTTTTATTTAAATTGTATTCTGGTTGGACACTGGTTAAATTGATTCCATATTAGATATCTCAATCAAGTTCAGATGTTGAATTTGGATTTGTTGGGGAACATGTTTGGATTTTATTAAAAAATCTTACAATGTTACACAACACTCTTTATTCCGCAACTGCCACGTTTTTGGACCTCTGCACCAAGTGCCAACCCGATCAATTTCCCAGGCGTTACTAGTTTATAAAAAACATTCTTCTATTTGTTGCTTTGATCCCAAGAGAAATTCGTTTTAATGTATAAAAGCAAATGACGAAGTAACTGAAAATGAAACCTTGCATATTGATATCTGATACGCGCATTGAGTGCGGAGACAGAAATCCAAAAATGAATACGTAAACAGCGAAGTCGAAACGGAATTGAAATTTGATGTGTTTTAAATATATGAAATTAGTTTTTCATTTAATTAAATATTCCCATTCTGTGGAGTCATTAAGATATCCATTAAAGTATCTTTATTTTATTAGATACGAGCAAAGAACGAACGCTGCCACTTATATCTTTCTCTTCCAATAGCAATACGGTGAAGTTGGAGAAACTGGTAATGCTTGGGAACCAAAATAACCTTATCAATGAAACCTAAAAACTGCTTTTTATCTAGACGAAAGCTACCGACAGGGCAATGTATTCTACTAGAAGCATTAGGATTTGACAGATCGGGACTGACACCAAGGTTCACTAATTACACAAAACTAGGATGAGTATTAGAAAAACTGAAGTCGACGAAGTGAAATGAAATACCAGGCCACATAAAATGAAATATATCAGTTTATAGCAAAGATGTTATCAGTTGAAAATGCAATCTAATTTGCTTCGTTTTCTGGTCATAAATTAACAAAGGACTTTATGGCTTGATTTCATTCTAATGTCATTTTTCAAAATAGCACCATACTGATAAAGTTCATCTTTGACAGTGACACAATCATAATATAGTCAATCTCTGACAATGAGACACTCATAGTGGACCCAAGTCGATATAAAAAAAAATTAATAAAAATCAACTATTCCATAATTCCCCGTGAGACTCGCTTCACTTGCTGTTGATCGCTACGGCCCCAGGTCAGCGAGGCAATCATAATTGAACAATATCGTTTATAGTTCGTTTTTGACATTGAGACGCACGATTGAACCGCAGATCATTGGGACTCTTATCCACAACTGACTGTCAACGATCGAATTGTCTCAGATTCAAGACATGCACACTTTCATACGCACATTTCTGCTCTGCGTGGGCAGTTCATTTTTTCAAATCTAACACATAAGTCGAAGTCTTTCTATATCTTAATGAATTGAATCACAATAAAAGATATCGTGAGGGGATTTCAGTGACTGGAATCCACATTGATTCTCATGTCACTCCTGTGACGTGAATAATTAGAAAGATAATCAGATTAACAATAATCTAATGATTGTAGAATATCATGGCAGGCACATGGCATACGACCACACAATTTTATATTTCGATAGAAGTAGCGAGAATATACATATAGAGAAGTATTCAATCTACAATGTAAAAAACGTTAGAATGGATTTGGAATTAAATCTACAATATGGAGAACAATAAAATTAAATATATTAATATTAAATAAAGTTTAATATTTAATCCAGAATATGTAATCAACAGAAGGTTTGTATTAATTATACAATTAATTCTATGAAAAAAAAATTTTTCTCAGAATATTTTTGCGCCTGGATGGTCCTGTTGGTCAAATTATAGCTCATTTTCAATCGATTATCCTAGTTTTCGCAATAAAAATGACTACGGTTTGACCCATGAAATAAATGATCCCAAAAATTTAGAACAATTATTATAAAGAAAACTTTCGCATTACATCTTGCTTCACATGTCCAGCGAGTACCTCACAGACAAAACTCTTCTAATGATGTCATCGTTTAAAAAGTGACAAAAAGGCCCCAAGCCAATTTGTGCATCTAGGCCTACTTCTGATTTGGTGTTTTCCATGTGCTATTCCATAGAAACTGAATAGAAAAAAGAATAGAAACTGGAATCTTAAACATTAGGAGTTTCCTGTGGTCTGAATCTATCTTCAAACTATATTCAAATATGTCACTTTATGATACATGGGTATAACGGAACAAATCTAAAAATACACATTTTTCATTATTCTCATCTTTTCTTGATTCTCAATTATAGAACACATCTTAAACGTTTTTATTGATTCTGGTGTTTGATATCACAATGTATACGTGCTCCTAATGAACATGGCATCGATCAAATATGATTTTCATTCCAGCGAGAGTACAGTTTAAATTAAACTATTTATCCGATTTATGTACACTGGGGATGCATGACAGGGATGGGTCGAACCTATTCCGGATTATTTCAGCTTTTTTCTAATAGTCTTACTTTAAGTAGAACATCTCCTTATACTACCCTCATTCCTATACCCAGCGCGCAGAATCTAGTTATAAACTACGAAGCTCTCTTTTAAGAAGCGAAATCTAACGAACGCTTCTATCATATTTGACTGATCGGCCACTGTTCCACCGAACTGTGGATAATATCAGCCTGGCTTTATTTGGAGCAATCAAGACAAATCCATTGATATTGAATAATTAAGATTATAATTAAGCAAGGTTATTAGTGGATTAAGGAGGTTGATTTTGGAGTAATTGGCGCTGGGGGGAATAGTTGAATCCGTGGCTGAGAAATAATCGATGGCATATAAAAGCGAAATCACAACCGTGGGGTTTGTTAATTAAAATAGAGCTACATGAAAGGAGAATCCGTCGTCTTATGGATTGTTCGTAAGTGTTCTATTAAAAGTCATAGAACACGCGCCGCCTCAATCGATGTTCACAGAGGAGTCGATCAAGACTAAAAAACAAGTACATGAAGTGGGAGAGAGTTTAGATTAGGCGAAGACCTCAAGAGAAAACTAGGGGCAAAATTGTCACCCCACAGCGGCTATACCTCAATGTCATATGGTCACGGTGAGTTGAACATTGAATATCACCAGAAATCACGTGACCAGGCACTCTGGTGATAAAGATACTTATCCGATTTCTACAACGATTGTTTCGACAATTCAAGCTATTAATGTGCAGTATAATAGGCAAGAACTGTAGCAAGGAATACTGATATTAGTTTTCCGTTGTTTGACTGATACTTCAACTCTGATTTACAGAATCCACTAAAGCAACTGAGAATATTAATCAGACGGTTGCAGAATGATAGAACATGGAACTCACAGGGTGGATTATATAATTGTAGGAGTCTCACTGACTGAAATTGACAGCGAGAACCTCGAAGATTAGGGTAGCTTTGTTTTTGCCTGAAAATCATACGTTTATTCGTTGTACGTTGAGACTGCAGGTAAGTGTCGTTAGATATTGCAATTTCTACAATAGCATGTAACATAAGGTGTATTTCTCCTACCTGCTAATGTAATAGACTGATGTATAATATTATGGCGTCGGGAAGAAATGGCACTGCTGCATTGATGAGAAACGTGAATCATTTTTATATTAAGTTGACATTCATGATAATTGCATTTGTGGAGTGCAATGTTGCGTTCGTGTCAGTTTAGCTTCTTATTGATGTCAAATTAGACGTCGAGAATAAAAAAAGTTAGACTGATCAGCCACTGTCACTTACTTTATTACTCCAACCATGGGCTTTCATCCATTGAATGCCCATGCTACAACTCGAAATGCACAAATGGCAACATTCTGATACAACATTGTACCTGCTTTCGGTTGCACCGCGGAGAGTACTTGTCCTGAAGGCATATATACAAGGATAGAGATGGACAGGAGAAAGTGTTAGTTATCACGATACAAATAAATCGGTGTCAGAAAATGGTGTAGTTAAAATAGTTCAAAGAATCAAACTTGTGTATATTAGTTCATTTAAAGACTCCTCTGGGATATTTGGGGTTAAAACAGAAATATTATTGTTGGAAGCTCCAATACTCTAGACCTCTCTTTGGGGAAATTGAAATCTGTATAGCATAAGCCAGGGAGAATCTGATAGATCAGAATGTCCGTCAGGTGATCGTTATCATTAAATGTACATTGGAGGATTTAGAATAAAAAAATCAGTAATTTCCAGTAACTCTTAATATGAGAATACAGCAGGTTGACCCTAAGTTGGCCTTTACACTACACTTTGAATACTTATAATTTTGAAAAAAACATTCAAAAACCTAAATTGGGAGCCTTCTCCGAATTGGCAAACTTCGATTTGGCATTAAATTACATGTTCTTGGGCCTATCAAACTCAGCGCTCAGGGTAGCATTTATGGATGTTTTCAATACATTCATTCACAACATTATTAGAGGCTAATATTAGAGCTGCCAATAGAGTTTTTGTATGATTTTGTTGATCGTTAAAAAATAAAATGTTGGTTCACATTTTGAAAGAAACATACATTTATACCATTTTAAAACATCGATAATAATTATGGCATGACGTCATTTAATACTCTATTTTGAGATTATTTAAAGGCCCACTTTGCGTATTTTCAATGTTTTTGGGCAAAATAAAGACTTTTATTTGAATTCTATAGAATGTCCAATATACTGATAAGAACCCTATGTTTCATTTGACACCATCAACAGCTCAAATGGACCACATCAAAGCTTACAATAATTAATCAAAAATTATTTTCAATCTGTCAAGCTATCAAGTTTTTATCAGTGTCATTGAAAGATGGCGAAGTTGTTTGTATAGCATGATACATTCATTTTTATAGAAGTGTCGCCATCTTTTAAATCAAAAGTAATTAAAAACATGCACTTTGTTTATCATGTGCATGCATGTCTAATGATCTCTGAACTTCAAATGCTTTTTTCAATGTGAGTTATTTTTCCTTGGTTCAATATTAAAGCAAATCAAACTTTGTTTTATATTTGAGCGAGTGTGTGAGTAATATGTTTCAATGGTAATTTTTTCTTTTTTCTTCTAAATTAAAGGGGCAATAAGGCTTGTAGAGAGAAAATAGGAAAATTTTAACGTTTTCTGAGCTATCAAGGCAACAGTTGGCTTAACATCTTCTTCGACATACCTATTTTCTTAAAATGTATGGATAACCTATCAATTTTGGCATTAAAAAGTTTAAATTCAGGTCAAAGCTTCAAAAAGGGGACGTCCACTTTTATATTTTTAAGATCCACCATGTTTCAAGAGGAATATAAGCTGAAATAATGATTATCTAGGGGGTTTCTTTGTAAAAAATAAAAATAGATGTTAGTCTAGATGAAATATCCAAACTTAAATATATTTTGACACTGGTCCATGATCGTTGAATGTCCCCTCTGCACTACTTGTTGCACCTTTAAGTATAGTGGGCCTTTAATTCATGTTTCTATCAATGCTGTGTGGTTATTACAGGTAAGTCTCGTCTAGTTCCTAGTGTCAAATACTTTGTTAGGGAAATAATACTAGTCTTGCTTCAATATCTGCCCCCTCCCCTTATATCTTGTCGGAAGGTGAGAAGTACGGGGGAGGGGGAGGGGCACAAACTTGCTTGTAGCTAGACTACGGATTTAGATGCATGTGGAAGTTTGAATAAAGAATAAAATGTCTGGGTTTAAGCATCTAATCGCCCCGCGCTCTTTATTCACTATGATCAGCGACCCCTTGAGGAAGTCGACTGAACGAAGATGGGGTATGAGGCTTATCGGACATATTATGAGACATCATATGAGCTTATACTAAGTATCTAAGCTCATTTGTATTTGAAAAACAGGATGATGTCATGAGTATTAGAATGTATAAGGCAGCGAGTACTACGAGTACTATAAAGCCCCTGGAGGTATGAATTAAGGTGAGGAACATCCAGGAAACATATAGACCCTTGTAATGGACATGTTGGTTCTACCTACCTATAGGGGATCATTCTGGACTTAACTCTATCCATATGGAAAACAAGAAATTAAAACTACTGTAAGCTATCTTGTTAGCCTAGAATCATTACAGGCACCATTAGTGAATTAAAAGTCAGACAAACATAAGCTATCCGTGATTTCCATCTGTTAATCTCAAGAGACACTGTACACTAAGTACAATGTCTAATAGAATGAAGTCTAGAAAGCCTTTCCTGTTTTCACCCGACGTTTGTGGATTAACCTAAAACGTGTGCATCCTGTTATTTTTAATTGCATTTTAAAAATGTACAGTTCAATTATCACGACAAAAAGTCATCTTCTGTTGATTCCCGATCACTTGTAAAAAGACAAAACGCTGGTCATGAATACTAAAGCTGTAATGATTACGGTCAAGATAAAAAGGACGTCTTTTCTGCACCCTCCGAACATAGACCTCCTGAACATAGTGGAAAGGAACGTAGTGGATGATGCCCGGAGCCCTGCGTTCGGAGGATGGTCTTTCCGTGACGAACGCATTTTCTTCTTTGAAATGAATTAAAAACAACGTAACGTAGGCACTTTGGCTGTCATAACAGAAGCCAGAAGATCAACAACTTCAATTTGGCGAAGAAAAGCAAATGTAAAATGAGACAAAACGAGATGCGATCACCTTTATTAAACATGCAAAAGATTTCTAGGTTCATTACGAAATAGAAACACACAAAAGATTACAATCAATTGCCGCGGGCGATACATTGTCCGTCACTTTCATTGAGGGGCCATGTCGTCGAGCCATTGTTTATTTATCAAAACAGCGTCTGTTCTTAGCTTCGATCGATTAACAAGAGAGTTATTTTTCAGGCTTGACCAAGTCGTGAGTGACCAGTAGTGTGGTAATAAATATGGGAAAGATGTCTCTGCTGTTCCACATGGTCTACATCTTCAGCTACCTAACAACCAGTATAATAGCAGGTAATTCAATAAAATCTCAACTTTCAAGTCTGAAACTATTGAGCCTCTAAAACCCCAAATTGAGCCAACATTTTGAAATAAGGCCCATTTTCTGGATGATTTTGCCTAAAATTAATTATAAGGCCTCAAAAAGGCCCACTAATTTTTGAGACCATCCCCTCCCAGATCTACCAGTGAATCAGAATCATAAAACTAGGCAGTGGCAGTTACAATAAAATACAATGCCAATAATTAAATTTATTATCAATATAGCCATCACAATTAATGAAAGGTATAACGCTATCAGATGAGCTGATATTGAAATACATAGCCGTTTGGACCGGCATTGGATGGGTTCGGACGAACCCCCGGTCAGGGTCCCCCCCCCAAAAAAAAGATTCACCAAAAACTGTAATAAAGAAAATCAAATTGTCTAACTTTTACAAATTCAATTGTATTTTGAGAAAACAAAATAGAGGTATCGGAAATGTCAATTTATTTTTTCCAGCCCTAAAAACAGGGTTTTCTTTATACTGTACATATTATATAAATAAAAATCCAAACATTACAGGATTAAACACTCCATCGGGAGTTAAGGTTGCCAAACTTTTAGAGGGGGTGTAAATTGTATGTATAAAAAACAGAAAAATGGTTTTATGTGAGGGACTCAAATGAAGGGGGAGATTTGTGGATAACATGAAAAAATACAGAACCCCTGGTCACCAAATCCTTGCTACGCCATTATTAAATATAATATATTCTTATAATATATACCAGAATTGTGTATCACTACATTAGAGCATGTTTCTAGTGAAACAGAAAGATATGATGAGTATAAAAATGAACAATACCCATTGAGGAAATTAATCTGGGCACCATTTCAAAGATGTGACCTCAGGTATATCTTATACTGGGTAGAATTTTTTGAGTTAAAATGAAGCTATTTGTCTCAAGCTATTTGATCCAATCATCAGATACAGACATGTTTTATTCAATGGAGTTTGTATGCCCTCTCTTCACTGGATTCATTACTCTCAAACGAGAATATTATGCGTTGCCATTGGGATTGATGAAAACTCTTTGCAAGAGGTCGATTTTGGATACACCCTCATAGAAGTAATTCTTGGACTTTATTCAATCCGGGTTGTATTGTGTACTGATTAATGTATTTTGAGAAAAAATCAATAAATTGGTTAACCCCACATTTTAGAAAAAAACTAGATTGATAATTTTCACTTTGTAACACTATAAATAACAATGTAACAATACAAATATATGTTACCCTGCGTGCAGAGTCTAGTTAAACTACACTCTGCCTAGTAGAGACCATATTACAGTTAAGTAGCCCCGCCCCACGACGCGGTGACAGTTTGGGTAATAAATCAATTTTGACCTACGCGCTGACCACCAATCAGCGAGCTTAAAGAAACATACGCCAAATGCGTTCTAATTAAATATGCGCATGTCATTGGTCAATTCTGGGCTCGACGATGACGTCAGAAGGAATGACCATATATAGAACGTCGGTCAAATTTGGCCGACGAACACTGATTGGCGCGGTGAGTTCACAGGTTTATTTTAGTTTGAAAGAGTGAAGACGGAGCTCTCTTTTAAGAAGTGAAGTCAAACGAATGCAAAGGGTAAATATATGTGTATTGCCAGGTGAAGAAGTACGATGGCCAAATATTAACCTACACCTTCCTAGTTATAAGTGAAATGGCGGTTTTCGTAGAGTAGAGCCTATACTCTAGGAAAATACTCTATGGGTTTTTACACCCTGATCAGTGATCACTGTTTTTGTCAGGAAATCAATACACTGTATTTTCTGTCAATATAAAGAAAGGTACATGTGAGATTGTTATGATCATGTCAGCATCAAAACTGTAAATCACGTGTGGTAGTAAGAGTGTAGTGTGACTAGCCAAAGGGGTCCAGGGTATCTGATTAAGCCCATACCCAACTGCCATAACAGATCACTTGGAATACTTCTAATATCATAATCTTAACTTATTCAAACTTAAGAGTTTCTAGGAACAAACTCATTTTGTAAAACTAGAACTACTTATAGACCATATTGACTTGTTTACGGTCGGTCTATTTCCGGTAAGTCCATTTCATCTGTTATTTCTTGAATAACTCAAGTCAATTGATTCTGAGCAAGATCCTCTCATACATTTGCACTGGAGAGGATGCGCATTTATTTGACTCATTTTTGAATTAAATATATATATTTATTAAAACACATAAACACTATTTGTTTAGAAAACTTTCAAAGCGCTGTCATTTCCAATTTTTGGGTCAAATCATCAAAGAAAAACAATCATATCTTTTACTTGACCTAATCTGTTATATACCCCGTTGAATAATAGTATCACTGTGAGTATATGTGGAACATTTTCCAATTTACCATTATCGATTCCATACTCTCAAATTCAATAAATGGAGATTTTCAAGAAAATGAACCAAAACGCTTATGTTGTTAACATATTCAAAGAATTAATCCGTCAGAATAGTACACTGAAATTTCGGGGAATATTTTTGTCAAAGAGTTATTCTTGAGTCTGAGTAAAGTTTCCTTCACTGGATACAATTTCCTTAACTGGACTTTCGAACAATCATTTAATTTTGTAATTCATTCAGTTAGAAGGTTTGTTTTTGTTAGTTGAGAAACTGTCCTGATTTCTGTGGCGTACCAAATATTCCAGTTACAGTTATAGGTCTATAGGATCTAGATGATCGTTGTTGGCCTCCAAAAACGCAGCATTTGCTGGGATGTTGACATATCTCCAATTTGTTAATTGTCAAGAGTAGATAGCAAATACTATATCGTGACATCTTTCACATTCAGAATCAGATTCACGATGTACGAAAGATTTACGAAACCATATTTCATTTGTTTGGATTTTCTACTTTATTTTCTTGTTGATCAAGCAACCATATCGCAATTAATCACACCCTCCGAACACAGGGCTACAGAATTCGTCCCTATCTTTTCAAGATCTTGGGGCAAAGCAGTTAGAGAATACCATATCAGGATAGCGAGGGTTTGCGCAATCTTTTCCTGTAATCTATTACAAAGTACATCGCTTTGATATGCTACACAATAATTAACAGTTCTTCAAAACACTTTATAATAGTTTTGCAATCAATATTCTACTGTATGCCAAATATTAGGTTCATGATACATCATAGTTTTCTCTTTTGATATTTGGGCTATGGTACTGGACTAAACAGTATTAATCACGAAAAATTATTTATTCAATGCACTAGTCTTGAATAAAAAAAAAACAGTTTTCATTCACTGATTTATCGTCTACCGATTTTATCAAAATAGTCCAGTTCAGTCAGAACACACAGTGGGCACATTTGAAAAGTCAGCTCTTTGAATTGAACCTGCTTTATGAGATTCCATGTGCAATTAACGTTAGTGAATATCAATACAAGGCAAGAAGAAAATATCAAAATCTAAAATCATAATTTATACAATCATATAATTACTGATCGTTTATCTGACATAACACACCTAGATCTGAGAAGTTTCGGTTGATCGTCCCTTCATGTTTGCTGATATATGTAAATGATCAGGACTTCCTTGATTGGCTAAAATTGCTTCATCAATATATCGATGTCTTCCTAGGAATTTTTCTGTGTAAACTGTCAGAGTTTCTAGAGATAGGAACTTATTAATGTCATATTTAATCTTATGAAATGCATAGAGTTGCCTACCAATATCATCAAACACGACATAGATTAATAGCAAAGTTGACCTTAAATCGTGCCTTTACTTGAACTTTAACAATCACTCAATTCAATCCAATTACAATTCTTCCAAAACTACCCTCTCCTTCAAAAGTCTTTCAGAACCAGCTCCCCGTATTGGATCACGTTAGGAGAGTCTGTTATATATTCGATGATTCCACTGACTGAAATCATAAAATCGTCAATTTCAAAATTGAGTGCCTGAAAAAATTAAACATAAACGCAAACAAGCTTTACAGGCATCTAATGGGGGGGGGGTCAAATATTTTTTGTAAGGAGGGAGTAAGTCATTCTGAGAAATACACTCCCCGTAAAAAGTTTAGAAACCCTTATTCCTTTGTGGCTGTTATTGTGTTGCTCAACTAATGTCAAATGTCAATCAATTCATCAAGTCAATAACCAAATATCAATTAATTGAAATCAAAATAAATCACTCTGTCAGACAGACGCACTATGAAGGAATAATTCGCTCTCATCTGAAACGGAGTGATATCATTTACAAACTTTGATTTCTTTGCTACATTGCTAGATTAGTACTGAACGACAGTTTACATTTAGACTATACTGGATTACTTAGTGTAATTCCTTGTTTTGAATGGGAAAAAGCCTGAAGAGATGAGGCTGTTATGTCAATCAGAAAGCTTTCAAGCCTTGCTTCCTGGACCCCAGGGCCGATTTATGTACAATACGTTCTGCCAAAGACACACGGCAATCAATATAAAGTAGAAGTACCTAGGGAGTAGGAAATAATGTGATATGCGACAGGGACACGGTTACTAATCTCACATTTATGGCGGATTAATTCAGTGATATGTTATGGAGCACAGGAATCAATGTTTATTCGTAATTACTTCGAGATAATCGAGCAAATATTTACATATGGTTTTTATGATGATTTTTCCAAATTATTGTAAATGCGGTTTTGGTGAGTCAAATAGCAGTAAGCGCGAAAGACATTCAAGGTTCGAAGAATACTTACAATGCAAATTTCTTGTTTCCAATCTTGTTTTGAGGAGCGAATTTAATTCAATCAGACGAATCTCATATCGGACTGTTGAATGGTTGTTATAATATGGCTCTAAGCAAAACATAAAAAGTGTTATCGTCCAAAGATGTAAGATTGCTCTGTCAAATTGGTTGGCCAGACTACTAAAAATGTCCAATTAACTGTTTCAAAATAATAGTTGAAAACGAAAACGATTGCCCTAAAAATTCGATATATATATATCATTGAGTCTTGAAAACAAAACACATTGTTTTAAATTGATAACGATAAGTAATGTGATACATATAGTTAAAAGAACACAGAATAAATTGTCCTTAAACCGAATATTTGATAGCCCTAAAATATACATAAACAAAAGTAAGTATTATGAAATAGAAACTTAATGAAAATATGATGTTCCAGAAATACACGTACGTACATAGTAAAAAGCAAGACACAAACTAAACGGTGTTTTTGGTAATTTATGTTTGTTTTTCGTAAAGGCTCAGTGTATATTTTGAAAAAAGTTTTGAGTCTTTTATTTCTCAAATATTCAAATTTTTTGCTATTTTTAAATAAAAGTTGAAATTTTTTTAATCATCAAATATTAAACTATACAGTGCAGAACACATATTTGAACAACAATGCAACGATTGAGCAAAGGACACTATTTCAATAATAAAATCTCATATCTAATGTGCCAGTTCAATCTTTTCTAAATATATAATTCAAAAATAAACCAATATTGATTGTCTATAAACCAGGTTGAAAGAAAGAATATATTATGTTTGAATATTATTGTGCATTTGGTTTCTATGAGAACTAGAATTTTGAAATGCATTCTTCTCTAAACCATTTTCATGCATGGATGAATTCATTTCTTGTTGCTTATTTATGGACAAATGTTCTTCATTTTCCTATAGAAGACACATGAGGATGAATGCATAGGTGTGAATTATCGCTTATTAAAAGATATGCGTGAGCCCTAATGTTTAGTCCAAATAAATTCACGATTTTTCAAAAAGTCCTTCAAAATCACTTTTTGAAATTAAAAAAGTTCCCCATATCACATTTTGATGACATTTGGAAAAACTGTAATATAATCCCTTAAACTTTATATGGGGGCTTTAATAGAGTTAAGAATTACAAATATGGGGTATTATCTTATCGATTTCAAATTACTTCTTATGTTCTCTATTAATTGTAGACCACGTGTTTCCGTGTAAAGTCGGGTGGTCAGTCCTTTGGTGGAAGGTGTTTGACAGAACGCTTGTTGGTGATAGCAGAAAGTTATTGAAGGGCATCTCTCTCACAGAGTGTAGATACGCGTGCCTTGTGGAGAAAACATTCCAATGTAAGTACTCCATTCACGATCAACACAAATCGTGTTACAGGTCTTACCTATACTTCTTCCACATTTCTATTATTGTCTACGGATATATACAGCTCCAGATTCCAGAATTTGACAATAATAATACTTGAAAACATAAAAGCAAAAATTACGATGTCCCCCCATAATAATTTATACATGGCTTAAAATATGTATTTCTATTATATAGGTATAATATAAAGAAATCATAAATGAGATATTGATACTTTGAATTAGCTAAGTTTTAAAGTGAATCTATAACTATTTTTGTTCCAGGTAGATCGCTATCCTTCTCGCCCAAGGTTGACAAAGGTCATTGTATTATGTACGGCAAAACACGCTGGCAGGACACTCTCGCTTACCAACATTCACAAGTATACAGCTACCACGAATGGAAATGTGTAGAAGGTCCACGAGCTAATTAAATTCAAATTTTGTTTTCCGTAAATTTTTGTCAACTTCAAATTGTGAAAAAAATGAGAGTTGATACTTTGAGAAAAGTGATATACACTCCCCCCCCATAAGATTGGCAACAGGAAGTTGTTATCGGATGGCATACATTGTATAAAAGCCTGTCAACGTGTGCTCTACTTGTCTTCCAATGATTACAATGAAATAGTTCCAAAAATTGATGAATCTTTAAAGCGACAACCATAGGTTGCCAAAACTTATGGAACGAGGTCGTATTATCGTGAATCGATGACGTTACACAGCTTTTGATGGTTTCAGCAAATGATTTTTAAAAAAGGAAATCCTGTATTTGGATCATATGATTTTATAAATAAATCCAATCCAATAACTACGACTGGACAATAACATATATAACTGCAATAACAAACGTCATATGCTTTATCCCTATTGTAGATCACCGGGCAAATAGAATTAACAAGAGCAAATTGATTAGAACATTGGCGATTTTCCCATAAAATCAAATCCCATCAAAAACTTCAAAGCTCGGGAAAATCTTAACTGACATGATTTCCTTTTAGAGAGATGTCCTGACCAATCGGCAAACGAGATTAAGTGGAACGTCTTACCATATAAGGTCATAACAGGGCATAATAACAAGCGCTACTCTGGTGTCTGGAACTACGACGAATGTCGAGGTCTTTGTTTGTCAGAGGAAACATTTAAATGTAGGTAGGTATAGTACGCGTTATTTCCAAGCATTTTGGCACATTGTGTGATCCACAGCCGGAGTGGGAGTACTATCCTAGTGTGGATAGCGTCGGGTAAAGAGGGGGTCTGATAACCCAGAATAATCCTAACGCCCTCTTTTATTATGACATCGAACTAATACTAATGGTAGATTATAATGATATGCATTTGGCGTCTGTAAATTAGATCTGTTATCGGCTAAAAATTACGAAATCAAGGCGAAGAACTTATGTCTAAATAATGAGAATATAGTTTAAAAAGTAAGTGATACTGTTTTGAAACAATATGTCTAGATATGTAATTTATTACTCGATTCAAGGAGACGTCATCAAAGCCATCTTTGACCCATTTATATATTATAATTTGAAGGTCAATAGAAGTGAATATCTACAATGGTGAATGCTTTCTTTCTTCGATGACCAGAGACGACGAGAATACAGAATTCACACATGGCAACTACTACTACCATCAAGTTGTTCCATGCACAGGTAAAGCATTTTCACTGGTAACAAAATGTCGGAACGTCGAAGGAACGATTTTTCTTTTTTCCTTATTTCACGCGTTGTAGGCAGAATCCCAACGACTTTTTTTCACAAACGTGTATCAGCATCATATGTTTTAGAAAATGTACATGTTTGCGAAAGATAGCTCAGAAGACAACAGAATCGTCGATTTAATTCCTCACTTAAGTTACATAAACGGTTTGGGTTAAAAGTGCAACCTCTTAACTGTTTTTCGAAAAACCGTTTATGTAACTTAAGTGAGGAATTTAATCGACGATTCTGTTGTCTTCTGAACTATTTGTTCGGAAATATGTATATATTCTTAAACATATGATACTGATTCACGTTTGTGTTAAAAATGTCGTCGTGGGAATTCTGCCTACAACGTGTGAAATAAGGAAAAAAGAAAAATCGTACCTTCGATGTCATTTTGTTACCAAAACGAACGGTTTCAGTGACCAGGGTAATCGAGTGGATCACCAGTGACTTTAGTCAATCCATAAACTAAAACTACACATTCCACCTTGTGATTGCACCAATCTTTAGAGAGAAGAGGACAGAATCAAAAATGATATTTACAGAATCTGAGAGTGTCCCACAAACTCCTTCCAGCTTAAACATGTAACTTACCATGTTTAAGTCCCCATGTAAAGTTTGAAAATATTTTTTTATCATTCACTTATTATTTGTCATGATTTCGAAGTTATTTTAGAGATTTTTGAAAAAACTTTTTTTTGAAAAAAAAAGTTGAGAGCTTTTCATTTCTCAATTCAAATTTCACGCCATTTTTCAGAAAAAGTTTGAATCTTTTAATCATCAAATATTCCTTTATACATTTCAAAAAAATTATGTTTTTACACCAATGCAAATATTGAACAAAGGACACACTATTTCAATAATAAAATGCCATATTTAATGTGCCACTTCAATGTTTTAGCATATGAAAAATATTTTGCAACCTAAGTGATGTCATTATGACTCACTCAGATGGCAAAAACTTTTTAAAAATAATGAAATGAAATTTTTTTTCTATGTCAGTCTTTTCTAAATATGATAAACTTCAATAATAAACCAATGTTGATTGTCTAACCAGTGTAAAATGAAGAATATTTGATGTAAATATTATTACCATTGGTTTCTATGAGAACTAACATTTTGAAATGCATTTTTCTCTGAACCATGTTTATGCATTGATGAGCTCATTTCTCGCATATTTATGAACCGATTTTCTTAATTTTTTCGGCCAAAAAAACATGTATGAATTACAGCTTATTAAAATATACGCGTGACCTCTAAAAGTTAGTTTTAAATAAATTCACGATTTTTTGAACAAAAAGTCCTTTAAAAAACACTTTGATATTAAAAAAAAAGTTTCACATGTCACACTTTGATAACGTTGGGTAAGACTACAATATAAGCCAAAGTGGTTTAAACTTTGTATGGGGGCTTCAAGTAATTTGCGAAGGCATGGCGATCTTTCATTAAAACTGTATTTCAATTGTAACATCATGATCTCTAGAAATGTTATTGAAGAATAAATCTTAGCGGAGGAAGGACAGACTTCAAACAAAAAATAATTATAAAAATACCATTAATTGATGTTTAACATGGAGTCCGTTTTGGGGAAAAATATCCATATCAAATCACGCTGTTTCAGATACAATTGCATAATTTACTTCTGTATATCCAAAGTTATTCAATATTTTGTAAATTCAGATCGCATATAAAAAAGATTGAAAATCAAAATGAAAATGTTGATCTATTTCGGACCACTCTGTAGATATACGTTGTCTTTACAGAATCTACGGGCTGGTCTACCTGGACACCGTGGTCCTCGTGGGGTCCGTGTAGCATGACATGCACAGGAGGTACGTTGAGCCAGGGTAGTCGATCCAGGACAAGCAGACGCAAATGTCTCAATCCAGGACGCATGGCATATCCATCAGAGGGTTGCGTGGACGAGGCCAATAGAACAAACACAGAGATATGTTATACATCACGGCCCTGTCCGCCAGGTAGAGTATGAGGATAAGTGGGTTTGTCATACATAGACTTAGTCTATAGGAGTATAATTCATATTAAGGGCCGGCCTGTGTCAATTTCATGCGTACTAATCTATCAAAATCAGTGCCCAACACACCCCATGTAGTTCAAATGGGCCTTCTATGTTACCTTGGCCCATTTTCCCCACTCTGTACTGCATTATGGAACATGTTCCCATGTAACTACAAAAAGCAGTGTAGAAAATTAAAAAGACCCAATGAGACTCAATGGCACTCAGGGGGTCTGACCTGTGTAGACATCTTACTGTACTTGTTCTGTAATGTTATCGTATCTTTGCAGTTCATGGCAGTTGGGGTGACTTCGGCCCATGGAGTAAGTGCACAGTAACATGTGGAAATGGTATAGAGTTCAGTAAAAGGAAGTGTGACAATCCTATGCCAATGTATGGGGGAGATGAGTGTTTGGGTAACTCTGTGCGAATTAGAAATTGTACCAGCGCAATATCATACTGTCCAGGTGAGTGTATGCCAATGCCAAGAACAAATGAGTTATTATATCTAGTATTCTCTCAGATATCTACCACTTTGCAGATGATCACTTCAATTATTCTCTCTTCATACAAAGCCCTATTTTATTGTTCACCGAAAGTTGCAATTGCATTTGATTACTCCTCTTCAGAAGGCATCGAATTACTTATACTCGTACTTGAGTATGGGAAATTGGAAGGTACCGGATGGAAAGCATATAACTAAGTCAACAGTAATCATATGACATGTTTGTTACCGTGCGTATATGGAGGCTGTATATTATCATAAATGTATACATATACCTAAACATATATAATATTTAGTAAATGGTGGATGGAGTGAGTTTGGTCCCTGGAGCAGCTGTAGTAGGACATGTGAGGCAGGCGTGATGTACAGAATCAGAGATTGCTCCAATCCTACCCCTCAGCATGGTGGCCAACCTTGCATTGGTAGCACTCGTCAAGTCATCAACTGCACATTAGTGACAAACTGTCCAGGTATTTGTGTGCTATCAACTTTACTTTATGTACCAAAAGTGTGAATTATAATATTTAGGGCATTAACTCTGGGATCAAGCGCCTTTTGTGGTTAGAGTGGAATCAAAAATGGTCGCCCTTTAACTGCTGATGTTAGTTATTCAGCGTGCTATAAGTGTAGAAAACAACAAAGATATTTTGGGATTTGCTGTAGATTAGTTTTATTGTTACATTACCTGCTAAAATATTATTGACACCCCTAAATCGTTAAAAATATTAGAGCAAAATAAAATTTTGAACATTTTGGCCCACGTTGTATATTGTGACAACTCAACATGACACAAACACATTTATCAAATATGGTGAATCTTGTTCATGCATTGACAATGGCGTGCTTGTCTAAACTTTGTTATGGTAATCATTTAAAGTGAATGGAGGTTGGGGAGCATTTGGGCCATGGAGCAACTGTGGAGCCACATGTGGGAAAGTCACCAAACAGCGATTTAGACAATGTGATAACCCAAAACCAAAGTTCAGTGGAAGTAACTGTGAGGGCCAACCTAGCGAGATAGCTGAATGCATAGATATAGGACTATGTCCAGGTACATCGATATAATTTCAAAATGGTTCCATAAGTACTAAGAATTGTGGATTGGTTCTGGACATTTTCGTTTGAAGGATGACTAAGTATAGAATATACAGAGAGCCTAAACAATATAACGTTTCTTTTTACTTTAGGGTTGAAGAGTTTTATACCAGTTTTTAATTTGATTGTGAACTCCATCTAAGACATCCCTTGTTATTTTAGTGAATGGTAACTTCTCTGACTGGTCCAGATGGTCAGGTTGGAGCGGTTGTAATAGTTCCTTGTGTTACCATGGCGACGGACTTGCATTCTATGGTACGAGAACACGATCTAGGCGGAGAATGTGCGACAATCCAGTTCCTATGTACGGTGGCGAGGAGTGTGTAGGGAACAAAACAGAGACGATATACGGAATCTGTAGTTTTGTTGATTCATGTATTGCTGTTGATGGTGGATGGACTGAGTTTAGTGCCTGGACACGTTGTAACGTTTCATGTGGTGTCGGTGTTATATTTAGAGAGAGGAGCTGTAGCAACCCTGAACCAAGAAATGGAGGAAGCAGCTGCATTGGTTCCACTATAGAAAGGGTTGATTGTTACAGTGGAAAACCTTGCCAAGGTAATGTCTACTGCAACTGAACATATTTATTTCAAATGTGAACGAGGCTGTGTGATGATTATGTTTACAATAGGTGAACAACTTGAAACTCATAAAGTGAACACAAATAATACAAATCTTCAGATTTTAAGCAATACAATATATCATGCCATGCTAACATGCAGATGAGAATATCAATAACTTGGAAACAAATTTGAGAAGTAATGGTTAGGAAGATTTAAAACTCATAGAATGAACACCAATAGAATGTCATGAATCGGAAGTCTTCACATCTAAATAAATGTATGTTAACATGGTATACAGATTTTATTCTCTTAAAGTTTCACTGAATTTATCTCCCCTCTAACTGTTTTGTTATCATATGTACATATTCATATCACTAGAAACCCATTCTGATACTCATAGCATCTCTCTCTCTCTCTCTCTCTGTTGCATCGCAGATCTCCAGAAGGATAGAGATGGAGAGGGCGTGGCTTACCACCATGCTAGAAACCAGGAAAAAGAAAATCGTATCATTATTAAAGCTTTCTTCAATATTTGCAGGTGTTAATGTATTTGTTGCCAATGGTACAAACACGAGTCTTTCAAATGAACAATTCCAGCCATATTTCATCCGTACATTGTCTCTGATAATTGGACTTGTGATTGTCATCATCTCAGTGATTGCTGCAATCTGTATCTATTTAAGGTAAGACGCATATAGTCGTAATGTATTTTACCAAATCAATAGTATTGGTGCTAAACAAGGCTGCATACTATGTCAATGGTTATGTGACTTTTCCATAAAAAATCAACATCAACTTCATTTTGTACTAACTGTTACATTATTTGATATAATTTCTGTTTACATTTATCTTAAAGAGCAACGAACATTTTTGACAGGCTTGCAAACAATTTTGATTCAGCATATACTTAATGATGATACCTGGGTTTCCCATACATAATGTTTGATATTATTGGTAAAATTCTCTCATTTCAGGTGTAAAATTAGGAAACCACCTCGGCGAAGTCTCGTTTTGGAGAAAATTCCTGGCATTTTAGACAAATATGACACCGACGAGCAGAACAAATATAACAATACCAAGCTAGTATTGAATCCATACGCGGAGAAAAAACGTGTTGAAAATTTAAGAAAATCCTTCCGCATAGAGGATATAGACCTCAAAGAGTTTAGTACTGAGGAGAGAGAACAGCTATGTGCTGGCCTTTTAGAATTACCAGAAGATGTTGGAAGACATAGAGAAACTAATTTAAGTCGTCCCAACTCATTCTGTGGAGACAGTTCACCTACGACTAACAGACATTGTGAAATAGCAGAACCTGATGTTGTTCTGTCCGCATCACATTTACATACGAAGGTGAAATCAAAACAACCAATGATGTCTACAGCAATAAGTAATGTTTTATAGTTTAAACGTATATGATACTGTCAGATGATTTGCTCATTAATTGACTTGAGATCTCTATTTAAGTCAGGCATTCGGTTATTTATTTATTTATTTGTAACACTGTGTATAAAAAGTATGAAGAAAAGAAGTAGTCAGCAAGCAAGTAATACTCGCACTAGAACCTGTTGTCAACATACTGATCCGTTGTCATGAGAGGGTGTCATGTTGGATACGTGTAATGTTTATGCAATACAGAAAAAGCCTCTTAGTAATTGGAAACTGTAAAAATTATTATGTCTTGTGTTAATTGAATATTTATGTTTACATAAGCATAAAACAATGTAAATAAGTGAGTATAGATGACTGATAGATAACAAGAACAATTATTCACAATGAACAATTATTCCAAATCGTTATCTTTATTAATTTGCAATTTTGATATGAAAGAACTAAATATATATTAGTTTTAGTATAAACTATTTTGTTGTTTATATATGTAAACTATTATGTCCACACATCCAAAGAAATAAGTTCACCAAAGAGTTATTACCAAGTGTGGAGAAATTCCATTAGACAAAGTAAATAAATTTTGGCATCAGTCTGAGCTACGTCTTCTTCCCAACATGGTTGGTAGTGTGGTGCAATCTCGTAGCACGATCAGAAACGTCTGCAACAGCGCCACACTACAATAGAGGCAGTCCCATTGATGCAATTATCCAGTAACCAAGACGATTGATAAGAATATCCCTTGGGTATCTGTCATCCTAATCCGCGATATATATTTACAATTCGAAAATATCCTTGCTGTACATAAAGCATTTCCCGTCCTTGTCTTCAGTTTTATGTTGCCTGCTCCTTTGCATAATTTCCGTTTAGAATAATCGAAGACTGTTTCGCATCCTCCTAGTGTGTTGTCGTCGCTCGAGTTCTGAATATCTTCAATGATTCTTTGTTTCGGTTCTTGTGTGCAGATGGACCGTTGCAACATCAATAAATATGGAATTAATTACGACAGCAATATAGTCGAAAATCGGCAACTGATACGCCGCTTGTTATCGTCCATCCTATACAGTTCTTTCGAAATGATCGAGATCATTTTGAAATCTGGAACTGAATATTGTTTTATAAATTCATTAGTTCAAGTACAATAAAATTCAAATAGAAAGTTGCATAACATTATGAACTGCCGCGATTTTAATTCCCAAAAAATTTCATTTCAAAAATAATATATAATTGATTAATGGTGATGCCCCTTACCCTTATAGGCTAACTTGCCTAAACTGATGACTAATATGTTTTACATGATTGACTTGACTTTGGGTTGAGATGACTGGAAGTATTGAAACTTATCCTATGCCAAGTAGGGTTTTAGGGAGATAAGTTGGTAAAATATATCCCGTATCCTGATTTTGAGGTTTCCATATCCTGAACCTCCATATCTCCCGCCATATCTCCCGCTCCAGGGCATATCTTCCCGCTTCGAAAACAAAATTTGAAAAAATAAGAAAAAATTGAAAAAAAGAAAAAAAGTGAAAAAATTGAAAAAAATAAAAAATTGAAAAAAAGAAAAAAATAGAAAAAATAGAAAAAAATTTAAAAAATAAAAAAAATTGAAAAAAATTGAAAGAAAATTAGAAAACTCTACTTGGTATAGGATAAAGCAGTTATGTACGGTCGGTTTGGTTATGGGGTTCATCCCTCGTGAGATATGCACATCTACCTTCGGTCCCTACGGTCCCTCAGGTAGATATGCATATCTCCCTCTGGATAAACCCCATATCCAGAACCTCCCAGTACATGACCCTTATATATCAGACGATATGAATAAATATTTAAAATGCACAATGAGATACACTAAGGCGGCAAAATGATCGTAGAGAATGTCTAGCAATGATATCACGGGGTACCATTGAATAATTTTGGCAACGTACCGGAGAACGACATTTTACTTAGAAATGGCAATAATTTAGCACAATATATTTTTTAACTAGAGTTCTATTTTGATTTTGACAAAAGTAAGTATTCCATGCAATAACTATTTCATTCATGAGTTTGTAGGAATTCTGTTGCAACCCAGTTCTGATCAAGTACGAAGTTATTGAAATCGGCGCAGACGGACTTTACTCCGAAAGATGGTTTTTCGATTATAACTTTTCACAACATTTAAGTATAGACTTTTGAAAAAAGTACAGAATAGTCCTTATACTTTTGAATAATTCTGTTATTTCTGATTCACACGACTCTGATTTGTTTAATTAAAAAAAAGTCTTAAAAATATTACTTAGGAACGTAACCGGAGCTGGGAACGTAACCGGAGCAGATCAGTTGAATTATTTAATCAAAAAAATTAAAATATATGATTTAAAGCACATACTAATTTAAAAACATACGGGATTGTTCGAATGCGTATTTATTAATATATATGCTTTAAATCATATATTTTATTTTTTTGAATTATATAATTCAACTGATCTGCTCCGGTTACGTTCCCAGCTCCGGTTACGTTCCTAAGTAATATTTTTAATACTTTTTTTTAATTAAACAAATCAGAGTCGTGTGAATCAGAAGTAACAGAATTATTCAATAGTATAAGGACTATTCTGTACTTTTTTCAAAAGTCTATATTTAAATGTTGTAAAAAGTTATTATCAAAAAAACATCTTTCGGAGTAAAGTCCGACTGCGCCGATTTCAATAACTTCGTACTTGATCAGAAGTGGGTTCCAACAGAATTCCTACAAACTCATGAATGAAATAGCCATTGCATGGAATACTTACTTTTGTCAAAATCAAAGTAGAACTCTAGTTAAAAAATATATTGTGCTAAATTATTGCCATTTCTTAGTAAAATGTCGTTCTCCGGTACGTTGCCAAAATTATTCGATGGTACCCCGTGGATATAACAAAACAAATATTTCATTTTATGTTCGGGCTACATTTGCACTTTCAATGATTTTTGCAGCATGTATTTCGCTCGCCCCGTACGGGCTGCGGGCAATAATACAAAAATCATTGAACGATGAACAGGTATTTCCCTCCATAAAATGAAATATTTGCTTAATACATTCTCTTTCAAAATGGCTAAAGGCAAGTATCGACTTCGATATTTCTTTTTTCATCCGAAAACATTCTGACTGCCTACATCAAGTTTGAATGACACAGAAATTCTGCAACATTATAAATCGTTCCCATAACGCGGATGGTCGCCTTCAACCAATGATATCTTCAACCACTTTATTTTTGCACGGTAAAGGGTATTCTCCCGGGTATTCTTTGTTGGCTATGGTGTACGAACATGATAGAGGATGCAGTCTACGGAGTTTCTATGTCGTGCAAGCTTGATACAGTCGAAGTCATTACGATCTTTTATATTTCTGTTGTTTTTTTGTAAAAACTCGATGACATTTCAATGTCATAAAATATTTAGAAACGTCTGTCTCGCATTTATTTTTTCTTCATAAAGCAAAACAATTGAATTATATATTCGACGAAAATAGATATTCTACAAATCCATTTATTAAAGTACAGGCACGGCCAAAAAACGTCAACCTCGGATGGACCTGACTATAATATCTAGATGTATATGCAATCAATGGTAGAATCAGAGAGATATAGGTCACTTCAAAATTAAGAATCTCAGTTTCAGAATCTTGTAGGCCCATGGCCTATCATGCTTTTTCCTAAAACTTGTAAAAGTTCATACCCTAGTGGCATCGTTATTCCAAATAAAGTGATAAATTTTAGCATCGTGTGTTCACTTTTAAAATAAGTGGATTATCCATATCTACTATTTTAACCATACCCTACTGGTGTATCATATCACTTAGTTACTTTATCTACTATCTTGTCATTTTCCCCAATAGTGTTGACCATCTTGTAATGTTATTTGAAAAAAACATTGTTTTACACATGATGTTTTTATAATTATCGGATTTTATACAATTACCAGATTTACAATACCAGAACATTGTTTTTCACATGATATTTTTAGAAACATCATGTTTGAAGAGGTAAAAAACAATCAATTTTACAATTACCAGATAATTGACCAGACCCGAAAAGATGTGTGCTAAATCCAATGCCCGGTGCGGGAATCGAACCCAGGACCCTCCACTCTCGAGGCAGACGCTCTACTGATTCAGCCAAAGGGGACAGATACTACCTGCAGCCGGAGACTGTAGTACCGACTTGCTATCGAAGGTCAATGTTAGCCACATGATAAGCCATGACATCTCATTCATTCTCAGCCCTGAGATGTTTCAGGTGAAACAGAAAGATGCTATTATGAGTACTATCATAATGACCATATACCATATCTAAGCACATCTAAAGCAATTGCAACCCGAATCATTATGATGTAAGAACCTTGATTATCTGCATCGTACATATTTCATTTTACCTAAGATGATATCAAAATAACATTTTGACGATAAAGGTTCATGTACACATGGACTCAAAGCAGTAGCGATTTCAGCTGTATTAAATCTGCAATGGCCCACCCTGTGATTGTCACCTTCGATACAAGTTTGTGTTTGGTGTCTACAACAAAACCTCGCCTTCGATACGGTCTCTATAACAGAAGCAGAGAGCCTCGCAAAAGCAATAAAGACAAGATGTGGCGATCATAGAGTGCACACTTAAAAAAATGGCAAGACTGTCCAGGATTTTTCAATCAACTACCTTACTTGGACTGTTAGTATGTCTTAGTCAAACAAGAGGGGCTATTCGTGGCAGCGTGCAACCATCAGACTATGAAAATTGGACAAAACGTGATGGAGGATGTGCTGGAAGTGACATTTCGAGTCATTCATCCGTAACACTAGACGATTGCTATAATATCTGTTTTAGTACAGGTGGATGCATTGCATTCTACTATGATTATACAAATCGCTGCTTTTTAAAGAACGCAAATTGCAATTTTCCTGGTGGTTATCCGGGGTACCAAATCCATTACGACCCAGACAGTTGTAAAATCCCATTGATAAATAACGATCCCATCGTTATATTTGAAACCTCAACAACACAGAATGACGATCACTTGCAATACGGACCCTACAACGCCTACATAGACTCAACAGGATGGACGCCAGCAGTAAGTGACGCCTCTCAATTCTTGCAGGTGACTCTCCGTCAGTTGACCACCATTGACAAAATGAGTACACGGGGAGATGGTGGAAGCCATTGGGTAACAGAGTATTACTTGAAGCACAAACCTCACGCTGAAGTTACCAGCTGGACGGTAAGAGGACCATGGCAAGCAAATATCAATGGCGACGACGTTGTAACACATCTTATACTGCCGAGGATCAATGCTATAATTGTCCGCCTAGAAATCAAATCCTGGCATGGGGTAATTGCACTCGGACTAGAACTCTATGGGTGTTCTGCACACGATGCTTGCTCGAGTGAACTTGTAGCAACTGACAACACAGCTCTGCTGACTGCATCCTCATTTGAAGAAGGATCGGAACCCGATAAAGCAAAGATTGACTTCACGGGATCATGGGGGCTACAATTACCAGCTAGTCAAGATGAGTGGATCCAAGTGAGTACTTTTGGATCGAGTCGTGCGTAGGTTAACTGAACACATACGCGAAATTCAGCCAATCCATCTTTTCAAATTATAAAACCAACTCATTTAAATAAAAAAAATGTGATGGATTAATTCTCTCAAAACCCGGGGTCGGTTGGTATAGTGTACATTCATTGATTTACATTGATGAAACATGTTCTACTTTCTGTTCTTCCAAATTAAATGGAGGACATTTAAAACTAGCTAGACGATTAAAGCCAAGTGTTGTTTGTCGGAATGGGAAAACCTTGGTCCAAGCCTATTTCACTCCTTTCCATAATTTCTGAATTGAGTAATTAATGAAACTCTTAAATGAAGGATTGAATGGAATCCTTATAGTAGTTGTGACTGTCCACACGACAATCAGGGCCCCCGGGGCTTTCACTGCAATATACTTCTTAATACCTATGTGCCGCCCCAAAGACCCCCTTTCTGAGCAATTTTCCATGTCAATTTCCTCTCAAGATTGAAGGTTTCCATGTTTAATTCCTCCGAGACTTACAATTGACTAAAAAACCAACTTTTCTAGTGATTTGTTCCAGGCCTAAGCAACTGATTTAACGAATTTAATACAATTTTTGTAGAAAGACTGAATTTTGACTTAAAAAGGTTACTTTCAGAGACAATTTTCCATGTTTTTTTTCCACTTAGATTGGCCAATTTCCATGTTTTATGCCCATACTGCACCTACCCAAATTATGTGGAGTGAACCCCTCGGGCAATCAGCTCAGGGACACTCAAATATGTTGCATCATCTCTCGATGTTAACATTCAGTTGCTACACTTTTGTAATTGTCAATGTAGAAGTAATATTCATTTGAATCTTTTTTAATTTGTATTTACAAATCCTGGCATCACCCATGGATAAAATAGAGAGTTTAAGCATCTTTTAACAACGTAACCGTGAACGGTAACTACAAGTCAATATAGGAGTGTGTCAAGTTCAGCTTCAGAGTTTCGTGTTTAGAACGGGAAAATTGAAATTCCACATAGGTGTCAACGGGAAACATTATACTCGTGACTATTGGATATTATGCTGGTTATTTTGATTTCGATTAAAGGCCCCATATAAAGTTTAAACCACTTTGGCTTATATTGTAGTCTTACCTAATGTTATCAAAGTGTGATATGTGAAACTTTTTTTTAAATTTCAAAATGTGGTTTTTGATAGACTTTTTGTTCCAAAATGTGTGAATTTATTTAAAACCAACTTTTAGAGGTCACTCATATCTTCTAATTAGCCACAATTCATACCAATGCATAGCATTCATCCTCCCATGTTTTTTGCCGAAAAAATTAAGAAAATCGGTTCATAAATAAGCGAGAAATGAACTTATCAGTGCATGAAAATGGTTCTGAGAAAAATGCATTTCAAAATTTCAGTTCTCATAGAAACCAATGGTACAATGATATCTAAAACATAATTTATTCTTCCTTTTGACCTGGTTAGACAATCAACATTGGTTTTTTATGAAAGTCTAACATATTAAGAAAAGATTGGCATCGAAAAAAAAATTTCAATTTTTTTCAAAAGGTTTTTGGTACCTTAGTGACATCACTAATGTTTCAAAATATTTTTGATATGCTAAAACATTGAAGTGGCCCATTAAATATGGCATTTTATTATTGAAATAGTGTGTCCTTTGTTCAATCTTTGCATTGGTGTTAAAAAGATAATCTTTTTTGAAATGCATGAAGAAATATTTGATGATTAAGAAATTTCAACTTTTTTTGAAAAATGGCGGGAAATTTGAATATTTGAGAAATGAAATGCTCACAACTTTTTTATCAAAATTTTTTTTGTTCAAAAATCTTTAAAATTACTTTTTAAGTTCTGACAAAGGTAAATGAATGATAAAAAAAATATTTTCAAACTTTAGACGGGGACTTTAACAGTAGAATTATTTCCAAAGAAAAGTGTGTATGGCATGCATGTTTTAGCTCCAAATATCTTACGAAACGAGCTCGTTTAAAATATGTATTAGAAAACTAGCTATAGAATATATATGCACAAATGCCAAAGGGAAGGGTGACTAAAAACTTTAAAGAAACCCAACAAGAAAAGCAAACTGTAAGTGTAAATCTGTCATAAGAAAAGTAGACCCTATATATCACAAAACCATGATCTAACGTGAAACGAAACAATGTCTAACATCCCTCTCCCCCCTCCAATGGAGAACCAATATCACAATCCAGGACCAGAACACCAAGGGACATTTCAATCATACTGAAGTCATTACAATACATGTTGAAGAAAAATTGAAAAAATTGATAGCCAATACTCATAACATCAAAAATAGTAAGTTGTAGATACTAGTACTCATAAAAGATAGAGTATTCAGTCTCAAATGATGTGGGATAGATAAAATCCAGTCTCGAAGTCCTCGAATTCAATTCAAAGGGTCAACATCCGTTCGCAAGGCCGTCATCATAATCCATATAAAAACACAACAATTTACAATGGTCATCAGGAGAAAACTGAAGCTGGTTTCGATCCCTATTTCTTAAAGGAATATTCCTTGCCAAACCATCTCTCTCCTCATATGGTAGCTATAACCATATATATGCTTGCCATGTTTACCAAAACACGCAAAAATGTTTGATATGGTCAAATTTGATCACTTAGAAATGTGATGCTCAATTCCAGTAAGCTGCCATCTTTTAAAGTTTCACACAGGAAGTGATGTCATCGACTCTCAACTTTGCATATAGCATTAGGTGAGAAGCTATTAAGAATTACAAAACCAGCTAAATATTCTTTTTCAACTTTGTATCTTATTTAATCCTTCTGAAAATCTCTTCTTTTATTCTAAGTTGACAAGCCTTGAAAATATTTTTACACAGAAAGTAATGATCACTTGTCTAGAAGTGATTTTGTGCTACTTTCCAATACTGTTATGGGCAAGGTTATAGAAGTTGAGAGTTGATGACATCACTTCCTGCAAGAAATCTTAAAAGATGGCAGCTCACTGGAAATAAGCACTAGATTTTTAAATGATCAATATTGACCATATTAAAACATTTCCCCATGTTTTGCTAAATATGGAAACTATATATATGATTATAGCTACCATATCAAGAGAGAAAGGGTCTGGCAAGGAATATTCCTTTAACCATCAATGCCATAGCCGGTGTAAAAGGGTAGGTTGTCCTATCAAATGTTGGTCCTACTCTCTATTGATTTATATGGTGACCTAATTACAATTATTTTCCTTATTATTTATACACAGTCAGGGCCAGTAAGGGCCGTAAGGAAAGGGGACCATAATCCCCAGGGGACCATAATTTCTTTTACACCGGGATCCACCTCAAAAGGTGCCAAGTGAAAAAATTGTGAGTTCAAAAAATTGTGAACTATCATCGCGGTGTAATCTAAACAAACACTGGAGCTGAACGGCTATTCAAGTAAGAAAGCTACACGCATCTGTATATCCATGGGTGATGATCTATGCGTATACATTGTCGTTTTGATTTTATATACCATGCTTTAACTCTCTATTATTGATGTCATGATAGTACGTTTATGATATCATGAAAGTTTATATGGCAATGAGTACTGCTTAGAATTTTACATTTTAAGGTGGAGTTTTCTGGTCTAAGAATAATTGATGGAATAATGACCCAGGGGAATCCGGAAAATAGAAACCGATGCACATCCTACAAAGTTGCATCAAGAAGTATAGACGGGAGAAACTGGATACAGCAGGGTGGCATTCATGAAGGTACATGTAACTTAAAAGTTTATTGCAAACCATTGTTGAATCGCCATGATTATAAGCATGCGCTTTTAACAGTATCTCCGTCCGAACTTGAAATGGAACATAACCTCCATTCCCGTAGGACAAGGTTTTATTCCTTATCAATGTAAACAAAACCACTTATACGGAATGATAAAGATACCACAGTGTAATGGTTTCTTTCAACAAAGACTGCAACTGACCATTTTAGATAATCTAAGGATTGACACAATTGTTTTTGGAGATAATTTAAATGTGTCATGTTGAGTCAAATCTCTTGATTCTTAAAATGATCTTAACTTGCAGATTATACATGCTATAAAATGGGGTGGATGAAACTTGAATTTCAATTCTTAGCAACATTTTTCTATACAAGATTCGAGATTGTATTGTATTCCGAACCAAACACTTGGTTTCCTCACAACATCAATTACAAGATATTTACAAATAATAATACAGTTATATAGTTTATATAGTGCAATACATTGCTTAACAAACATTTCAAAATGACAATCATACATATATTTTCTTCATTTTTCAAATAGCTCCCGACGTTGATTGAAAAGTTAATTAATAAAATGTTTCAATTCGTTTACAATTTCATAATCATCAGAAGGCTTTTTCATTCAGAGGTGTATTTGGTGTCTATAGAAAGCGGAATCAATTCCCCTGAGCATATCTCCGTCCGGACTTGCTATGGAACATAATCCCCATTCCCATTCCCTTAGGACAAAACTTTCATTTTTCTTCATCCGACATATCATCAAACACGTCAATAAAAAGTTTGTTTAAAAAATCATATCCACATTCTTTATAACCATCACATAAAAGAAGAAAATGCTTTTCATCCTCTACCCCCCCCCCCCCTCAAATTAGACAAATTCTATACATCACATCAATAATTCATCATCTAGACATCAACAGAGGCAGGAAAATCAAAGAATATAATGCTCATAACACTAAATATATGCTAATTCAGCATTCCATTCTTTGAGTTTGCCCAAAGACCCTCTCTATGGAACACTTGTCAACAAGGAACAGTTTGTCCAGTTCGGAGAGCGTTCCTCATTCGCAGGTTTTACTGTATACCAATAAATTGTGACAAAGTTGTGTCGGTCAAGCTTTGGCTTTAATTCAACAATTACAGGTCCATTGTTATGTATATAAGGATTTAAGCCCTGGACTCAGTGCAACTTGGAATGATCATTCATTCAGGCTTGAAGGTGTTGCTTTCCAAAATTTGCACGAGATGCCGGAGCATCGAGTGTTAAGGAAAAAACGCCTGAAAGGAAAAGTCATTCCACAATTGCATTGAGCATCGGGCTTAAATTCTTTTCACACGTTGCAATATATTTTATACAATATCACTAATGCTAAAATGAGGTTTTAAAGTTTTATGATTGTGTTCCAGAATTGATCGACTTTACGGAATGTAAAACAGATACTCTCGGCGACGCCTACAGAGGGACGCTGTCTGTCACTAACACAGGGAAAACGTGTCAGAGATGGGATTCTCAAAGCCCGCATTCACACCAAGTGACTGACAATAGTGCGGTTCCTGATGAAACCCTGGGGGATGCTAACAACTATTGTCGCAACGCTAATAGTTGGCAAGAAGGACCTTGGTGCTACACAACTGATAGTAGCACAAGGTGGGAGTACTGCGACGTACAACTGTGTGGTGAGTTACATTGCTTCTGTAAGATGGATTGGGGGTGCTGTGATATAACTTCTGTTTCATAGTTCCTTTGATCAATTAAATTATAGCTAATGTGTGTCCTTGACATTCTACATGATACATTGGTGTAGAAAAGGTGTAGAAAAGGGTGTAGAAAAAGGCTGTTTTCTAAATATAATACGATGGGAAGTATGTGACGTGACATTGTCAAATAAATTATTCTGAATGTTAGCTCTTCCTTAAGTATATAATAAATAATAATTTGTCCATTATAGGTAATGTAAAAGTCTATCGTAAATTCGGCAAAAGATTCTTGGCAAGGTTTGTCCGTATTTACCCTGTAACCTGGGAGACCAAGCCAGATATGAGGTTTGAGCTTCTGGGCTGCAACGTCCAGGGCGGCTCAACCGATTTGGACATCTACAATGAGGGTGCGTACTCAACACTTGGAATTATGTCAATGGTAGATAGCCAAATTGAGACGTGTATGGCTGTGCCAACCAAAGGACAACACCCAGACTTCATACATTTCAGCTTAGAGGACAACAGCATCGACTGTGGATCTGACACTGACTTCTTTGTCGTCATGAAAGGAACAATGGATTGCGCAATAGGGGAGATGTCAGTTTATGGTCCCGATCCCGCTGAGGCAGCTGCCACCAATCTCATGGAGGGGAAGTTCCAACAATGTGAGGTCTATGCTGCCGGTTGGACATCCAATCCAGGATCATGTACGTTCAAGTGCGCATGTAATCCATGTGGAAAGATTGGTGTTGCATTCTTCAATCTCAAACCAACGATGACGTGGAAGATATGTGACATTGCTATCAAATCCAAAACTATGTTTTAAACATGTCAACATCCAACAACTAGGATGTTATGGAATGAGCCCCTCAACCAATCAGATTGGTGGACTCTCTGTTGTTATGGTATATACATTATACATAGGCATTTAGTGATAGAAAATAATAGTTTATAGATTCGTTCGTTTGATTCCATGAATTATTCATGATGACGACTAATCAAATTATCTTTAACAATGCGTTGTGCTATATGCAGTTGCATTGATATTGTATTTTTTGTCCATTTCAATTTGATTTCATAATTAATTAATTAATTAAATCAAGATATAAGGAAACAACTCTGGAATATTTTAATTACCAAAATTACATTTGCTGTAAATATGTAGAACTGTAAAATACTTTTAATAGATGATAATTTTAAATTTGATTTAATTGATTAGATGTGAATGTTTCTGCAATATTTCATATCTCTCTCTCTGTTGCATCTCTCCAGAAGGATTTTCAATAATTACACACGAACGTAACCAGCAAGTTAAATTGGCATTTCTTAGTGGTTTCTCGTTTAGGTCCACCAATCTCTAATATGACTAATGGTTGCCATTGGGAGAAAGAGCCGTCCATGGATAAATTAAACAATTTTTCACAAAATCCTCGCCTGGCTAATTTTACTTGCACACCTACCTCCCATATTCCCGAAAAATAGATCACGAAGCATAAAATTCTTGTGCATCATGCTCATGCGTGTCAACTGGTGAGTGTCCAATCCTTGATCAAGCATAAGTAACGTATGACATAGATTGTGTACCTGGTCAATATATCCTTGCTCCTTTCTCTCATAAGGCAAATGGTAGCAGGGTTTACTGAAAATGTGCTTGAACAGATGTAATTTTCGCTTTTCTTAGCTTCTTTGTAATTACCTGAACAATATGGCGCTTGTTCAAAAACAATGATGTCAATTATTTTGTTATCATTTTAGTAATATTTATTCAACAGTAAATTGATATTTAAACATTACATGGAATGAGTACATCTAAGTACACTGTGGTACTAATAAACATACAGACAGTGTCTTAATGTGACTTATCATTAAACCAATTATTTTTATAATATATTATATCATTGTCACACTTTCTAGTTCTACTACATTCATTTACTAAGCTACTAAGTACATAAATAGCACAAAATAGCATTTATAAAAAACACAGAGTGTTAAATATCTCACTTTAAATTCAAAATGACCACCTAACCAATTACCTAGCTCCCTTAAAACCTTAGTCAGTAGTGTGTAACATCTGTAACACTTTCAAGATAAACAGATGAATGGTTTTTTGGCTCTTGATGGCATGATTTCTTGGTAGCCCCTGCCAGGACACCATCAAACCAAGAGTGACAAGATGACTACAATACAACACTTTTAAGTATAATAAAAATTCCCATTGCTTTTGTTTCATAGACTCTATGTTAACAGTGATTCATTGTTTCTAGGTCACCAAAATAAGGGTGAAAATCAGATAATTTAATAAACAGCTCTAAAAACATATTTAACTGTTTAATACAATATGATCAGTGAAGCCGAGTATTGCCAAATAAGAGATGACCTGAATTCAAAATCTAAGCTACTATGAATTCATTCAGTCTTTATCTGTAAAGTACATATCCAATACCTAAAATGAATACATGGGCATGAATATGCACACTTAATACACATTGTACATTAAAATAGTCACTATAAAAGGATTTCTGAGATAGTGAATATTTTTCATGATTTTATTTTTGTTACTATTGTTATTATACAAGATAATACGAGTATATGTTTGGTATAAAACATGATTATTTCTGGAAACTCTCATATTCAAAGACTCCACAGTCCATGAAATTCAGAACATATAGATTCATTCAATAAATAATGACATGGACTTGGACATGGAAAATAAATAGTTCAACCATATGAAAATTTTGATATATAATATTTCAAATCATATACTTAGATACAAGTTCTGTTTTGAAAATGCACAGCGGTGAATATGCTGAAACCACTTCATCTTATTTTACGTCCATCAATAAGCATCATAAAACAGTCTTCTTTTAGGGTTAATGGTGATTTATGTATTCTACATAGATGATTCACATGTTTTAAAGAGATCTTTTCTTTATCATAAGTACATATGCCTTTTGAATTTGGAAATCCAAAAACAACAGTGCAAATCTACTGTTGGTTGATCATTGCTGCTCATTACTTTAATGACATAATCTCATTTAAAAAAAAGAAAAATTCAGCATGAGAAAAATATACATTTCTTTGATCATAATAAATTGGCACTAAAATTTGAACTCGGCATCATAGGAGACAGGCCAGACTGCCTTACAAGACCTAAATGCTGTTGAATGTTGAGTATTATGAGACTATCTACAAATGAGCTAATACAGTGATATGACACAGCCCCCAGATTGCAGTGTTAATAATGCTAATGTCAATAAATGTACATCTTTAGTGCTTGTACATAAAGAATGGTCGGAGATGATAAAGCTACCACCTCCCTTGCCATTAGAACTATGACAATATAAAGGGTGACTCCCATAATTCATTTACACTAGAACATGAGGGCAAACATGACAATTGAATATATTTAATTAATACTAAAATGACAGCCTTATATTATAGCTCATCGTGATCCATATCTTGTAGAGTCTGACCATAGTTTGTTGCCTGGCTGCCTACCCACAAATCAACGTTTTCAAGTATCTCATCTTTACTTAATACTTTATCATTATCTCTATCAGTCTCCTCTATTAAGTGTTCAGCTTCTTCATCAGCTATTTCATCATTTTCTGGAATAGCCCAGGCTCTGATTTCCTCTCTGTCTAGTACGCCATCTTTGTTAACATCATATTCTGCAAATTGTTCTTTTTCAGCAATTACACTTTCTTCATCAAGATCTTCTGGAAAGAATTAAAGGTCAGAATTTATTTCGTAAAGATTTCTCTTTTAAGTGTTTGATAAAACATTTAAATGAACTGACTATTTCTATCATGTCTCTTAACCCCTCCCTCCTTCCTACTAAGAGGTGAGGTATGGATGGGCTGTTACAAGTGCTTAAAGCAAAACTAGCCGACTCTCAGAAAATATACTCATTTCTCAATCTTTGAAAATCTAAACCAATGTAGTAAAGGGAGGTGTACAAAAAAGGACATGGGGAAATGAGCTAAAATGTGAGATTATCATACAAGGAAGTATAGAAGTTTATCATAGATTATGGAAATGAACCATTAATAAAGATGGCAATGTAGTCAAGTTTTTTCCTAGCATTTTTTCAGATCAATTGTACCTCAATCCTTCTCTAAGCAGATGTTAAAATTAGGAGAAAATGTGAGCTACTTTTAAAAAAAATTGTTATTGTGTCTCGTACATGATATTTACAATTTTTTTAATAAAATAGGAATTCTTCTAAAAGAAATAGAAGTAATTTTTAAGATACTGACAGTAATAAGTGGGACACAGGATTTTGAGAATTTCTCCTAACCTCTTCATCGGCAAAGCCCACTGTACAATTATAAATTAATATTTTTCCTAAAGTTCATCATTAACCAACTGATTTAGTGGTAGCATCATTTTCAACATTATCATTTGTGTTATCTCTTGAGCAATGTTGATTCAGTATCACTTACTGATTTGTTATTGTTCAATGTTGGTGGACTTTCCTAAGATTTCTTTAAACTGGTTTGCCCCGGTGATTTTACAATTGTCAGAGAGGTAGTAAGGTACGCAACAAACGAATTGATTTTGAGAATATGGGTTTATAACAAAATTCTACATGTGCTGCCATCTTTAAATTAGCCTTAATGCCCTTAGCTCTACCTGTTAGATACTCCTCCATTGATACTACACCATTGCCATCTTTATCAGTATCCTCCATGGTCCTGTCCACCTCTATATCAAACATATGGGGGTAGTCATATGGGTGGAGGAATGCAGCATACTCTTCTCTGCTTAACAAACCATTTCCATCAACATCAGCCACTTTGAACTTTTTGTCATCACTTTCAACCATCTGGAAAACAAAGATTTCATAGTTTGGAGTTGTTCATATTAATCTGGTGACATTGGTGAAGTGAACATTGATGTGAATCATGAAAAGTGTTCATTTAAAGGTGTTCAAATGATTAAACACTTTAAATGACTTACTATATGTATATCATATATCGGAACATTTACAGGATCCGCACAATCTGCTTTTCTAGAGCGCAATATCAGAGTGGAAAATAATATCATAATACGTCTTTCTCAATTACACGCATTCAAATAAAGGTATTGCTCACCTTAATCAATGGTTAAACATTATAATACAATAGATGCAGAAAATTAGCTATCATAGGTAAAATGTCATGTAAAAGTCATCATGTCTCTGTGAGTATATGCAGTTCATCAAACAAAAGTAATTACCACAACCATGCCACATTAAACTGTAATCACGTTGACTAAACATTAATGGCATTTTCACACTGCAATCTAATGATATATCATATTGCATGTTGAGGATGTATTGATCTTGTTTCCATGATGCTAAACTATTAATTGGTAGGTATCATCACTGTGATTATGTGTCAGGTTCTAATGTTCTATGGAGCTCAGAATCACTTGCTTCTACCATGGGCTTTCAACTAGAACTCTAATTGAGAGCCCATGCTTCTACTTATAACATGGAGACACAGATTTTATAACTGCATGTAGTTTGGGCAGGGCTACCATCATTCTTAATCCTGATCATTAACTAGACATTAACATGCAAAATGTCATCACCTGCCATTTGCTACAGACACCGAAAAGCTGACTATTGAACACCAACCCCCAAAAATGAAGCCAGTATACCTCAGATTATGCCTCTAATTATATGAACCGTACACTTACACCAATAAAGTCTTTCATTTCATGAGATTCATCTCTCTTGAATTTTTCAATATCATCTGGAGAATATGAGTATGATTTGCTGAGGTACTCTACCCAAGACACTGCCTCATCTCCATCTAGATCTTGTTCTTCTATCTTTTCCTCAGCCTCTTCTTCATCTAATTTTCTAAAATAACCAATCATGAAGAGGAATTGATACAGGGTCTATAGGGTCTTTTGTAATTTGTTTTGGATTTAACAATGTGTCGATAATGTAAAGGAAAATGAATAAGAATGTGAATCAATATTTTAATGTAAGCATTAATATAAAGAATTAACATGTCACAGGTATTTATTTAATAATGCTGAAAATAAGCTGGTTAAGAGCTTAATTGTTAAACATAGAATCAGTATTATTTTTATCAACATTCAACCCAATAGTTCTATATATTTTAAAAGTGTACTACACATTCTATATATGATATAGGAAATGCAAATAAACATAACCAAATTTACATATGCAAATTAAAAATGAAACGAACCTAGAAAAAAATTAAATTCAAAATGAGAAAAATCATGAATATTGGCATAATTTGACCAACTCTGGTCAGAATTGGAAAATGTGACCTCCTCAATATGAAACAAACCAAGAAAAAAAATTTAATTCAAAATGAGAAAAATCATGAATATAGGCATAATTAGACCAACTCTGGTCAGAATTGGAAAATGTGACCTCCTCAATATAAAAAAACTGAGAAAAAAATATATAATTCTAAATGAGAAAAATCATGAATATAGGCATAATTAGACCAACTCTGGTCAGAATTGGAATATGAGAATTGTCCAGTCAAAAATCCAGAGGAGACCACTTGTAATTAATTCTGTGGGGGATGAAGAGGGCATATGCTTTTGGAGACTCTTGTTTGGTTGGTATTCCACTGACTTTCTGATTTACACAAAATGATAAGGTGAGCCTACTTGAAAGACTGCAGCACCCAATTCTTCAGCTCCTCCTTGTTAACATTTCCATCTCCATTGGTATCCATTTGGTCAACAAGAACAGCAAGCTTTGCTCTGGCTTCCTCAGGATCCATTTCTGAGAATTCTTCACTTCTAGAGCCTGGAATGTTTTAATGGTCGTGAAAGTGAAATGGGACTTTGTAAAAGGAACATTCTGAATGTGAAAAAGGCAATTGATGGTGTGAATAGATGCATGGTGTTTATTGTAAAAGGTAAATATAAATCACTCATTAGTATCAGTCAGTCACCCAATGAGGAATGAGAGGGAGCTAATAACAATGAGCACTATGCATTTTGCAATTTATGATTGCAAAACTATCTTTATTTGAGATTCTGCCAAAATACATGTAGATGAACTGATTGTGAATGAACAAACTCAATTAATTGAGATAACTACAATGTATACCTTTATATACTTTATCATAATCTTCAATTGTTTCAAATGAATATCAATGTGAACAATAGGGAGAGGCTCAAAGTAAATCAATATCAGGAGAATGATATACATATGTGGTTAATCTATAGTTTCTATTGTTTTAAATATAAACAAGAATAAATATCATCATTTCAAGTGTTTTTCTTAATGATTTTCCGTGGGAATATCTGGATTGCACTGCAGCAATATACTGTAGTAACTGAATGTATGTAGAAATATCTTGAAATTGCAACTGAATATTTCAGAAAAGGTTCACAAGCTTATTGTTCTTCATTTGCATTGTTCTTCATTCATAGGAATAGCAATCATACAACAAACCAAATATTTCATATTTATCCTCTGTTCAGGCAATACCTCTCCACTATGAACTATGAATAACTCAACAGAATGAAATTATTTGCTTATAGTTTCCATCCATGGCCTCAATCACAAATCATATAACATTATGTAATCCTTTATTTTCACAATTCCTTAGCAAAGCTGGAAATATTCTTGTGTGTTTGAGATTATTTCAAACAAAACACATATACCCTGTATACAGTACATCTAGGCTTAATATGCAACTAGAAATAGAACATACCTAGAATTGCTTCATGATCATATTCTGGATTATGTTCTCCATCCTCACTGAAATGGTCCTCGTGAATTGCATTATGCGCCCCATGACGTGGGTCCTCATCAATAGCCAAAGTTGATAGAACTCCAAGAGCTAACACTAAGAACGTCTTGGTCATCATCTTCATGAAAATAATATATATAAATATGAAATCTTTACTCGAAAAGCGAGTGCCAAATGAAGGGACCAAGCTCTTTATGGGAAATTCCAACCAGAACTATGGATCATCTTTCCCATTTACAGAACTATGAGTAAATGTGTTGGACACATGAAATAAATACAAGAATATGTAAATGTGTTGCACACAAGAAATGGATACGAGAATGTGTAAATGTGTTGCGCACATGAAATGGATACGAGAATGTGTAAATGTGTTGCGCACATGAAATGGATACGAGAATGTGTAAATGTGTTGCACACATGAAATGGATATGAGAATGTGTAAATGTGTTGCGCACATGAAATGGATACGAGAATGTGTAAATGTGTTGCGCACATGAAATGGATACGAGAATGTGTAAATGTGTTGCACACATGAAATGGATACGAGAATGTGTAAATGTGTTGCGCACATGAAATGGATACGAGAATGTGTAAATGTGTTGCACACATGAAATGGATACGAGAATGTGTAAATGTGTTGCACACATGAAATAGATACGAGAATGTGTAAATGTGTTGCGCTCATGAAATGGATACGAGAATGTGTAAATGTGTTGCGCACATGAAATGGATACGAGAATGTGTAAATGTGTTGCGCACATGAAATGGATACGAGAATGTGTAAATGTGTTGCGCACATGAAATGGATACGAGAATGTGTAAATGTGTTGCGCACATGAAATGGATACGAGAATGTGTAAATGTGTTGCGCACATGAAATGGATACGAGAATGTGTAAATGTGTTGCGCACATGAAATGGATACGAGAATGTGTTAATGTGTTGCGCACATGAAATGGATACGAGAATGTGTAAATGTGTTGCACACATGAAATGGATACGAGAATGTGTAAATGTGTTGCACACAAGAAATGGATATGAGAATGTGTAGATGTGTTGCGCGCATGAAATGGATATGAAAATGTGTTAGACACATGAAATGGATACGAGAATGTGTAAATGTGTTAGACACATGAAATGGATACGAGAATGTGTAAATGTGTTGCACACATGATATAGATACAAAAATGTGTAAATGTGTTGGACACATGAAATGGATACGAGAATGTGTAAATGTGTTAGACACATGAAATGGATACGAGAATGTGTAAATGTGTTGCACCCATGAAATAGATACGAAAATGTGTAAATGTGTTGGACACATGAAATGGATACGAGAATGTGTAAATGTGTTAGACACATGAAATGGATACGAGAATGTGTAAATGTGTTGCACCCATGAAATGGATACGAGAAATGTGTAAATGGGTTGCACACATGAAATGGATGCGAGAATGTGTAAATGTGTTAGACACATGAAATGCGTACGAGAATGTGTTGCACACATGATATAGATACAAAAATGTGAAAATGTGTTGGACACATGAAATGGATACAAGAATGTGTAAATGTGTTAGACACATGAAATGGATACGAGAATGTGTAAATGTGTTAGACACATGAAATAGATACGAAAATGTGTAAATGTGTTGGACACATGAAATGGATACGAGAATGTGTAAATGTGTTGGACACATGAAATGGATACGAGAATGTGTAAATGTGTTGGACATATGAAATGAATAAGAGAATGTGTAAATGTGTTGCACACATGAAATGGATACGAAAATGTGTAAATGTGTTGGACATATGAAATGAATAAGAGAATGTGTAAATGTGTTGCACACATGAAATAGATGCAAAAATGTGTAAATGTGTTGGACACATGAAATAGATATGAAAATGTGTTACACACATGAAATAGATACGAGAATGTGTAAATGTGTTGGACACATGAAATGGATACAAGAATGTGTAAATGTGTTGGACATATGAAATGAATAAGAGACTTTGTAAATGTATTGCACACATGAAATGGATACGAAAATGTGTAAATGTGTTGCACACATGAAATAGATGCAAAAATGTGAAAATGTGCTGGACAATGGACACATGAAATAGATAGGAGAATGTGTAAATGTGTTGCGCACATGAAATAGATACAAGAACAAGGCATTAACATGCAAAATGTGGCCTTATATTTTCAAAATTTGGGCCCAACATTTTGAAATTTTTTTGCACACTCAGAATATGCCCGCCCCCCTTTGTTTTTTTGCGATTTAGAATTATTGGAATTTTGCAGATACAATACTTTCATCATTTATATGATAAAACTCCCCAGAGGTTTCACTGTGTGCAAATTTTGGTGGGGTCCTAGGCTGAACCCTCAGAAATCAATATATTCCCATACCAAAATAATGTCAAATTTGGATGTGTTCCCATACCAACCAATATGGTGTCCGAAAGCCATACCAAATGCCCAAATATGAGACCAATGCCATACCAAATGTCTAAATACAGGACCAATACCATACCAATGCTATTGCTGGTCCAAAGTAGAATATTTCCCGGGAAAAAAGCTAATATTTAAACTGAAGAAGGTCCCAAGAAAAAGGTGATCTTTGAGAAAAACGTTCCAAAACAACCTCAGATTTAAGGAAATGTGTTACTACTAGACCAATGCCATACCACAAGTGTGAAATAACATGTTTTTCATGACCATTCTCATTCCAGAATGTGGAAAAATCTGACCATTGACATACCTCTGTATTATAATGAGGGTGCATTCTCATACCACATCCTAAAATTTGGGTCCATTGACATACCAAATGTAAAAAAGGGTACCCCATGTGCGGCAAGGATTCCCGTAAAGGTTTATATAAAGTTTACAGTAAACCCCCCGGGTAAAACTCTCAAAACGCATGAAATATAGTCAAACAAAAGTTAGTCATCAGAGTCAGGGCAGCCCCGTATGGGGATCTGTTTTGTTATATCTGTGGTATCTTAGCAATTACAATTCAATGATTGATTGAAAACAAACAGGTGAAACAGAATTGAAATTGGGACCCTGAGCCTGAAAAAAAATTAAAAAAATGTAAAAAAGCTGATCCTACTTATCGATAGGCCTACCTTTTCGTCCATACGTTATAATGTGCTGAAAATTTCTAAAATCATAAAATATACATCCTAAAAGAATCTGTGTAAATATTATCGCAATTGTATGCATAACCTCTAATCTATTTAGGGAAATGTAACAGAAAATTATTTTACCTTTTTTCAAGCTGACGAATATAAATCCGAACTGAATAGGTGGCACTATTTGATTGGTCTAGATCAAGGCGTAATCCGGCAGTTGTCCCGGAAATAAAAATTCCACTTTTTCGTAAGTAACATTTTTAGTTCTTTCTTAGCTTAAACTTGCTCAAATGTGTTAAAATAAGCAGAGCATTTATGTGATACTTCACTGCGATAAAAGACAACCCTAATAAGTACTGGTTGGGAGTTTCATCCATGTTCATTTTTTCGAGTGATTTATCATAATATGATTTTATTTTTTTTATTTTCAATCATTCAGATTGAGAGAATCCGAGATTCAAGATTGAGACTGAAGAGTTAGACTGAGTATAAGTTCGGAGCGATATAGGGAATGTCTCCGTCCGTCCGCACATACATACAAACGAACGTCCATCCAGGCACAGTGGGGAACATAAAGAATTACTACAGATCTAGCTATGAAAAATACATGCTGTCGCACATGTAATAAATTCTTACCTCAGTGTATTCAGTGCTCTATTTTCTCCGTCCTAGTAAGTCCAAATATAGTGGAATTTGTGTCCATAATGACAAATAGGAACTTAAAAATTTGAAGTGGATATTCACATGTTAATGCCTACTCTTCAAATGTTGAGGTGATTTTGGAGCCCGATTACGCCGCAAGGAGGATTGGCTCCCAGAAGCAAGAATGCAATGCGACACGTGCCAGCTTTCAAAATGCCGTTCCGCCATTTTGAAACCTGTCACAAGTAAATATGGTTAACTGATGTTGCATTCTGGGATCCTCCTTGGATCACAAACATTTGGGTTTGTGTAAAAAATGGGTAACTGGGTGACCGGGTACTTAACGTTCCTAGCAGGGTTAGGAATTTTTTTATTTATAACGTTGGATCTGGACGACACATGTACGTTATTTTCGACGTCACGTTTTGAGGTTATTTCACATCGTAAGAACGTTTTGACAACGTTAACTTTTAACGTTAAAATAACGTCGGTAATGAACCGATTTAGTGAGAACATATTGACGTCTTTGTAACGTTCCTTAACTCACAAATATTTTGAAGTCATTTCCACAATGTTGAAATTCAACCATCTATCGACGTTTTGCTGAATATTTAAATAACGTCAGATCAATACTGTCCATGAACGTCATTATTGACGTCACGTTTTGAGGTTATTTCAAATCCAAAAAAACGTTTCGATAACGTTAAATTTTAACGTTAACAATACGTCGGAAATGAACCGATTTAGTGAGAACACAATGTTTTTGTCATGTTTTTTTTCCACCAACAAATATTTTGATATTAAAAGCCACATATGGACCAATGTTGTAAAAATCAAACGTTCCTGTTTGTTACTAACGAACTTTACGGACACGTTACAACAACGTTCTTTTTATACCATCAATAGATGTCTCATGTTTACGTTGCCTCGATGTGTTAAGAACGAAAATGTGCAACATCTTCTAGGAACTTATATGCTACTTATGAGCAACGTGAAATGGACGTCACTGTTTGCTAGATGGATTATTTTAAAAAGTGCTCTGTCTCGTATAGGGTAAAAATATCGAACAGCAGTGCACTCGGTAGACTAACACCCAGTCACATTTGTCGCACGGCGGCCGCAAGTCGACCGCAGATCAATAAAATCGGTGAATTTCTGCGGCGAGCGTAGAAAAACTATGCTCGCCTTGCGGCCTCCGTACGGCGTATGCAGATTTTTACAGGCCGCAGGGACGGCGTAGAAATTACAACTCATGTTCATTTCTGAGGTCGCCGTAGAAATCAACTGGCTCAACAAGATTGGATCATTATTTGTCAATGTTTCACGATCACTTTTCATTTGATATTACATCCTAGCACTATGAATAACATTTATAAGTTGTCCCGATGTATATGAAATGAAAAAAGTATTATTTATCAACAGAAATTTAAAATTCACCGTGCGGCTGCCGTGGGAAATGTGACTGCAAAAGTATGAGAGCGCAGAAATTCCACGGTGAGCGTAGAAATGTTACTGGCCGTAGAAATGATAGACCGCAAGGTCGCTGTAGGAAATGTGACTGGGGTGTAATTCTGTCAAGTCAATTCGCTACTATATATCGGGGGAAATGTGGTATGTGGAAAGTTGGTAACCCTGCTAGGAACGTTAGGTACCCTGTCAATCGGGTACCCGGTAACCCGGTCACCCGGTTTTTTACACAAACCCCATACATTTTGATTCATGAAAATATTCGTATGATATGGTAGGAATTTATCCATCATTTGCAAGTATGAAGCTTTGGATTCATTCATTGTGCTACTTAAAGTGAACGGGAATTATTTTTCTACCGCTTGGGAGAGTTTGAGACACGAAACTTAGGATTTGGCTCATTGTGACAACTATTGATGGTTGAGCTTTATTTTTGTCTCCGACTTTAAAGAAGTTCTACTCGAAAAGCCAATTTTCGAAATGGCTGCTCCTTTAAAAATGGCGGCCATTTTAGTGCTTATTTCATTCAGGGGAAGACAAACTAACGAGCATAGTATTACAAGCCAGATAAAGAAATTGTGCTTAATTCAATGCGCGTGTGGGGATCGAACCTAGGACCCTTGGCTCCAAAGACTGATGCGCTTAGCGCTACCAACTGAGCTATAAAGGCTTAAGCCACTGCTCCTGGGCCGTAGTAGCAACTTGCTATCAAGGGTCGTTACACTATCCCCCCTTTGAAAGGACCACACCCTCGTGGTCAGCCCTGCTTTCCCTAGCAATGACTTAACACCCACACACAAGTTCAAAGGATACAACCAATGCTTTGATTCCACATCTGACACCAATGTAATGATCCGAGGGCGCCGCAAGGGAAAGACTAACTATCGAGCAGAGTGTAACAAGCCAGATAAAGAAATTGAAAGAAAGTGTGCTAAGTTCAATCATGGGCTTTCTTGCCCCGTGTGGGAATTGAACCTAGGAACTTGCTATCAAGGCTCGTTACATTCTGATAGAAGGCTGTGATTTCTCACAATGGCCTTCTGCAAGAATTTGCATGATAAGGAGATCGTACAATTATCTCTTGAAAGCCCATGTACTGAAATACAAGATTTTTAAAAGTTAAGATCACATAGATCTTCTGTGCCCTAAGTTAGTTTTTTACTCAGTTACATACTTTATACATGTATATACATTCATTTTGACAATCCATATTAGCTTCGAAAACCTTGAAAAGATCTAATGTACTTCATATGTGTTTTTACTCCATTTTGGAATCACTAAATCACATGTTCATTGCTCATTACTTTAATGCATTATCACTTGTACTTTTAGATCAACAAAATGCCAAAATTAACAACGAGAAAGACTGATAGAACTAAATCAAAGGAATACTGTAACAAATGCATGTATGTTGGAGATTCCTTATACAACCTCAAGCGCCATGAAAGATGCCATACTCCAAAACATCTCTTCCGCTGTTTGGATTGCGATTACATTACAAATCGATCAGAAAACTTGACACGTCATATGAAAGTACATAATGTAGATGAACCAAAGAAATACAAATGCTCATCTTGTGAATATGAGACAAATGATACGGGGAACTTTCGTCGACATCTATACACACATTCCACTGAAAAGCCTTATTCCTGTGATGTTTGCGACTATACGACGGGGCACCAACCATTGCTTAAGATGCACATGAATAAACATGCAGGTGAGAAAGGTTATAATACTGCAATAAAATGTCTATAATGTTTACAATTGGAGCATAATAAAATCTGAGTTTAAGCCTAAAGAGGTGTTTATTCTTGAAGAGTTTGATTATGGATTTTCTGGAATGTTGCGGCCGCTCCCCCCCCCCCCCCCTGGCTATGGGCCTGATCACTGTTCTCTCGGCTTAAACTTTTGCTTCCATTTTATCAAAATAAAGATGCCATGAAAAAGTGTATATCATACTTTCAGTCCTCAGTCTAAACATGGCCTTGCTTTGACTGGTCAATATCAGTCTTAAAAGCACTTTCACCAAATGAACCCAGTACCCATGGTGCTATTTTACTACTTTAATTTGAAGGTCTTAGGTATTGCTCTTAAAATGATAAGCTGCTAAGTGAAAACCCTATGATTTAATCAATAATTTTGAATTGTCAGTTCTTGTATTTCAGAATTCCATTTTTTTACAAAATTATAAACCCATTTGTATTTTTACTTAAAGCTTTCCCAAAGGATTTCCATCAGTAAGTATAAAACTGAAAAATGATGTTGTATTAAATGTTATAAATGTATATTATTGTGCCCAACATATGTTGTTTTGTCATGAATGTTGTATACTTATGGTAAAATGATCAACAATACATGCACCTGGTAACAAAGAAAAGGCAGTTTACATAGAAATCTGCTTTATTATGTCACCAACACAAATGATAAGCCAAAGTACAAAGGACTATGCCAAAATTCTTGGCCTTCCCTAAGGTAGGGGTCCCACCCAAACATTTGAATGGTGCATAACTTATTGCAATATTTTTCCAACTTTTCTCTAATAACTTAATAACAAAACAATATAATACATAATCTTTTTTAATAATTTAATATTTTAAGATTAAAACATTTGGTTGAATTGTTTTCAGGGATAAAACCATACATATGCGATATATGCGATGCTGCTTTCTCCTACCCTGGAAACTGTCAACGTCATCGGCTGACGCACACAGCCCTCAACAACGGACCACATAAATGTCCAAGATGTAACTATAGAGCATTCCAGAAAGTTTCACTCCAGGCCCACATAAAATGCTACAAGGGCTCTGTGATAACCTGCAAGGGTTGTGATTTTCGATCGTGCACCAATGCATTGATGAATAAACACTCTAGAGAATGTCCTGACAACTGTGATAATAAACAGGAATTACCCATGCCACCCCTAGTGGCACCTCATATCGCAGATCACACATACAGTAGTGTCCAGCATTCCTCCGATGATATACCTAACAATAGCAAACCTATGGTTTATGATAGTAACAACAATAATAACGATGATGCTGCTATTGATGGGAATGAAATTGAGATTCAAGAAAAATAAGATCTTGATAAATTTTGTAGAATGGATGGATTGCCATATACATGTACTTCCATGTAGAAAAATACTTCAAGCTGCTGAAGATAAGAAAAAATTTTAAGTCATCTCTTTCCAATTAATGCATTCATTATATATAAAACATAAGTTCCAAAAAATATAATGTGCAACTAGTAAAAATTGCAAATCTCGACTTGATTCAAGAGCTGTTGAAAATTAAAAGCAATTGGTCAATAAAATGACATTTTTGTGGATAACTAAACAGTGATCCTTCTTAGAATTGCACTTTAGAATGGAGTGAATAAGCTTTGCTTGTCTTTCTAAGTCAATCTTGTTTGGAAAGAATCTGTCACTTGACTCTTCAACATGAATAATATTTTTCACCGGAGTCATGTACATATCACACTGTTTGATTTGGTCATAGGTAGTCTCCACAATTTGCCATTACGTATTATTCAAGAGACGTACTCATTGAATATTACGATTATATTTGTTTATTCAGCTTGCTCAAAAAATAAAGAGAAAAATGTCATGAAAACAAGAAAAAAGCTCAAGCGATTGACTAAACAATTTGGAAAAATGCAATGCATGAAATGATTAGAATCAGAAATACATTACCATTTTACCATAGCCTTTATGATGAATATATTATTATATTAAAAGGTTTCTGCAAGCCTCTGTCACATGTAGCCTCCGTCACATATAGCCTCCGTCACATATAGCCTCCGTCACATATAGCCTCTGTCACATATAGCCTCCGTCACATATAGCCTCAAAGCGTTTATGAACATTTGCTAAATGTCTGTACATTCCACAAAGTTATTTTATTTATATGAATTGTAAATATTGGTGTGATGTAAATGGTAGTGTTCTATTTTTTACTCACATGTATATAATGCTGTATGAATATTTAATTGATCAATATAGCAATGGTTGGAGTGATTGATAATATAAACAATGTTCAGGTGCAGAGAGAATGTTCAATGGAGAAAACAATAGTTTACTGTCCAAAATGTGTAAAGGACCATAGTTTAGGAAAATCAAATTTTCCATCTCAGCATGCCCTCGTCCCAAATTATTCATCAATGCATTTCTAAGCAATCTGTATTTGTCAAATCACCATTATTGACGAAATAACTCCAAAAAATGAGTCAAAAGTATATAGCATCTATATGTGTGAAAGAAGATTGATAATTCATATTTATGAAGTTGCATTTTTTATGATTTGGTGCAAGAGCATTTCTAGACAAGGACGAACGTAAAACCTGAAAAATATGCCTTGTTCGTAAATTCTATATACTGATATATTTGGCGTTTGAATTTTTACCATACACCATTTTCCACTAGTGTAACTTGGACCTTGCAAGATGTCCTATACGTCATGTCATTTTGTTTTGTACTCATACAGTACTAGGCTAACCCACAGGTATACTAAAAAATAAACCCTTGGTCTTGATAGAAAGATGTGATTTCTCTTAATTTTGTTGTACATGTAATATAAGCACACAACCATTGCTCCATTAACAACTCTATGTACACAAGAAATTTAATTTTCACCATAACACCCTTTGCAGACAGAGCCTGTGGGAAATATTGGGTGCGGAGCAAATGAGCGGAGGGTGCGGAGCTAACGTTCATTTTTTTGAATTTAAATTTGGGATATTTCTGAAACTAAGCCGTTTTGGGACTTCAAATATACCAAGATATGTGTATTTGACACTAAATATCAATACAATTGTGAAAATAGTAGTGTAATTCATTTTATAGCGACACAGTGTGCCTTAAACCTTTCCCAGACCTATATATTTTGAAATTATCCTTTTAATACTGAGTCCCCAGCATTCATAAAAAATGGTGTTCAAGGTACACTATCTATACAAATTATTTTTGCATCTTGGAAGCCAGGCAGTATCTGTGTGATTTTATAAAAATTCGGAAATGTTTTTCAGATATGAGCCCCCTCTAAATATTGGGTGCGGAGGAGCTCCATAAACGTACCTCCGCACCCAATATTTAGAGGGGGCTCATATCTGAAGAACATTTCCGAATTTTTATAAAATCACACAGATACTGCCTGGCTTCCAAGATGCAAAAATAATTTACATGGGTAGTGTATCTTGAACACCATTTTTAATGAATGCTGGGGACGCAGTATTAAAAGGATAGTCTCAAAATATATAGGTCTGAGAAATGTTTAAGGCATACTGCGTCGCTATAAAATGAATTGCACAATTTTATTGATATTTGGTGTCAAATACACATATCTTGGTATATTTTAAGTCCCAAAACGGCTTAGTTTCAGAAATATCCCAATTTTAAATTCAAAAATGACCGTTAGCTCCGCACCCTCCGCCCATTTGCGCCGCACCGCATATTTCCCACAGGCTCTGTCTGCATAGGGTGCATAAGTGATTTCAAAACTAGATGTTTGTCACTTTAACTGCCTTGATATGAAATGTATGCATGGAAAATCAATTCCAAGTTTCTGCTCAATTGATTGTAATTATTTATAACTGCTTTGATGGCTTTGGGAGTGTTATCTCCAATTATTAGCGGATTTGTTATATTTAATGAGTGTATAAATTACTGATCTGTTAAAATCAATCAGATAATATTTATTTTTGATAATGTACAATATTGATAATGTGTTCACATTGGTCTGAATGCAAGGGAATAGATATAAATAAAATAGTCATATAATGTAATAAAATATGAAAAATTAATTTTGATTTTGAATTGTTCATACTTTCACTAGGCTTAAAAGTGACACTGAATAGTGGTATTAAACTTTCATTTCTCTTCTAATGTTTGTTCTGATATTTCCACATTGACTTCAATTTAGATACACTGGAACAATATGGACAACCTTCAAGATAATATTTGCATCATTGGGTATCTTATTTCCCAACTAAACAGGCTCAAACATTTTATTTTTGTACCAGTTATATCAAATCAACAATTACAGTACCTTAATTTATTACATGTTTTATTGGTACATAACTAGTCCTAGTATTTAAAAATATATATATTTACATTTAAAGTGATTGGATATTTGAAGTAACAAGTTAATAATTTTCCATTACATACTATTGACTTTCAGTAGTACATAAAATCATGAAATTGCATATTCATTCTGTACTGTGTGTACTAGAGGTGTCACGAATACCTGATTTTGTTCCGATCCGCGGAATTATGCCCTCGGAACGGAACATGGAACAAGAATTAAGAATTTTTGTATCAAAAGAGGTTCATTCTTTTTACTCCTTCTCTTTGAAGAGTTTTGAAGAGCTTTTCGCTACCAAATAGACCTATAGATGATCAGATTATTTTAATCTAATGCACGCAGTCACTCTGTTCCGAACCGTTCCGAAATTGTTCCGTTCCGAAGCAAAATGTTCCGAACCGAACCGTTCCGATTTTTTTTTGTTCCGTGACATCTCTAGTGTGTACTACCAGTACTAAAAACACATTATACACATATTATACACAAAAATTGCATTATGAATTGAAAAAGTATTAGACAAATTATTGTACATGTGAATGTACTGTGATTGTACAATATATAGTATCACCTGAGATTATAACATTAAATCAATCAATTTGCCTATTTATCTGGCTAATATTGCATTGATATGTTGCTTTATAATACTTTAATCAACTTGTGCACTGTCCAGCTGGTGGCCACAATCAACATTTTGTTGAGTGAATGCTCAAATTACCCTTGCATACAGTAAAACCTGTCTAATCAGAATGCAACTGGATCCAGTCAAAAGTGTTCAGATTGCTAGGTGTACTGTAACCAGAAACTGGATACATGTACGTTACTAGATCCACTTTTAATCTTGAATATTGAATCAATTGCCAATATAAAAGCCTTTTAATGACATGGAAAAAATTGAGCAAGCTACTCATTATTATCTGGGTATTGTATATGTTTCTTTATGTCAAATTAGTTTATTTCTTCTTGGATGGTAGGGTAGGTCCTATATCCATGTATTTACATATAATTCCCAGCATAACCTCATCTGCTCCCCCTCCAATGGATACCAGTCTGAAATCTCTGCAAGACAAAATATGTACAGATGATTAGATTCTGACTGTACAGTCTTACTTTAGAAGAAGGAAAACAGAAAAATGAATAAGTAATATAACATATGCACGGTTATGGGAAGTCCTCCATATATAATACTTATATTATTTGTCAGGTTACGCAGCTTCCATCGAAAATAAAAAATATGTATTTTTAAAATAAATTATTTGTCTAGTTTTCGTTAAACAAATACCCTGAGACACATAGGGCCTGTAGAAAACACTAAACAGAAAAATAAAAAAAATACTCATACCTCCAAATCTGCTTTATCTTGGTCAGATAATGCACCAAATCATAATGGTTGTTCAAAATAAAAATTTAAGGGGACGGAGCGCCTAATCTCGCGAGAATAAAGCAAATCATGCAAAGGCGCGTGATTTTTTTCGACCAATCAAATAGTTTGAAATTTACCAAACCATTTCGTCCAGTGTTTCACACATGCGAGTAGAAATTGTCAATTTACTGAGCGGACCCTTCAATGGCCTGGAGAAATTTTACTCACGAGAATTGATGATTACTGAACACATATAGGCATAAGAGGTGAGCGACCCAGTTATTTTTGCGTATAAATGTTTCAAGAATAGCATGATATCAAATAATCTGTACATTATGCTACGATTCATTCAAAAATTGAATCTAGAGGACAGGTGACCATATTTTTCATATTTTTTTAATTTTTATTCGCATTACCTGGTGTATATACCTCCTAGATGGAGGACTTCCCACTATCCGTGAACATATGGGTATCTCCCATATATCTCATTTCCGTACAAGGTGTAGGCATCGGCATGAGCATACATGTAATATATTATTGAATCAAACTTTTTTGGGATATACAAAAAACATTCATCTACTTATGTATCTGACCAATTCTTGATACACATATGCCTGTGGGATTACAAATTCTGCTCAGAAGCCAAACATCATAGTGGCCATCTTGAAAAATGTTAGCCATTTTTAGTGTTCTTTATTTTTTGCTAGAACTACTAAAAATTAACCTGTTAACTGTTCATATGTCACATTAAGGTTCAAAATCGATCATAACTTAGGAATAGGCAAGAGGTGGCTTGCCAATGTGGCTTGCCAAGCTAGCAAACTGACCTGTGGAATCTATTTATGAGGACATCACTGGTGTAGCCCATGCCTCCCCAGTATTGGAGACAGCCATCTGTGATCTCTCTGGCCAGTCTGCCTACCTTCAACTTGCACATAGAGGCAAGCTTAGTGACATCATTCCCCTCCAAGTACATACCTGCAAATAACATTGTGCCACTTCTACAAAACTCCCATTATGTATTATTGCTGTGAACAAAATTATTATATTGGCATGGCCCCTTACAATGTATGGTTTAAATATAAATGATATGACCAATGATGAATGTTAAGATGTAGCAAAGATGTGACAATTTTTGGGAGAAAAATGATTCAGATGGATGATATAGCAGAGCCATGCAATTTTTTCCTCTGGATAATCTTGATATACTGAGCCTTATACAGAATAACCTCTATGTATAAATTGCATAACTACAATGCATACTCACCTGTAGCTCTGTAAAGCAATGACCTCAATGCTTCAACTTCAGTTTGCATCTCAGCCAGTCTAAAGTGAATGACCTGATTGTTGAGAAGTGGCTGACCAAAGACCATCCTTGCTTTACAGTACTCTGCGGTTGCATTGATACACTCTTCTAGAGGCAACAGGGCTGGAATCATTGGATAAAACATGAGAAGCATGATCTAGATCTAGAGACCCCCTCCCCCTAAAAATTCATACTTTTTTATTTATATTCATAACAGCCTTATTTCCAAAAATTGACTTGAAAGGTGTGACTACTGATTTTTTCTTCCTTCTATTTAATAGTTTTGATTAGATATCTCAATTCAATTTTTAAATAATAAAATAAGAACCGTAAGGGTTACACTGGCATCCTTTTTAAAAAGATTGCTTCTAAAATTTTACTCTTTCTATTCTTTGGTGTCACTTTAACTGCAAAATTGCATTTATGACAAAATGAGCTCAAATTTCTTTGGCTCAATCTGTCAGGGAACCAACCTGCAGCAACTGCCCAGAGACGCTCTTCCTGAAACTGCAACATTTGGTATGTGAATCCCATTCCTTCCTCTCCGATGATGTAGCTCTGAGGTATACGCACATTTTCAAGGTAGATCTGAGCAGTGTCCGACGACCACATTCCCAACTTGTCTATTTTCTTTGCTACTGTAACACCTAAACAGAAATAACTACAAGGCATTAACATGACAAAATGTCACCACCTAGTTGCTCACAATATTATGAGTTCAAACTTAAGTCAGATTTGAATTTCTGAGAACTTGTAAAGTCAAATTTGAACTTCTGAAAGATGTAGATGATTTTGAAAAAAAAATTTGGTCAATTTGAAGCAAGTTGAAAACAGACTTTTTTGACCTTGAGAAGGTCATTAAAGGTGAAATGTCACCTAAACAGAAATAACTACAAGGCATTAACATGACAAAATGTCACCACCTAGTTGCTCACAATATTATGAGTTCAAACTTAAGTCAGATTTGAATTTCTGAGAACTTGTAAAGTCAAATTTGAACTTCTGAGAACATGTAGATGATTTTGAAAAAAAAAATTAGTCAATTTGAAGCAAGTTGAAAAAATACCTTTTTGACCTTTTTTGACCTTGAGAAGGTCATTGAAGGTCAAATGTCAAATCTAAAGTCATATTTGAATTTCTGAGAACATATAGATGATTTTGAAAAGAAAAAATTTAGTCAATTTGAAGCAAGATGAAAAAATACCTTTTTGACCTTTTTTGACATTGAGAAGGTCATTGAAGGTCAAATGTCAAATCTAAAGTCAGATTTGAATTTCTGAGAACATGTAGATGATTTTGAAAAAAAAATTTAGTCAATTTGAAGCAAGTTGAAAAAAGACCTTTTTGACCTTTTTTGACTTTGAGAAGGTCATTGAAGGTCAAATGTCAAATCTTAAGTCAAATCTAAAGTCAGATTTGAATTTCTGAGAACACGTAGATGATTTTGAAAAAATTTTTTAGTCAATTTGAAGCAAGTTGAAAACAGACCTTTTTGACCTTTTTTGACCTTGAGAAGGTCATTAAAGGTCAAATGTCAAATCTAAAGTCAGATTTGAATTTCTGAGAACATGTGGATGATTTTGAAAAAAAAAATTAGACAATTTGAAGCAAGTTGAAAAAAGACCTTTTTGACCTTTTTTGACCTTGAGAAGGTCATTGAAGGTCAAATGTCAAATCTAAAGTCATATTTGAATTTCTGAGAACATGTAGATGATTTTGAAAAAAAATTTAGTCAATTTGAAGCAAGATGAAAAAATACCTTTTTGACCTTTTTTGACATTGAGAAGGTCATTGAAGGTCAAATGTCAAATCTAAAGTCAGATTTGAATTTCTGAGAACATGTAGATGATTTTGAAAAAAAAATTTAGTCAATTTGAAGCAAGTTGAAAAAAGACCTTTTTGACCTTTTTTGACTTTGAGAAGGTCATTGAAGGTCAAATGTCAAATCTTAAGTCAAATCTAAAGTCAGATTTGAATTTCTGAGAACACGTAGATGATTTTGAAAAAATTTTTTAGTCAATTTGAAGCAAGTTGAAAACAGACCTTTTTGACCTTTTTTGACCTTGAGAAGGTCATTGAAGGTCAAATGTCAAATCTAAAGTCAGATTTGAAGGTCAAATGTCAAATCTAAAGTCCGATTTGAATTTCTGAGAACAAGTAGATGATTTTGAAAAAAAATTTAGTCCATGTGAAGCAAGTTGAAAAAAGACCTTTTTGACCTTGAGAAGGTCATTGAAGGTCAAATGTCAAATCTAAAGTCAGATTTGAACTTCTGAGAACATGTAGATGATTTAGAAAAAAATTGAAGTCAGTCTAAACAGTATTTGTTAAGTTATAGGAAGTTGTAAGAAATTGTTACAGACGCCGGACGCCAACCGCCGGACGCCAACCGCCGGACGCCAACCGCCGGACGCCAACCGCCGGACGCCAACCGCTGTCGCAAAAAAAAACGGAGACCATAACAATATGTCACCACTTTTGGTGGTGACATAATAATTATTACACAAATCCATATTGTAATAGTCTCGCATTAAGCCCCTGAATGGGGAAAGGGTATCATCACTCTATTAGAGGGCTTGATGAGAAGTGTAAAAACCATGTTAAAAATATCTCACCAGGAAGGTTCATGGGCATGCAGAGCAGGGATTTATTCTGATGAGGTTTCCCTTCACCTGTGTTGGCTAAAAGACACATCCAGTCAGCCTGGGCCCCATTAGTTGTCCACATTTTACCCCCATTAATGATGTAGTCACCACCTCGCTTTTCAGCTTTGGTAACAATACCTGCAAATGAAATCATATTCAAAACAACATGAACAACTACGATAACTTATCAATGGCATCTTCCTCGCAAGATCGATAAACTGTTAAATATGGATAAATTCTTCCGGATAAGATTTCAAGTGAAAAAAGCTTCTTTATTTAGTTGAGTTGAAATATGTGTACTAAGGTAGGTCTGGAACTGTAAGAACTGTAAGGTAGATAATTCACTTTACGCTGCCTACCTTAAATACCTATACTTATTTGTACTTACTTGCTACATCTGATCCAGACCCCACTTCACTTACACCTAGACAGGCCACATAATCTCCCTTGATGGAAGGCTCCAGGAACTCTTTCTTTACCACATCACTGCCAAACCTAAGTAGCACATTCAGTACAAATGTTATTGTAGGTTATCCTCTTAGAGGTCAGGGATGGATCTGGGTTTTGAACGATGTACAGTGCACCCATTGAGGAGAATGAAAAAGGTTTATCAACTAAAGATGGTGCACATGAATAATTTTCTGCCATTGGATTAGAGCTAGACCATGTAATGCCACATGAAATGCAGTAAAACCTGTCTAATCCAAAACACCTCTCAATATGAACACTTGTTCTGGGTCCCAGTTGTGTTGTCTTTTCTAACTCATAAACAAAGAAACCTTGAAATCTGTATGCATGCTAATCTGAACACTTTTGGTTGGTCCCAGTGGTATTCCAATTAAACAGGTGTTTCTGTACATGAGTCTTACTTTGCTAATGCTGGTGTAGACATGTCTGTTTGCACACCTATTGCCATGGGGATAGCTCCACATTTGATGTTACCCAGTTCCTCTGCCACTGCTACACTGTAAGAGTAATCCAGACCCAGCCCACCATTCTCTAGAAATACAAACCCTCTCACATACATGTAAGAACATTGGCAATACATCATATACTATCATATTGTATATCACATTCATTTACATCACATTGGATTAAAATCATATCACATCATAACATCATATCAAATTAATATTCAATCGTATTAAATTACATATTGATACATCACATCATGTCACACAATTGGAAATAAGTTGATGTGTGTTGTTCTTTGTCGATGAATTGCACAAGAACTACTATATTCCAACCAGACAAACAACTTTAATTAACAGTAGCAGTAGTACTGTACATCATTCAGATCTGTATTCTTACCTACAGGCTTACAGACTCCAAGTAAACCTGCATCTCCTAACTTCTTAAACACCTCATGTGCTGGGAAACTTCGTTCTTCCTCCCACTGGTCGACATAAGGATTAATCTCCTTTTCAATGATCTGAAACACACATAATGTAAGGGTTTAATACAAAAATGTAAAAGGAACCAAGGTCGAAGACACCAGCTGCTAAACATATTGTAAATGTACATTCATGTACACTTGTACAATATGTAGTTGTAAAATTGTTGTTGGCCATAATTACTGACTAAAATGAAATCTTCCCATGCACACCTGTATGATACATGTATGTTTATGCAATATGTCCAGAATAGAGATGCATAAAATATATTTTATATAGTACTATTTATATTAGAATCTACTACACTATATCATTATTTTGATAAATGTGACGGTACAGGTACATGTATGTTGTTTTGAAACATCTTGATTGTCTAAAAAGACAAAATGAAGGGGGTAATAAATTGCATGCTATTTAGGTAAGGTGTGCAACATCTATCATCTCCAGAGTGCAATAAAATGTATAACCCATTATCTTTGGCATTCTCCATTTATTTATACCTTGATCAAACAACTACAAGAGTCAACTGAGAACAAAGTCCAACTCTTGATTCAAGTTACTGAACTACTGTCTCAAAGAAAACCAGAGAGAAACACATACTTTGATCCCGAGAACAGCACATTTTATTGAATTACACGAAGCCATCAATGTTAATTGTAAGGTATGATGAAAATTTTCAAATGGCAATTATAATTTATATTGTTCTGTAACATTTATGATTGTTGTTTACATTGTTGACAGATGCACAAACCTTGTTCAGAGAGCGCCTCATTTCAATATGGTCATTTCCAAATATTGCCTCCTTTGTCAAATCCGCAGATTCGGCAAACGATGTCCGAGATGTTGATAAACATCGCTGGACTGTTTTTAATGCTGAAAATTGTCTGTCAGATACTAAATGTGATGAATATCTGCAACGAAATATTTTCAGAAATCTTGGACCTGCCATAGTTCTGCCGGATTACGCTCTCTCTCTTGCCGGAAGTTCCGTTTGGCAACGATCTCACCGGGAAAACCTCTCTTATTTTTCACTTTATGGCAAGAAGCACTGCTCGGTTGGGTCTTAAACTTTTATATTCTGGTTGTCCAATATATAAAGCATCATCTCGACAAATAAGAACTCTCATAAGTACAAGTTCTAACCGAAATTATTTGTTAAACTTTCGCTCAAAATATTGTCAATCAATCAATAATATTGGATTTGAAATTTCAAAGAGAAACATGGCAACTTCAAAGGGAAATTACATGAAGTTCACATTGACTGTTGATGACATCAAGACAAGAGCTGATGAACTGATTGCCAAGTCTAAGGCTGTCTATGATGCAGTTGGAGAACTTAAAGAAACTGATGTCACATACGACAATGTTTTGAAAGTAAGCTCACGTCACATACTTGAGACACTGTTCTTTGAAAGTTTATTATCCAATAACATAATATATTTATATTGAAGAAGTTTTGAAAAAACTTTGAATCAATACGTTCCTCGTAAAATGAATCAGCTGGGATGATTGTGCACATGTATCTATTGGTCAATATGTCTGTTATCTACAAATGTACAGGTATCGTTAAAACTGTTGCTTTGACCTTCGCTTTGAAGAAGTAAAAAGTAGCATGTTGTAAAAACATGAAAAATTCTGTGCGCCTTGTGTCCCCGATGATGAGAAGCTGGTTTAAGACAATACAAAGACATGTTTGTAATGGATAACCAATCATAAGGTTACTTATAAATAAGCTTTAAGTTCCATATTGTATATACATGTATTATATGATGTTTTACAGGCTATAGCAGATGATGAAGTTGAGTCTTCAGTTGCCAGAAATATTTTGGATTTCCCACAACATGTGTCTGCTGATAAAGATCTCAGAGAAGCCAGCTGTGATGCTGATAAAAAACTCTCAGACTTTGATGTTGAAATGAGGTAATGTCAGTTCATTGTGTATGTTTGTGCAATAGGTTATATACTTAAGGATATCTTGGCCCGACAAAATGGTACAATTTGTTAAATAGGGTGAGTCAAGTTTTTCCAGAGTTTCCAGTTTCTGTAAGTCCATGAACATAGTTATTATCGATATGTTACTTTAATCTATATAGAATTAGTCTACAAGACATGCATGTATCATGTTATAGTATGAGGGAAGATGTCTTTAACAATCTGGTTGCCCTTCAGAAGAAACTTGAAGGAAGCGGTGATCTGAAAGCAGAGGCAAAGCGATATCTTGAAAAACAAATCAAACTTGGAAAAAGGAATGGTATGTCAGTGTCTATATAATGTATAATTAATGAATAGTACCATAAGTGAACATTTGAATGTAACAAGAACTTTGTCTCCTTTTTGATCAAAAACATTTATTAAAGGTGCAACAAGTAGTGCAGAGGGGCCATTCAACAATCATGGACCAGTGTCAAAATATATTTAAGTTTGGATATTTCATCAAGACTAACATCTATTTTTATTTTCTACAAAGAAACCCCCTAGATAATCATTATTTCAGCTTATATTCCTCTTGAAACATAGTGGATCTTAAAAATATAAAAGTGGACGTCCCCTTTTTGAAGCTTTGAACTGAATTTATACTTTTTAATGCTGAAATTGATAGTTTATCCATACATTTTAAGAAAATAGGTATGTCAAAGAAGATATCAAGCCATGTGTTGCCTTGATAGCTCAGAAAAAGTTAAAATTTTCCTATTTTCTCTCTACAAGCCTTATTGCCCCTTTAAGGCAGTAAGAAATATTCTTGCTTCTGATCATTGGCAAATCGGAGGCCTACCAGCTAATCCATCTATTTTCTGAAAAACATCGTCAAATGAACACTTATCTCTCATGAACACCTACGTATTGTATGTTATGAACACCATTTCTTGGAATGTACTTCATTTACCACAATATACCCCACTTTTTAGAAACCAGCACCATAGCATATTGTGTTCCAAAGGTGTTTAATGTACAATTCAAAGGTTTTTTCCTTTATATAAAATGTTTATTACATTGAATTCCAGGAAGGGTAGACTAATTACTCTTTACTAATCCTTCATCTGACTTTTTAAACAAAAATGTTGTTCAACCTAACACCTGATATCTTGCATTTTTCTTTTAAAAGAAATCAATGCATAGTTTGAAATTCATCATTAAATTGTTGACCCTACTTGTCTTCAACTCCTCTTTGATTATGCTTATCAGCATTAAGTAACTTTTATATTTTTTATTTTATAGCCAACAATGCTTTGATACAGGCCCCGTACATCATGTTACGGGGCCTCCATGCATTATCTATTTCATTTGAAATAAAGAAAAGATAAACTTTTATAAAAAAAATTATAAAAAAATAAAATCATATTTCAGGCCTCCATTTGTCCAAGGAGATCCAGGGTAAGATAAAAGACATCAAAAAGAGGATGAGTGAGTTGTCTATTGACTTCAGTAAGAATTGCAATGAAGAGAACACAATACTCGAGTTTGCTGAGGAAGATCTTGGTATGTTCTCATCTCATACTTTGCATTTTAAAAATTGTACCTCGCAAAAGTAAAGGAGATTTCAATTGTTTAGTGAAATGAACATAACAAACATTATCATTCATTAAAAAACAGTACCATGTATGATACTTCACATGAATTACTAAAGTTAGAGGAATCATTTTAGAAATATTAACAATATGTATTTTATCTTGCAGCTGGTGTCTCTGAAGATTTTATTAAGTCTCTTGAAAAGGTAGGTCATCTAGTCCAGAACTACATGGGCACTAGATTTTCTGTCAAACATTTCACCAATTGTATATGAGACAAGCAGTACTTTCTTTGTAAAACATACTGTATTACTGTATTTGTTTTAATTTGGCAAGCATTTTGAAATTCATTATTAATTCCATTATTGGGTATAATTATGAAATCAATCCAAAATATCTATTTATATGAACTAAAAAACCTGAATGTATTCTCAATGTATAACTGACATGATAATAGGGGGATGAAATAAAACAAGTATTAGGCCTTCTTCAATACAAGTATAACCATCACTCTCCAGGCAGATTCTGGTAAGCTGAAAATAAGCCTGAAATATCCACATTACTTCCCTGTCATGAAGAAGTGCAGAGTTCAGTCCACAAGGGCAACTTTAGAAAAGGCTTTCAATCAGAGATGTATGAAAGAAAACACTCCAATCTTAGAGGAGCTGGTGGAACTCAGGCAAAAGGTAAATATGAATCATTTTAAAATGTTTATTATGCTGTACTACATGTTTAGGGTGTTTCATACATGTTATACATGCCCTTCCCTCTCATGCATGTATATGATGTATAAGAATCAACCTCTAGTAATAATTTTTGTTTTATATATTTTATATATATAGGAGTTAAGGCATAAACTTCTGATTTTGAATTGTTTAACTACTGTAAGAGCTACATGAAGTCTTGCCCAAGCTTGAATTCAAATGTTCATTTCAGAAAGCAAATAAAAAGAGATTCATTCCTTTAAATATGCAATATTTTGTCCTAATTTTACTTTTAGAAAGCAGACCTACTGGGATACCCTACCCATGCAGCATTTGTGTTGGACCTGAGAATGGCTAAGACCCCAGAAGCAGTGCAGACATTTCTCACTGACCTTTCAAAGAAACTTCAACCACTCAAGGAAGAGGAGATGAAAATATTCCTTGAGTATAAAAAAGAAGAGGTGAGTCAGTTATGTTAGGCCAAGGGTGCAGAGTTCTTCTCATGGCACCATCTGTGTTTTGACAAATGATGTAAAATGACGTTCGCATTAATATCAATATTATATATGAAGAAAATAATGCTCATTAAAACCATTATACATAAGGCCAGTAAAATCATATATAGAGTTCTGAAAAATTTTACAAAAATTCTGGATTCTCATTCAGCACATAGATTCAAAATATAGGTCTAAAAACACTTTTACAAAACTGAAAAAAAGATTAATTGTTAATAAAAAACCTTCAGTGACACTAACTTTTTTGTTCGATTAGTATGAAGCATAATTATATCATGGTCATTTTAAAGTAATATACGCTTTATCTTATTTTTAAGCCTCCAAGATTAGGTGTAACACTAAAATAGTGTATTTAAAAAAACATTTACTGATGTTGTCCAACAGTATGCTGCCCACCAAGGTTTTTAGTGTCTTCCCAATAATCCATCTCAACTGCTCTAGGAGTAGTTTTGAGTAGTGGCTGTAAAACAAGATTCTTCCTCACATTTATTTCTAATATTTTAATTTTACAGTGTGAGAAGTATGGCTATCCATTTGACGGCACCTTCAAGATGTATGACTATAGATATTATCAAACCATGGTTGAGGAGAAAAAGTTTGCAGTTGACCAAAATAAACTGAAGGAATATTTCCCAATGGAGAAAGTTACAATGGGGCTGCTAGAGATTTACCAGGTAAGGTTTGACTGTTTTTTATCGTACCTAACAAGAGGTACGATATTGTAGTCAGCTTGAGGTTTTCAGCCAAACCATTTGAGGGATTCATCTGAAATTTTCAGAGATGTTTCTAAATATCAACGTCAAGAACTGATTAGTTTTTGGGCATTCTGGGTAAATTTTAAGGTGGCCATTTTGGATTTTCCATCCTAAAATCTTTACTTTCAAGACTTGTCTACAGGTTTCCAGCCAAACCTTTTGTGGGATTCATCTGAAATTTTCAGGGATGTTTCTACATATCAACGTCAAGAACTGATTAGTTTTTGGGCATTCTGGATAAATTTTAAGGTGGCCATTTTGGATTTTTTGTCCTAAAATCTTCACTTTCAAGACTTGTCTACAGATTTTCAGCCAAACCATTTGAGGGATTCATCTGAAATTTTCAGGGATGTTTCTACATATCAACGTCAAGAACTGATTGGTTTTTGGGCATTCTGGGTAAATTTTAAGGTGGCCATTTTGGATTTTCCGTCCTAAAATCTTCACTTTCAAGACTTGTCTACAGGTTTCCAGCCAAACCATTTGAGGGATTCATCTGAAATTTTCAGGGATGTTTCTAGATATCAACGTAAAGAACTGATTAGTTTTTGGGCATTCTGGGTAAATGTTAAGGCTGCCATTTTAGATTTTCCGTCCTAAAATCTTGTCTATTGAGGCTTGTCTACAGGTTTCCAGCCAAACCGTTCAAATTTTCACATATGTTACACAGTGATAAGTTCTAGAGCTGATTAACTTTTCTGCGGCCATCTTGCTTTCTTGGTCAACAAGACCACAATGCTGTGTTTTAGGTACAATATTGTTCACGTCTGTGCCTTGTTATTATGTTTATTTTTCTTTATTTGGACCATAAATTGATCATACAAATACATACTGGTATATATTAAGTAAAATAAAATAATATTACAATTTTACAGTGATAGTAAAGGTTGGTGGTGTTGTACAGAAGATATAATTATATGCCCCTTGGGTTCGATGATTGCTTTAATGCATCCCTGTGCATTTCATAAATTGCATGTATTGTCCTCAATATTAATAGACAGTCCCTATCTCCAAACTGACTACTGTCCAGGATAAGTCTTATCTTTTCTAAATCAGTGCCATATAGGTTATTGTTCTCAATAATATTGTTTAATTGATGACTTAGATGCTCAACTGCCTGGCAGTGAAATAATAAGTGTTGCAGTGTCTGCACTGCCCTATGACAAAGTGGACATGTCTCACTATCTTTATATTTTTCACAAATGAGTGATGAGTTTCCACACAAAAGTCTCACCAGGGTTATACATGGTCTAATTAGGTATGGGTCATTTTTTGCCAATATCCACCACTTAATGGGTTTGATAACCTTAACAACATTTCTGAACGTACTGAGAGACCTGTACATCATACAACTAGACCTCCATTTTTCCAACTCATGTCTGTGCAACACATCCTTAACAATACTTTTCCACTGTGACATCGGGACAGATACTCCATAGAAAAGCCATTGCATTACATGATCTATTAAATTTAACCTTTCAGCTATGTTAAGTATATCCCAGATAGGAGAATGACAATTGTTCTTTTTGTGGGTAAGCGTGGTGTTCAACCATTGACACACTCTTATGATGGCAATTTTCTTATAGACTACATCCACTGGTAACATGAGTAACTGCCATAAAAACATGTGCTTTCTTTGTAAGATTATAGTTGTAATATTATTCCACCCCAATGGTGCTAAACATGCACTGTTTGCCGTATTAATAGGAGGACCCTGCAGTTGTTTCGCTATTTTAAAATGTGTGTTTTCATAGATATTCATTTCTTTTTCAGTCAGAACAATCGCTTCTACTGTTACTACCAACATATTGTTATGGTCTCCAACTTTTTGTGACAGTGTTTGTTGGTTGACATTTGACATCTGTATCGAATGGCAGGTGGTGACATTTTGCATGTTAATGCCTTGCCTTTACTTTTCGATGTTAGTTATTTTTTATTATGAATTTGTTATTAATGAATTTTCAGCTAAACCTTTTATTGGATTGGTGTACATGGTGTCTCAAAAAATGTACCCAAAAGTATATCAAGAGCACAGATAAACCAATCAATATTTTCAGATATTTTTTGCCTGGTCATGTAGCCAAAACATGAAAGTTTTCTCCCCAATACACCATTTTTATTTCAGTCTTGTCTTTTTGATGCTTTAACCTTTTACCTTTTACACCACATAATCGATGTAACCTCATATTTCGATGACAGTCTGTATCCTTACTGCTACATTGTTCATCACATTTGATAATAATTCCGGTGGAATGTTTTGGATTTCTCTTTGGATGTTGCCCTTAAGTTGTTCTAGGTCTTTTTGCTTTGAATGAGCATTAAAACACTCCTTCAAATAGCCACAGAGAAAGATGTTTGAGGATGACGATGGCAGAACAAACACAGAGGATCAGGTCAATTATCGGCAAATAATTCAGGAGTTACCTTCCAGAGTTAGGCAGGCTAGCCTGGAGACCAAATCATATCCAAATGAAAACACCGTGGTCTCAAATTGATACACAAACAAAAGCTACACTAGAATCCCAAGCAATGCATTTTCTTGAACCTCTGACCTCTCTGTATAAGGGGGCTATAAGACATTGTGAGGGCCTCCCTATTCACCATATTTGACAGCCCATACTTTTTTCTCTGAGGCTATTTGAAGGACCATTTTTATGTTAAACCCAAGCTAAATGACCTAGAACAACTTAAGACCAGCATCCGAACAGAAATCAAACATTCCACCAGATATATCAAATGTGATGAATAATGTAGTAGTAAGGATGCAGACTGTCATCGAAATATGAGGTTATATTGAATATGTGGTGTAAACGGTAACGGGTTAAAGTATCAAAAAGGCAAAACTGAATTAAAAACTGTGTATAGGGGGAAAACTTTCATCTTTTATCTACAAGACCATGCAAAAAATGTCTGAAAATATTGATTGGTTTGTCTATGATGTTGATATACTTTTGGGTACATTTTTTTGAGACACCCTATATATGATGAAGGGTGCTCTTAGTATTTTTTGCATGCTTTACAATTTTAGGCAACCATTTTCTTGGGCATTTAGTTTTGTCTTTGCATTTTTAACTCTATTATAAAAAGGTGAATGGACAATTAATCCTTGGCCCTTGAGATATGCACTGGTGTCTAATGCTGTAAGTGATGAAAGCTGATTCATGGTTTTCCCAATATTTCATCATATCTTACCTTATGAAACCCTGGGTGACAGAGCCTGGTATATTAGGGTCTGGCACTCTAAGTGTCATTTCTAAGTTTCATTTCTAAGTGTCATATCTAAGTGTCATCTCTGTTAAATAACAGACTACTATGATTCAAACAATTGTGGTGGTGGGCTCAACAGGAAGTGGGACATCACATCACGTTAACAATTGGCTTATCCAGATCTCATTTGTATATTTCTAAACCCTACTGAATCACATGGCTGTCATTCACTCTCTAAAATAATAGGATGTACAGTGAATATTAAAACATAAAACACTGTATCCCTTGTTCCCAGTAGACAGATGTTTCTTCATTGGAAAGGATAATCTAATGAATATTGTAATACATTTATATTGTTTATTATGTGTACATAAATACAATAAATAAATAAATATAAAGTTACATTAACTTGTAATTGAGTCCATCCTAACTGATAACACAAATATGTTCCTATAATACAGTATTTACAAATAGTCCATAGTCCATGGTGGGTTGATATATACTCTTGCAGTGTTAGATATGTATAACTATCCTTCATCAAAACACAAAATGTAAACAACTAAATGAGAACAAATTACAAGTTGAAAAACAGGAAGGCACGGTGGGTATCAGAATGGGATGGCTCTATTTGTTTTTTCATTTTTGTTTTTCGTTGACTTGAAATAAAGCTGAAGAGATTCCACTTGTATATGTACTGGTAACTCATGTTTTCCTGGTCCATGAAGGCATCATAGTCATGTTTGTCTCCTCCCTTGCCTGATATATTGTTCTTTAAGATGCTTAGCATATTCTTCAGCTGACTCGTTCATAGAAATAAAATCAAATTTTGCACCATAGTTATTGGAGTTCCTGTGGCTATCACATGGTAGATGATATAGCTGGGGTCTTGGGTCACCTTCCCTCCCATTGTATTCACTTGCGAGGTAATACTCTGAAAAATACATGTATATAACATAAAATTTGCATATAATCAAGTCTTATATTTTATACATTAGTTAGAAATCGTGTGAATCATGTGGTTTTAAAGTAAAAAATGTTTTTGACTAGTTTATGTCAATAAGATGGTGATTTAAGAGTACAAAACACCTGAATTGAAAGCTTGTATGTATATTCGATGAAAATATTTACATATCCTTACGTTGACTTAAGAAAGATTCCAATGAGATTGCATCATCATGTGTTTTGTGTAACATGAAAAACCTTGGGTCATCCTCCTCAACTTTGGATGTGTCTTTCTTCAGAGGCTTGCCTTTCTACAAATATAAACAGTCAAATAGAATAATGTTGAAGTCATATGCTTAAGAGGTCCAAATAACATTAATTAACTAATTATTCCATCAAACGAATTTCGGAGGGATATAGGGAACGCCTCCGTCTGTCCGTCTGTACATACGTCCAGGCAATACTAGTAACTCGTTGGCCCGATTTTGTTCATATTTTATACACATATACCCTATTGTCAAGAGGAGGGAAAGCCCCAGAGTTTCAAGATGACAGACATAATTACCTCTCTTGCTTACCACCTTCGTTCGTTCGAATTTCCATCGGCTAGTTATCAAATACTACACTTCGATGGGATGTTATAATTGATATAGGCATATTCCGTACACCTTTCTTTATCTTGATGTGAAATGAGAAGCTATGATATTGGTTAACACGCCAGAAATGAACATAATATTATTCGAAGCGTATTTCGAAAATTTTGAAACCGCCATTGATGACGTCATTTGTTTGTCGACTTTTGACCAATCAGCGACCGTGTCATCTCAATACAGATTTACATTATAAGCGTATGTCATCTTTGAACCCTGGTGTTTCTCCCCCTCTGCCTATAGTCCATGGTGGGTTGATATATACTCTTGCAGTGTTAGATATGTATAACTATCCTTCATCAAAACACAAAATGTAAACAACTAAATGAGAACAAATTACAAGTTGAAAAACAGGAAGGCAAGGTGGGTATCAGAATGGGATGGCTCTATTTGTTTTTTCATTTTTGTTTTTCGTTGACTTGAAATACTTTTTGTTCATATTTGGTATGTGAATACTATAAGCATGGCACACTGTCTAATGACACTTTTGGTAGAAGGTGGCCATTTTGAAAAATCGCCACCATTTTAACGTATTTTACTATAACTCGAAAAGTAGTGGAGCGATTTTGTTCATATTTCGTATGTGAATACTATAAGCATGGTACACTGCCTAATGACACTTTTGGTAGAAGGTGGCCATTTTGAAAAATGGCCGCCATTTTAATATATTTTACTATAACTCGAAAAGTAGTGGAGCGATTTTGTTCACATTTGGTATGTGAAAACTATAAGCATGGCACACTGTCTAATGACACTTTTGGTAGAAGGTGGCCATTTTGAAAAATGGCCGAAATTTTAACGTATTTTACGATAACTGGAAAAGTAGTGGAGCGATTTTGTTCATATTTGGTATGTGAATACTATAAGCATGGCACACTGTCTAAGGACACTTTTGGTAGAAGGCGGCCATTTTTGCTATATACTTTGCTTGTAAATATGCCAGCCATGGCTGTTCGATGGGATTTGCTACGGTTTGGCGTTGCACCATTTTGAAAAACCGCAGCCAATTTAACGTATTTTACTATAACTCGAAAAGTAGTGGAGCGATTTTGTTCATATTTGGTATGTGAATACTAAAAGCATGGCACACTGTCTAATGACACTTTTGGTAGAAGACGGCTATTTTGAAAAATGACCACCATTGTTATGTATTTTACTATAACTCGAAAAGTAGTGGAGCAATTTTGTTCATATTTGGTATGTGAATACTATAAGCATGGCACACTGTCTAATGACACTTTTGGTAGAAGGTGGCCATTTTGAAAAATGGCTGCCATTTTTGCTATATACTTTGCTTGTAAATATGCCAGCCATGGCTGTTCGATGGGATTTGCTACGCTTTGGCGTTGCACCATTTTGAAAAACCGCCACCAATTTAACGTATTTTACTATAACTCGAAAAGTAGTGGAGCAATTTTGTTCATATTTGGTATGTGAATACTAAAAGCATGGCACACTGTCTAATGACACTTTTGGTAGAAGGCGGCTATTTTGAAAAATGACCACCATTGTAATGTATTTTACTATAACTCGAAAAGTAGTGGAGCGATTTTGTTCATATTTGGTATGTGAATACTATAAGCATGGCACACTGTCTTATGACACTTTTGGTAGAAGGTGGCCATTTTGAAAAATGGCTGCCATTTTTGCTATATACTTTGCTTGTAAATATGCCAGCCATGGCTGTTTGATGGGATTTGCTACGCTTTGGCGTTGCTGTTGTCTAGTTAAGACTATGCTTGCATCTAGTTCTTTTTGGTTCCAAAAATATTGAAAAGGAGAATTTAAGAGTAGAGGCCATGCTTATTATAATTAAGCTAATAATGCTGAAATTTTACCTTTGTTATAACTGCAGCAGTGTAGACTGTTGTTGTCTTTTTCTTGGCTTGGATGAAGCAGTCGTTTATGGCGTACATCATTATTATGTTCACAGGCCGTTGCCAATGTCTGCTTCGTTCATCATCATCAATTCCAGTAAATGTGTATGCATGAATTAAGACTGAAATAGAAATTAGATCACATTAATTCACTAGAAAAACTCCTAAAGTAGCAAATCGCATAAAAACATGTTCTATCATATCACTCCTCATTCTAAACACTTCATGATAGAAATAACTAGGTGTTTTTGTTTTGTGGAATATTTTTTGTTGAAAATGAATGATTCTATGTGTATTGTGCATAAACTTCTCACAGTCCAAAACTTTATACCCTTAGTGATCATTTTCTTATAATTCCTTATAAGTTATAATTATATCCTAATACCGTAAGATGGGACTGAGACTGCATGTTACATGTAGGTTCACACCAAGTTAAGTGAAAAATTTGTCATATAAATAAAATAAATTTCTAACATTTTGATGTAACAAAACAGGATTTTACTCACATTTTGATTCATTATCTTTACTTGGCATATCCAGTTTTAAATTTCCATTTTCTATTTTCAAAAAGAGTCCACTTTCACGATGTTTGAGAAGGAACTGAATTGGACCTTCAATTGTTCTAATGCCATCTATGCCATCTAAAGGAATTGTAACTTCCTTGGCAATCTCATCTTGGTCATTTCTTCTCTTGATCTTTTTCCTAATTAAGCTTAAATATCTGAATATTTGTGACATGGTACTGCTATAGTGCTCTTCCACTCCTCCACTCTATTGTATGTATTTATTGCATGAACTTCATTTAAGTACTGCACTGTTGAGCTATCAAAATATTTTGCTGAAAGTATAAAAATGTTTGTTTCAACACTGATTTATGTATATCAATTTAATGTTACTTGCTATGACTCATAATCTAATAATGTGCTCTATAAAGTGTTTTATTGAGCCACGAAATAAAGGGGAATCCCCATATTTTCAATTTAGTCCATCAGGTGATATAACAATGTGACAAAAGTTATAGTAGGTAACTATTTTCCAATGTAAAACTGCAAACTGTATGTAAATTATTTCATATGTACGTACAGTTGTACAATAGAGTTGAATATGTAGTATTACTTAGGTTTTACTGCTAATCAAAAAAATTCCCAAAGTTTTGTTTTTATGAATCTCAAGATTGAAACTTTGCCAAGATGTCATTGTTGACAACAGGCTGTTCTCTATCTTATTTACATCCTGTTGAGAGATGCAATTGGGATAACATGCATAACATGGGATTCCATTTCACCATCTATTTCAAAATTAGAATAACCTTTAACAAGCAAAATTTTGAATAATATTTTGGCCTGAGTTCAACAACAAAAAGACATGATAGGGCAGAAATATTTTGTGTAGATTGAAGGAGCATTTTTGAATTCATTTTGTTATGATAATGTCACTTACAAGTATTTATTACAGGTCGTATAGATAATTGTTGCTTGAATTATTGCAAAAACATTGACTTGTGCACGTTGGTGGCCTTGCACCTTTTTAATAGATCTTGTATCTTAGAAGCGTATCGGTTCAAAAAGGATCCTAGAATACCTAACATATTTTACCATACCATGCGCCTATCCGTTAGGCAATTCAATAGTAAACTTTTTCTTGAAAAACTAAGTCTTCCGGATTTGTTGAATTTTCTAGCAGAAATTGCCTGCTCCCCCCCCGTCCATTTTTTCCGATCAACAGGCATGTTAATATTTTCCAAGAGCTTGAGTGATACATGCAGTCACTAAGAATAAAATATAACTTAATAACAAGTGCATTTTGTAAATGAAGGCCTGGTTAAGAATAATTGCTTTTAGAGGCTTCAAATGAAGTTCTTGTTGTATAAGTTATCAATGTGTTCACATAAATGAGATGTTAACAACATTAACATATTTACTTTTAATTTCAGGAGTTGCTTGGATTGAAGTATGAACAGATTGAGAATCCTGAGGTCTGGCACCCTGATGTAACACTGGTAAGTACAGTGTGTCCATCCTGATGTAACACTGGTAAGTACAGTGCATCCACCCTGATGTAACACTGGTAAGTACAGTGTGTCCATCCTGATGTAACACTGGTAAGTACAGTGTGTCCATCCTGATGTAACACTGGTAAGTACAGTGTGTCCATCCTGATGTAACACTGGTAAGTACAGTGTGTCCATCCTGATGTAACACTGGTAAGTACAATGTATCCATCCTGATGTAACACTGGTAAGTACAGTGTGTCCATCCTGATGTAACACTGGTAAGTACAGGGTGTCCATCCTGATGTAACACTGGTAAGTACAGGGTGTCCATCCTGATGTAACACTGGTAAGTACAGGGTGTCCATCCTGATGTAACACTGGTAAGTACAGGGTGTTCACCCTGATGTAACACTGGTAAGTACAGGGTGTCCATCCTGATGTAACACTGGTAAGTACAGGGTGTCCATCCTGATGTAACACTGGTAAGTACAGGGTGTTCACCCTGATGTAACACTGGTAAGTACAGTGTGTCCATCCTGATGTAACACTGGTAAGTACAGTGCATCCACCCTGATGTAACACTGGTAAGTACAGTGTGTCCATCCTGATGTAACACTGGTAAGTACAGTGTGTCCATCCTGATGTAACACTGGTAAGTACAGTGTGTCCATCCTGATGTAACACTGGTAAGTACAGTGTGTCCATCCTGATGTAACACTGGTAAGTACAATGTATCCATCCTGATGTAACACTGGTAAGTACAGGGTGTCCATCCTGATGTAACACTGGTAAGTACAGTGTGTCCATCCTGATGTAACACTGGTAAGTACAGGGTGTCCATCCTGATGTAACACTGGTAAGTACAGGGTGTCCATCCTGATGTAACACTGGTAAGTACAGGGTGTCCATCCTGATGTAACACTGATAGTACAGGGTGTCCATCCTGATGTAACACTGGTAAGTACAGTGTGTCCACCCTGATGTAACACTGGTAAGTACAGGGTGTCCATCCTGATGTAACACTGGTAAGTACAGTGTGTCCATCCTGATGTAACACTGGTGGTAAGTACAGGGTGTCCATCCTGATGTAACACTGGTAAGTACAGGGTGTCCACCCTGATGTAACACTGGTAAGTACAGGGTGTCCATCCTGATGTAACACTGGTAAGTACAGGGTGTCCATCCTGATGTAACACTGGTAGGTACAGGGTGTCCATCCTGATGTAACACTGGTAAGTACAGGGTGTCCATCCTGATGTAACACTGGTAAGTACAGGGTGTCCATCCTGATGTAACACTGGTAAGTACAGGGTGTCCATCCTGATGTAACACTGGTAAGTACAGTGTGTCCACCCTGATGTAACACTGGTAAGTACAGGGTGTCCATCCTGATGTAACACTGGTAAGTACAGGATGTCCATCCTGATGTAACACTGGTAAATACAGTGTGTCCACCCTGATGTAACACTGGTAAGTTCAGTGTGTCCACCCTGATGTAACACTGGTAAGTACAGTGTATCCACCCTGATGTAACACTGGTAAGTACAGTGTGTCCATCCTGATGTAACACTGGTAAGTACAGTGTGTCCATCCTGATGTAACACTGGTAAGTACAGTGTGCCCATCCTGATGTAACACTGGTAAGTACAGTGTGTCCATCCTGATGTAACACTGGTAACTACAGTGTGCCCATCCTGATGTAACACTGGTAAGTACAGAGTGCCCATCCTGATGTAACACTGGTAAGTACAGGGTATCCATCCTGATGTAACACTGGTAAGTACAGGGTGTCCATCCTGATGTAACACTGGTAAGAACAGGGTGTCCATCCTGATGTAACACTGGTAAGTACAGGGTGTCAATGTAACACTGGTAAGTACAGTGTGTCCATCCTGATGTAACACTGGTAAGTACAGTGTGTCCATCCTGATGTAACACTGGTAAGTACAGTGTGACCACCCTGATGTAACACTGGTAAGTACAGTGTGCCCACCCTGATGTAACACTGGTAAGTACAGTGCATCCACCCTGATGTAACACTGGTAAGTACAGTGTGTCCATCCTGATGTAACACTGGTAAGTACAGTGTGCCCACCCTGATGTAACACTGGTAAGTACAGTGCATCCACCCTGATGTAACACTGGTAAGTACAGTGTGTCCACCCTGATGTAACACTGGTAAGTACAGTGTGTCCATCCTGATGTAACACTGGTAAGTACAGTGTGTCCATCCTGATGTAACTCTGGTAAGTACAGGGTGTCCATCCTGATGTAACACTGGTAAGTACAGGGTGTCCATCCTGATGTAACACTGGTAAGTACAGTGTGTCCATCCTGATGTAACACTGGTAAGTACAGTGCATCCACCCTGATGTAACACTGGTAAGTACAGTGTGTCCATCCTGATGTAACACTGGTAAGTACAGTGTGCCCACCCTGATGTAACACTGGTAAGTACAGTGTGTCCATCCTGATGTAACTCTGGTAAATACAGTGCATCCACCCTGATGTAACACTGGTAAGTACAGTGTGTCCATCCTGATGTAACACTGGTAAGTACAGTGTGCCCACCCTGATGTAACACTGGTAAGTACAGTGCATCCACCCTGATGTAACACTGGTAAGTACAGTGTGTCCACCCTGATGTAACACTGGTAAGTACAGTGTGTCCATCCTGATGTAACACTGGTAAGTACAGTGCATCCACCCTGATGTAACACTGGTAAGTACAGTGTGTCCACCCTGATGTAACACTGGTAAGTACAGTGTGTCCATCCTGATGTAACACTGGTAAGTACAGTGCATCCACCCTGATGTAACACTGGTAAGTACAGTGTGTCCATCCTGATGTAACACTGGTAAGTACAGTGTGCCCACCCTGATGTAACACTGGTAAGTACAGTGTGTCCATCCTGATGTAACACTGGTAAGTACAGTGTGTCCATCCTGATGTAACACTGGTAAGTACAGTGTATCCATCCTGATGTAACACTGGTAAGTACAATGTATCCATCCTGATGTAACACTGGTAAGTACAGTGTGTCCATCCTGATGTAACACTGGTAAGTACAATGTATCCATCCTGATGTTACACTGGTAAGTACAGTGTGTCCATCCTGATGTAACACTGGTAAGTACAGTGTGTCCATCCTGATGTAACACTGGTAAGTACAATGTATCCATCCTGATGTAACACTGGTAAGTACAGTGTGCCCATCCTGATGTAACACTGGTAAGTACAGGGTGTAAAACCTGGCACCACCCTACTCTGTACAGGGTGTCCAATGACACCTGACATCACATTGTACATGTACTCATTTCAGTTTTACTATATTTTAATATTACATGGAGGATTGGATCCCAGAATGAAATCTTGATATTCTACCATATATGGTGTTATGATGTCATCATTGCCATGTACAAAATTCAAATTAAACAGTCGGCATTTCTCACTTCAGAATTCGATTCGCGAGTTTTGGTCTTATTACCTCACAAAAAACCATGCACAAGAAGTGATCAAGATATTATTTCAAATCTTTTGAATGGCGATTGTAGATTAAATCCTCCTTGAATATAGAAGTAACCTTCATCAGAGATTTAATAAATGATCAGGCCTACCATACATACACTGTACATCATTTGAAAAAAAGTTTTACTTCGATACACTGATTGAATGTAAGTTTATACATAACTTAAACATGGTATTCAAGAGACTATGCATTTTGTTATTTGTTTTGCAGTATAATGTGAAAGATGCAGCTAGTGGGGAGTTACTGGGCTACTTCTATTTAGACCTGTACCCAAGAGATGGCAAATATGGTCATGCAGCTTGCTTTGGCCTCCAGGTATACCAGTTTATTCATACAGTCGAGGAATAGTGCTAAAATATGATGATTTATGTGATTTGCCTATTATGCTAATGAATTATGAGAAACGTTTATGTTGATATCTGTTAGAAAGAGTATTGGATGGAAAGTTACATCATTATTTGTATTTGCATATTTATTCAACCACCAATTTGGTGACAATACTTTCTTTTTTACAACATATTTACATTACAAAAGACAGAGTAATAAAAAGTATTATTTACACAATGCTACATTTATCTATTGACTTAAATTAATTTAGTTCCTTCAATTTTACATTTCTATAGTTATACATATTGCATATCATTTTGCAGCTATGAAATGCTTTTCAATGAGCAACGAACAGAAGGAGCAAACTATTTTCCTTGGCCTTATGTGTGATTTTTCTTCAGAGTATAGCACTTCAATTAGTGTTCTCCATCCAAGCTTTCCACTCTTTTTTGATAATCAATGATAACTCACATAATGTGTTATTGTAGCCTGGTTGCCTGCAGAAGGATGGGAGCAGGCAGGTCTCAGTTGCTGCTATGGTTGCCAACTTCACCAAACCCACAGCAGACGCCCCCTCCCTCTTGCAGCATGATGAGGTAGGTACTAGATGCATGATATTGGGTAAGCTCTGGAACGGTACTAGATTAGCAAAGAAGTCAGCTTATACATTATGAGAGAAAGCATGTATAAGAAAAATTGAGAACTGGACTAAATTCAATTAATCAGTGCATGCTTGTGGATCTTGAGGCTTAGATCAGAAAATGATTTAAACCCTATACAAGCATGTTCATGTATTGTACAATTTCAGGCCCATAGCCAACTTTTGCCAAAGAGGGTTCACTTTTCCAGGGGGGTTCACTTTTGACAACTTTGGCCCAAAAAATTGCATCACTTGAAAAGTGTTCAGAAATGGTGAAGAACTGCATGATTTTAGAAGAATTTTTAGCCAGGGGTGTTCACTGGAACCCCCTTGGTTACCAGCCTGAATTTACATACATTTACACTGCATACGTAAATATACACTGTGCATGTAAATATCTTCAGGTAGAAACATTCTTCCATGAGTTTGGCCATGTGATGCACCAGATCTGCGCCAAGGCTGACTTTGCAATGTTCAGTGGGACAAGCGTGGAGAGAGATTTCGTAGAGGCCCCTTCCCAGATGTTGGAAAATTGGTGCTGGGAGAAGGAGCCTCTTAGTAGAATGTCTGGGCACTACAAAGATGGTTCTGCTATTCCCGATGATCTCCTTCAAGCGCTAATTAACTCACGTAAAGCTAACGCTGGCGTCTTCAATCTCAGGCAAATCCTCCTTGGAACATTTGATCAATTCATTCATACACAACCAAAAGTAAGTTAAGATCAGTGTCTTTTTATCCATCAGAAGTTCTGGGAAAATCCATGAAGTGTATGTCTATTGTCTCAGAAACAAACATGTCTGACATATTGAGATTTTATTATTAATTCTTTTACATAATTCATTATCCCACTGAACGAAGTTCGAGAGGGATATAGGAAAGCCGTCCGTCCGTCTGTCCGTCCGTCCGTCCGTCCGTCTGTCCGTCCGTCCGTCTGTTTGTCCGGGCGATAACTCAAATAACGTTTCACGGATTTGATTCAAATTTTATAGGCTTATGCCTTATGGGTGTAGGACCTCTGCTCGAGAAGGAATTTTCAATATGGCCACTGAATTCAAAATGGCCACCATTTTTCGTAAAAAATGTAATCTTTAATAACTCAAATACTAGTTTGCGGATTTGGTAAAAATTTTATATGCTGATGCCTAGGGACACAGTAGATATGTTCGAGTAAAAATTTTCAAGATGGCGGCTAGATTTCAAAATGGCGGCCATTTTTCGTAAAAAAACTTAATCTTTGATAACTCAAATACCAGTGAACGGATTTGGTTCAAATTGTATATGTTGATGCCAAGGGACACAGTATATCTGTTCGAGATACAATTTTCAAGATGGCCGCTGAAATTCAATTCATTTTTCGTAAAAAAACATTATCTCTGGAAACTCAAATACCAGTGAACGGATTTGGTTCAAATTTTATATGCTTATGCCTAGGGACAAAGGAGCTTCGCTCAAGATGGGGTTTTCGAAATGGCCACTGATTGTCAAAATGGCGGCCATTTTTCGTAAAAAAAACGTAATCTTTGATAACTCAAATACCAGTGAACGTATTTGGTTCAAATTTTATATGATAATGCCTAGGGACACAATAGATCTGTTCGAGAAAGAATTTTCAAGAAGGCAGCCTGATATTCAAAATGGCAGCCATTTTTCATAAAAAAAGGTAATCTTTGATTACTCAAATACCAGTGAACGGATTTGGCTCAAATTTTATATGATGATGCCTAGGGACAAAGGAGATCTGTTCGAGAAAGAATTTTCAAGATGGCGGCTGAATTTCAAAATGGACGTCATTTTTCGTAAAAAAACGTAATCTTTGATAACTCAAATACCAGTGAACAGATTTGGCTCATTTTTTATATGATGATTCCTAGGGACACAGTAGATCTGTTCGAGAAAATTTTTTCAAGATGGCGGCTGAATTTCAAAATGGTAGCCATTTTTCATAAGAAAAAACGTAATCTTTGATAAGTCAAATACCAGTGAACAGATTCGGTTCAAATTTTATATGCTGATGCCTAGAAACTCAGTAGCTCTGTTCGAGAAAAATTTTAAGATGGCGGCTGATCTTCAGAGGCTTCAGAATGGCTGCCATTTTTCATTTTCATTTTCGTAATCTTTGGTAACTCAACTGCCGTTCGGTGGGATTTGCTACTCCGTGGAGTTGCTGTTTTTCTAGTTTTTTTACTGTAAAACATTTAACACCTCTTAAAATCCCTATTAAACACTGTTTCTTGACTTCTGTATAAAAAACTTTCTATTCCACAGGTTTTACTGTGGTATTGGGAGTAATTTCAGGTACCATGTTATACATTCAAAAGAAATGTTAATAATATATCAATAATTTTGTTTCTAGGCAGATACAGCTAAAGAGTTCAACCGTCTTTCAGAGGAAATCCTCGGCATCACCCAGACCCCTGAAACTAACATGCCAGCATCTTTTGGGCATTTAGCTGGTGGTTATGATGCCCAGTATTATGGCTACCTGGTATGCTTTTGAAAATATCAAGCTAACTGTAAAATTAGAAAAAATCTTTAGAAACACCATAAATATTTTGTCATTTGATTGTCACAGTTATATAAATTACATTGTATAGATAAAAATGTTATTAGCAGTTAGTAAAAGTGGTCAAAATAAATAGATTCAGAAAAAGAACTATCACCTGTAGTGTTTGGTTTGAGAGGTAACAATGTTACATTACTCATATAGTCCACTTCAATTTTACATGTATGGTTCGTATATTTACCACCATGATTGCTTGTTCCAGTGGAGTGAGGTGTTCTGCATGGACATGTTCTACTCTCGCTTCAAGCAGGAGGGGATTATGAGCCCCAAGGTGGGCATGGACTACAGGAACTTCATACTCGGACCTGGAGGCTCTATCGTAAGTAACTCTATGGTTGACTTCAAGCCCAAGTTCTGCGGGAAGACCTTTAGATTCATTTGTAGCTTTGCTAAATGTGCCATAGAGGCCTAAAGTATTGGTAAAACAAATTCAAACATATCGAGCCCATAGGTTTAGTCATTTGTTGGGCCCATTATCTGAAAAGGTTTTATCAAATAGGGTAAATGGAAATACTCAACCCCCCAGCGATCAATACTTTTACCAATATTTTTATCGCACTTTGAAAAAGTGCTATATTGTCGTCGTCTTGTGCTGTTGGGCGTGCGGTCGGGCGGGCGGGACATAAACCAAATCTTGTCATCAAATTTCCAGGATAACTGCTTACCTGTTCAACTTGAAATTTTTACAGATGCAAGAGCAGACTAGTACCAAGATCTGAGGTTAAGGGCATGCTGGGTAAACTACGTGGCGGCCATTTTGAATTTTTCAACAAATCTTGTCATCAAAATTCCAGGAAAACCACTTATCCGTTCAACTTGAAATTTTTACAGATGCAAGAGCAGACTATTGCCAAGATCTGATTAGGTTTTGGGTATGCTGGCTGAATTACATGATGGCCATTTTGAATTTTTCAATTTGGCGGCCATTTTGAATTTTTCAACTTGCTCCAAATTGACTAAAAATTTTTTTTAAAAACATCTACAAGTTCTCAGAAGTTCAAATCTGACCTTAGATTTCAGATTTGACCTTTCATTCACCTTCAGTGACCTTGAAAAGGTCAAAAAAGTTGATTTTCTAAATTGATATTTTGGATTTAAATTTAGGTCAGCTTAATTACAAAACACCTACTGAGGTCTGAAAAAGTGAAAGGAGCACGTAGGTTATCGCAACCAATTTCAAACGATTCTAACTTGAATTATGAACATTTTCTGATCATGAACATGGGTGTATCTTTTAGATCCATTCATTATCTTCAAGAAAAGTATATATAATGATAATTTAGTTAATCAGACCTAAGTGATATTGAAGGGGCAATGGACCAATCAACATACTTTTTCAAAAATGTTGACCTAATTTTCACCAAAAATGCAACCTATTATTATATTGTTGAATGCATAATTAGAATGTGCTTTGAGACATGTTCGATTTCCCAAAAGGAAAATATGATTGCTCCAGGGACTTTAAAGATATTCAATTTGGATGACCAAAATGAACTGAAACCAATGGATAGCATGTGATTTTTCAATGGAGAAATAACATGGGGAACACTTTTCTTAATGCAATTAAGTTTTTCTTTCAAGAACTATTTGATACATCAAAATAAAGAATAGTAATGCATTAAACATTGTAAAAAGTGATTGCATTTTTGGTGAAAATGGGGTCAACATCTTCAAAATGGGGTCAAAAAGTGTGTTGATGGGTTAATTGCTAGTTAAATATCTCAGAGTTTGTTTGAATTTATTATTACTGTGCATAATTTTCTTTGAGATAATGAATTGATCTAAAAGATAAACTTGTCCTCATTGTCAGAAAATAGTCATAATCCAAGATATAACCTTCTGAAATTGTTTGCGATAACCCACGTGCTCCTTTTCAAGGTCGAAGGTCAAGGTCATTAAACTAGGTCACAAATGATGTTATCCAAGTTTCTCAAAGTTTGAGACTACAAATCAATTCTTGTCATCAAAATTCCAAGAAACCCGCTAACCTGTTCAACTTGAACTTTTTACACATGCAAAAGCAGACTAGTGCCAAGATCTGATTAGGTTAAGGGCATGCTGGGTAAACTATGTGGCGGCCATTTTGAATTTTTCAACAAATCTTGTCATCAAAATTCCAGGAAAACCACTTATCCGTTCAACTTGAAATTTTTACAGATGCAAGAGCAGACTATTGCCAAGATCTGATTAGGTTTTGCGTATGCTGGCTGAATTACATGGTGGCCATTTTGAATTTTTCAGTTTCGTGGCCATTTTGAATTTTTCAACTTGCTCCAAATTGACCAAATTTTCTTTTTAAAAACATCTACAAGTTCTCAGAAGTTCAAATCTGACCTTAGATTTCAGATTTGACCTTTCATTCACCTTCAGTGACCTTGAAAAGGTCAAAAAAGTTGATTTTCTAAATTGATATTTTGGATTTAAATTTAGGTCAGCTTAATTACAAAACACCTACTGAGGTCTGAAAAAGTGAAATTTTAAAGGTCGAAGGTCATCAAATTAGGTCACAAACAATGTTATCTAAATTTTCCCAAAGTTCAAGACTACAAATAAATTCTTGTCATCAAAATTGCAGGAAAACCGCTAACCTTGTCAACTTGAAATGTTTACAGATGCAAGAGCAGACTAGTGCCAAGGTCTGATTAGGTTTTGGCCATGCTGGGTAAATTGCATGGTGGCCAGTTTGCTCTTCAAAGTGCGATATTTATCACTGTGTGTCTTGTTTACTTATACCCATATTGGTACATTCAGCTATATTATTTCTCCTACTCATTTTGTTACCCCTACCCAAATTATTACTTCTACCCTTATTGTTACATCCACCTATATTGGTAGTTTAAATCATTCATCTACACATAATTTTACATCCACCCATATTGCTGTTGTACCCACATTGTAGCAGTATCCAATTTTGTCTCATTCACCTACATCTACCCATATTGTCCCCCGTATACACTCCAGCGTATACCACTGTAGAAGTGCATTCTGGGAACTAATGAATAAAAAAATCATGAAAATTTTCATGATTTCCTAGAATCAAGTGACGTCATAAATGGTTCGAGATAAACATCAGCATATTTGAGTTGGCTATGGGATATTTTTATGGTTTTTAATGTGTTCGAATCAACTGTAATTGAACTTAGAGTGACATAATAAGATTATATAATGGTTCATTCTGTATATCGTGCATTTTATATCTCGTGAGAATATAATATATTCACTCGTTCGCTACGCTCACTTGTGAATATATCATATACTCACTCGAGTATAAAAACGATATCAGAAAGAACCATTATATAACCTCATAATCCACTACTGTACGCCCGGTATTATTCGCGAGATTTAATTTCGCGAATTTTGCGAAAACACGATTTCGCGGCTATTAAATTTCGCGAATTTCACAAGTTTGAAATTCATTACTATCCCAGGAATTCTCGAGCTACTCGTGTGTAAATTAAGTTAGATGTACAGTAATTGCACTTACCTGATGTCATATTTGGATGAGATTTACAATAACTGGGATCTTTATCATCGGCAAGCTGCATATCAACCTCTATATTAAAGCAAAAGTGCGTGGCTCCCATAATAACTTTACCGTACTTCATACTGTATTTTATCGTATTTGGGGATTCCCCAGTATATGATGTCCAATCAAATTGCAGGCTACGATCACACTAGACGAAACGTTTTACACAAAACGAAATGCATCAGAGCCCCGGGTAAAAACAAATTCCCGGGGATTTAATTGGCAATTTTGCGACGATAATTTTTCGCGATTTTAACACCCTCGCGAAAAGCGCGAAACTAAATCGCACGCGAATAATACCGGGCGTACAGTATATTGTTACTTTATCCAGTATTGTCACATCAACCAATATTGTTACATCTATCTAGTATATATTGTCACATACACCTCTGTTGTTACTTTTAGCCAAACTTTTACATCCACCCATATTGTAACATCTACCCATATTATTCCAGGATGCTGCTGATATGCTGCGTAACTTCTTAGGACGTGATCCAAAACCAGAACCATTCCTGATAAGCAAGGGATTGAAAGTATAAATAAATGGGCCTAATCAACACTCTAAGGACTAATAAGTATATACTACAACATGCTCGACAATATTCACTTCAATCTCTTTAGTGACTGCACATGGACATTGGATGGCACTCTCCTCTCTGATTAAATTGTGCTCTTTCATTTCACTGGACATTTCACCTGATTTCTGTCTGTAGACCAGGAGTCTTTTACATGCTTATTATTGTAAAAAAACATAGTTTTATATGTTGTTCTTTTGATTTTAGCTTTAAAATAATAGCCTTACTGGTAAAGTTGCATTGAATTGAAGGAAAGGAAACACTACAGTGGTACAAAATGTATCATTATGAATTATCTTCTCAGAGAATTGCCATTAAACATGGAGTTGTACTATCTGATAAATAATGTGTATCATCAATCTTCTGAATGAAGAGCATAGCAAACCACCAAACCAGACACCACCAGCTCAGGAGTACAACATACCTGCTCTGAATAATTGCCAAAAATAATTCTTGAAACATGTTCGTATTTTGAACCCTTGGCCTTTATTATGTAAACATTCACACCAGATTTTAATTGTAACAAAAATAGGCTCTAGTTTGATATTTTGGTCAAATATAAACAATTTTTGAGACTATTGTTATTCACAATATATCATGTTTTATTAAAAGGTCACAATGCATTTTAGGGGCAGAGGGTTCAAAATCCATCATTGAAGAATTAAGATAAATGTAAATGTAAATAAATGTGTGTGATAATCATTGTAAACATTTAAAATCATTTACCTCATGAGATAAGCTATAACTATTGCTGTATAACAGTGTGATATTTTGAATAAATGTTATCAGCTAATTAAATGATATATTTTAATGCATTAATTGATTTAAATTGAATATTTTATTTTTAGAGAGAAATCTTTTTAATGAGAATTTGAATGTATTCTGTGTATGGTAGGGATTTGTAGCTCATTTTATAAGTTAGTGTTTTTTTTATCTAGAAATGTTTGAATTCTTGTCATTTCAAAAGTTCCCAATTTTGATGTTAAAAAACTGGGATGCCTCACAACGACTATGTTGTACCGCTGGTGTGTTAAAAATCACCCTATATTGAAAACATAAGATTCTGTGATTGCAATGTTGATTGGGAAGAAAGATTTTGAACGACAGTATTCTGATTTGATAAGGCCAAATCCAAGAATTATCAAAGAGGAAACGAAGCACAGTGAGCACCATCAATCTTCATTATTCAGTTATTAAAAGTGTTATGTTATGTTAGATATTAGAGGGTGCTGACTATGAAACGAAGTTCTCTTTCAAAGAAACAAGACACACAAACCAAAAGTGTAGTATTTAGTAAATTCCGAAATATGAAGCTTATTGAAATTAATTAGTTTGTGATGAAAAGGCTCATTGTTTATTTATAAGAATTAGAAGGGATACAGCGCATAAAAAGTTGTGCAAGAATGAAAGCAATGCCTTTAATTGTAGTAGGTTTGCATCTTTATTCTGTAACCCCTTGTCTTCTTTATGCCTATATAGTAGCGACATCTTTAAATAAGTTGAAAACTATGGTTGCCCATGTGACAGTCACGTGATAGATTATGTAGGCCAAAATGAAGGACATTTTGTTTTAGTACATATTTTATAAACAATTAATATTTTGTTAATTTTCATATGTTGTTTACTTTAATTTAAAAGTAGATGATGTTGCGGGGTTTAAGAATATTACTTGGGACACAGAGGTCACATATTGCAGTAAATCTGACAGCTCAGAAGAGCACATTAGCTCAGGTAAGAGAAATGGGGATTGATTGAAGTTATGAATTTGAATTTGTGTGCAATATGAATATATTTTTCTATATATTATGGCACAATAGTCTTTACATGTCTTATTTTTCAGCTTCAACTGCTTGCCTTTGAAGCAGTGAAACAGACATGTACATGCACTTGATACAAGAACGTACATGTTTATATCTCAGGAAGTCATTGAGTCTGCAAGATTGCAATATTGTCAATGGTTTCCTGTGGGCTCATGCAGGCACACATGTACATGCACTTCCAGAAAGAATCCGTCTGCTTATGCAAGTTCTTTTGGGTCCAGGACATGTATTTTACAATAGCTGGTTCAGCTGCAAGCAAAATGTATTTTCAAATAAATTATTTATATTTGTACATGTATTACTTTTAGCACATGTATGTAACAAATTGTTACACTTTGATAACCGTTTGTAATATGCTTGTTGTAGGTTGAGAATGGTGCTGTGTCAAGCAGTGTGATTGAGAAGTTGGTTGAGATATGTGGGAGTAAGGATGTATCTACATCTACCCCAGTCAGGGAACAGCATGGAAGAGATGAATCATACCACCAGTGAGTAGATATAAGCATTTGGGATCTATCAGGGTCTTTTTATCATAATGCCTTAGTTTAGTGTCTTTTGGGGAGGTAATCCTTCTTATCCTAATTGACCCAACATTGAGTTTGGATGTTATCAACCTGTATGTATATAATATGTAATATGGTTCAAAATAAACCAATTATGAAATGAATGAAAAAATCATTAGTTGTGTTGTGCTATATACGAGCCATCATTTTGTGATTTACAATGCAAATAAAATATGTTCACACTTTTTGAACGTCCAATAAGTCTTACTCATGATAATTCATTTGATGTTTAGTTGTGAACCTCCTGATGTGGTTGTTTTCCCAACATCAACAGAGAAAGTCAGTCAAGTTGCAAGGCTCTGTTATGATCATCAGATACCCATAATTCCATTTGGATCGGGAACTGGAATGGAAGGTGGCGTCACAGCTTCAAAGGTATGCAAAATATACAAAAGTCTACATTTCTCAACTTAGGGATATACCAATGAAATGAAAATATTACTTATACTGTTTTTTCTGGAAACCACCGAAGGTTTTGCAACATCAATATTTGCTTTTGTAGACACAGTTAACCTCTTAAAAGGAAAATATGTTTTAAGAGGTTAACTAACTCTATAAATGCAACATCTAGATGCATAAAGAATTGAAAAAAAACGAGTGGAAGGGGATGAAAATCAGGAATATATTTTTGAAAAAATGCTTTAGATTATGCATTGGCCTAACATATGCACCTTTTTAAATTTTTGGAAAATAGCCACAATCCAACATATGACTGTCTAAAATCTGTTGCGATACCTTCCGTGGTCCTTTGCACAATATGTATAAATATATAATAAACTGTAACTGTACATGTACAGTGTTGAGTTATTATGATGACTACATGCAATATGTGTTATTCTAGGGTGGTGTATGTGTAGATGTCACCAAGATGGACCAAATTGAAGCTGTAAATGCTGAGGACTTTGACTGTACTGTGCAGTCAGGCGTAACTAGAGTGGGACTAAATAACTCACTCAGAGATACAGGACTTTGGTTCCCTGTAGGTGGGTCAACTGTTTTGGGACCAATAAATCCATATCTTTTTAGTTTTTACATTGGACCTGAATGTTTTTTGAGAGAATTGGAACTTTAAATAAAAATGATCACACAAAAGTTAAAATAAATAATTTCTGAACAAACTTAACATTTACAGAGTACAGAAAAACTGTTCTTTACATTCTTTACTTATGTTTAATTTCACATTAAAACAATTCCTCCTTTTGTCAGTCCTAGACTGATTAATGTTATTGCTCAGCTATTGGAACCTGGACAACAGTAAAGTATTTATGTAGAATAAATAAATAATTTGTATAAAAAATAATTAGATCCAGGTGCAGACTGCACATTATGTGGTATGTGTGCTACTGGTGCTTCTGGTACAAATGCTGTGAGATACGGAACAATGAGGGAGAATGTCATGAACCTGGAGGTTGTCCTCTCTGATGGAAGGATCATTGAAACTGCTGGAAAGGGCACCAGGACAAAGTAGGTTGTCATATTCTTGGTTGATTTTTCTTGATCCACATATAAATTGGACTGAATTACACAAAACATGCTTTGATCATAATTTGATCTCAGTTTTTGTGATGTTTTACTTGTCTGTTTTCACTTTATATGCATATATTGTCATTTTAAAGAGTGCATTTGTATGAAATTGCAACAATACAGTGATCAGATATGTTTTGTAACATATACACACATTCAAGTAAAAACAAAGAGTTACTTCCCTCAATGGAAGATTTGAATTAAGATAATATGTATAGCATCAATCAGTTTGAATGAGACAAATTATGACTTGAATCTTTTGTGATAACAATAGTAGTCAATTTGTACACTACATACAGATATGTTTTACAGGAAGTCATCAGCTGGTTACAACCTGACTAACCTGTTTGTTGGGTCTGAAGGAACTTTGGGCATCATCACCAAGGCAACACTAAAGTTGTACGGACAGCCTGAATCGGTGAGTTTTTATCAGGAATGATATTGTTGTCAGAGCTAGGTAGGCAAGACCTGGTGTCTCACCTTTCTTGCCTGCACATTTCTGGACAAACCATTCGACATATTGAGATGAACATGATGAATGGATGTGAACAGTACATGCATGGCAATCTAGAATTGGCAAGTTATTGGGCTTAATGGGTACATTTTAAGTTGGCCACTTTTATTTGTGTGTACGATATTGTTCTCTTGGGTATCATCTACTTTGGTTTATCTCAGCTTATTGCTGTACATCGGCAATCATGAGATCAGGAAAGGATAAATTGTGAAGGGCTAGACATAGGTTATAAATATTCATATTTCAAGAGCAGGATGTAACAATTTATTTAAAGAACACCCCATGTTTGTGCTTGAATTGCACCCTATATTTGTACAGGGTGTCAAATAAGTCCCGTCCGCCCTGCTACAGCTACAACCTTAATAGATGGTGCCTAATTCATTGCAATATAAATATGTAGTCATCTTTAGGTCCTTTGACTTTTCTTATACCCGATTCTGAAATTCCTGCCAAATACGCCAAATTGCCATGTTTCTACTTCTAGGCCTATGGTCACCTCAATTAATACACTGTAAAACTTTGTGAGATTGATTGACATGTGTCAGATATATGCTAATCAACGTAACTTTGGAAGACCTGTCCAATGATATATCACACTTGGTACCATATATCTTGGTTTTGGCTGTAGAGGGGGGACGGGACTTATTTGACACCCTGTATACCCTATACTCTGTAAATGTTATTTTAGGTTATTGTAGATATTCGATTATTGTCTATATAGGGGTATTGTATATTCATGTATTTGATTATTGTAATTATAGATATTGTCAGCAATATGTCATTTCCCAGATGTTCAGTCTGCAGTAGATACAGTTGTACAGACGCTACAGTGCGGGATTCCAATGGCAAGAATAGGTATTCCATCAGTTTCATAACACTTACTTGCAATGGTTATTCTGTAATCTGTATACATAGAGGCCATAAAATATCTTAATGATAAAGTGTACATAATTTTATTTTATGAAAATGAAAATGTTCAAGACATTATTATGGTTCATAATGACGGAACAAATGGTGTCACTGACTTCCAATGAGAAAACATTTTGACTCCCATGTTAGGGTATACGAGGATAGGGGATTAAAGGAATATTCCTTGCCAGACCCTTTCTCTCTCGATATGGTAGCTATAATCATATATATAGTTTCCATATTTAGCAAAACATGGGAAAATGTTTTAATATGGTCAATATTGATCATTTAAAACTCTAGTGCTTATTTCCAGTGAGCTGCCATCTTTTAAGATTTCTTGCAGGAAGTGATGTCATCAACTCTCAACTTCTATAACCTTGCCCATAACAGTATAGGAAAGTGTAGCACAAAATCACTTCTAGACAAGTGATCATTACTTTCTGTGCAAAAAATATTTTCAGGGCTTGTCAACTTGGAATAAAAGAAGAGATTTTCAGAAGGATTAAATAAGATACAAAGTTGAAAAAGAATATTTAGCTGGTTTTGTAATTCTCAATAGCTCCTCACCTAATGCTATATGCAAAGTTGAGAGTCGATGACATCACTTCCTGTGTGAAATTTTAAAAGATGGCAGCTTACTGGAATTGAGCATCACATTTCTAAGTGATCAAATTTGACCATATCAAAACATTTTTGCCTGATTTGCTAAACATGGCAAGCATATATATGGTTATAGCTACCATATGAGGAGAGAGATGGTTTGGCAAGGAATATTCCTTTAAGTGCAAGGATTATCTCTTATTTATTTTCTCTTGTACATTGTTAATTATAGTATTAAATTGCAATAGAAATACAATAAAAATGCAAGCATAGAGCTCCATTTTTCCAGTGAACAACTACTTTCAATAGATACCATTACCTTATACAAACTGACTCGTCAAAAGGTCTAACACCAATCATGTAACAACGTCTCTTTTCCCCTTGTGCAAGAAGTGAATGAGTAACCCTTCACCAAAGAACCACAGTTAGATTCTTGAAACCTTCTGTGCTCTAATGCATTTTTTTCACATTGTCTTTTGGAAATACATATTATGTATAAACATACACTGTTTAGTGCAGAATGAACTACAAAAAATATTCACATGATGTTCTTCTAGAGTTGCTTTGTGAAAAAATGATGGACGCTTTCAACAAATACAGTAACTATGACTACAAGGTGACCCCCTCCCTCTTTTTGGAGTTCCATGGGGCTGAAAACCATGTTGATGATCAAGGAAAGATTGTAGGTGAGGATTTCAGTCATTAGGATACATCTAATTATAGGGCAAACCAATAGAATGAGTGAGTGCTTCTTAACCTCATTTAGAAAGCTCATGTCAAGAGATTGTAGAGGTTTGGATTGGATCGGATATTCCACCATAACATTCAAATAACCACATCACACACATTTTATCAGTTATTAGAAAATCATGAAAACTCATATTGCAATCTATTGTAGTTCAATTTGCCTCAAAATGCAGTTTAACAAGGTCTAGAATATCTTATTCAAAGAATCAATGATATTGTAATTACAGCTGAGTTGTGTGAAGCTAATGGTGGCACCCAGTTCAACTGGGCTAAAGACATGGATGAGAGAAACAAACTATGGAAAGCCAGACACATGTGCTTCTATGCTGCTACGAGTCTAAGACCAGGTGCTCGGGTAAGTCCTCTCAGTTTGAGTTTATAGTGGCAATTGACAAATTATGGCTCATCATCACATATAGTGTTCGGATTGGCAGTCTAATTTAATTTATTTTAATTTAATGTGGAACTCCATGGCAAATGAAAAAATGGGAAAAATCAGTCACATTGAGAGATGTTCAGATCAGTGATGTGTTTGAATATACATGTTTTAATGTATTTTTGTTTGTTCTCTGTTCTAGTGGCTAGCCACTGATGTCTGTGTGCCTATATCAAGATTACCAGAAATTGTGGTTGAAACGAAAAAAGATATTGACAATTCCAGTATTCTAGGTGAGGAATTTTCACAAAAATATTTCACCAAAATCGGTGAAAATTATGGTCATAATGCACCTTTTTAAATTGCCTCAACTGTTTATGGACCATTGGTACATGCCTGCCTCAAGTAGACTTGATACAAGTTGAAGTAATCTTATTGTATATCATTAAAATTAGATGTATCATTTATGGTGAGGAAATTTAGATCCGAGTGTCAAGTCAGCAGTTTTCTTATTTCCAACATGAACTGTGGAATGTACTCCGGGATGTACTCTCACTTTTGTAAACCTCAAATTCTAGTTAGTGTACCCTTTCATCCTAGGTGTACCCCATTAAAGATATTACTTTCTCAAACAATTTTCCTTGTAGTATATTGATATACAGTTTGTAATATATAATTCTGAATGCTTTATCTAAATGTAATATAGAAAATACAATACACATGCTGTACTGCATTGTTGATTGTTGCAGGTCCTATAGTGGGCCATGTGGGTGATGGGAACTTCCACACTGTGCTCGTTGTTATGCCTGACAGCCCTGAGGAAATTGCAGAAGCAAGTGCTCTACATGACCGCATGGCAGAGTATGTATTGTCTACCCAGAATCCTTAGAGATAATTGATACTTTGTTTAAGTAATGTTTCTAAATTGCTAGAACGTATTATTTATAATAACATGTTTAAATATGTTAAAGACAACAACTTAATGTATCAAAATCAGTCTGGTTTTCTTCCAGGACATAGTACGGAAAAACAACTGTTAACGATTGTTGATCTTATTGACAATTACATTGACAAAAATCATGATGTCAGAGGAGTGTTTCTTGATATAGAATCTGCGTTTGATTCCGTTCCGCATTTCCTTTTGATAAAAAAACTTAAATCATATGGCTTTTCAGATACTATAACTCAACTTTTGCAGTCGTATCTTTTCAATCGTAGACTTCAAGTTAAAGCTAATGGAGAATTATCAGCAATCTCAAATGAATACTTCATAAATAGTTCCGTGCCGCAGGGATCCATAATTGGGCCGTTTTGCTTCCTGTTATATCGTCGCGTGAGAATAACTTTGTACTAACTGCCATTTTCAAAAAAATTGAGATAGACATGGAATTTTACTATTTGAAACACAGGCTTTCATCTCAGATACATGCCCCATCTCAATTCCCTCTCATTAAGCTAGAATTCAGTGTGAAATTGTACCATCTCCAGACAAACAGCTTATTTCTAATTTCAAATTGTCATATCTGATATCAACTGTTTCAACCAATCAACTGTCTAAGAATTGGTCATGTGACTTGCAAAACTTGGAGTTATAACAATCTTATATTAAAACGAAGTATGCCAATATGCATGTTATTGTATCTAGAATGAAATAATGTTTTGTAACACAATACCATGCCAGTTTGCATGCCTGGCCTTTCATGTTTTAGTTTTAGAACTATTACAAGTAGATCAAAAAAATAAAATGATACAGTATGTGTAATCCCATGCATATTAAAATTATATGCCCTCAATTACTCTTTGTATTATGGATGCTCATTGGATTATTCATGGCCACATGATATGAAATAGAATTACTAATTTCCTCGAAAACCGAAATCCTCGCTAGTAGGGAAGATGAAAAGTACAAATGACCAGTTAATTAGATCATGTGAGCAGTCAAAAGTACCCTTTATCTTCCCTGCTACCAGGTCTTATAGGGGTTTGAATGGCCAAATGCAATAGAAATGCATATACGAAGCTGTCATCATTAAATGTTGAAAATGAAAGACTACTTATTTGTTTCTTCAAATAGAGTACATAATAATAGGTTATATACTAGATATAGTAATCAAAACAAATAGTAACTGTCATATTTTGCACTTCATTGCTCAAAGGCAATCACTGTCTGTATACTATTGAAATCTCTTTCAAAATGATGTTTTATAGTTTGTGGAAAAAAGCTAAATCTATTTAAACTAGCTTTAACTTTTACTGACCATACACTATATCAATAAGGAGTTATCTTTATGTTAGTATAGTCCCTTAAAACACTTATTTTATTTTCTCTTCATCTGTGATTTACTTTGCGCTTTTCACTGAACATCTGGGATCTTTTTAGTTATTTATTACTAGTATGTTTTTCAGATTTGTCCTTTCTTTTGCATTTTTGGGATCATTGTTTTTAGATCATCTACATTTTATTTTGGAAAAGTAACAAATTGGTTCAATTTCTTTACAAAGAGCCACTCTTAGTCTCCACTTCTACAATTGCTTCAATTCCCAATTGTACTCCACAGAGTAGCAAACAACAGAAAATGAATGGATAATGATAGCTGCATCCCAATGAACAAAATGTGATTACCTAAATCGAGGTTTCATCACTTTCATTAATCTAAAATGAATTAGAATTTATTTTTCTATTTTCAAATTTCTTCCATGTGCATGTAATAAAAATTGGTTATGTCTTAGGCCCTAAGGATCTGAAACCTGCTGGTCAAAATGGAATTACGGACCAGTTGCAATGTTATTCTCCTATACCCAGTGAAAAAATCAACTGGTCTGTATCAAAAATAACCTGATAATGACCAGCGGACCGGCCCTTAGGGGCTACATTGTAATGTGCTGGGAGGTTTAGGCTTCAGGGTTTATACCGAGGGAAATATGTGGGGGACCGTATTGGCATCATTGGTTTCAATGCATTGTACTTCTGCCTTAGTTTCAAAGGCAATAAATTCTTTTTGAAGGGTGTCCTGAGATTCCAAAATTAAGAAATAATTGTACTTATTTGAGAAATTGATTTTAAAGTTTTATAAATTGAATTTTCTTTATTTTATTAAATAATATTCTTTGGTTTTTGAAGACTTTTTTACAAAGCAAAACATTATTTTTCATTCTAGATACAATAACATGCATATTGGCATACTTTGTTTTAATATAAGATTGTTTAAAGAGTCAATAAAAGATATATATATAACTCCAAGTTTTGCAAGTCACATGACCAATTCTTAGAGAGTTGATTGGTTGAAACAGTTGATATCAGATATAACAATTTGAAATTAGAAATAAGCTGTTATTCCGGTGGGAAATTGTATCAACTCCATTTCCATAGTTTTAAAAAAGGATCTTGTAAATTGTTTCAAGGTATGATATTTCATATAAGATATCTCTAGGTTGAGACCAGATGACATACAAAAAATCAAGTTTCACATAGCAATACTAAGTAAGATACAGACCTCTAAACTTTCAAACCTTGATTTCTCAGTTCCGTAAAAATGTGAGATAGTACAAAGTTATTCTCATGCGACGATATATAAATGACCTTCACGAAGTCATAAATCATAGTCAACTTTACCTTTATGCAGATGATAGTTCAATCTTTATGCCATTTAATAGGAAAGCTAATATCATTGAACAGAACCAGCATTTACAAGCTGACTTAAATAATTTATGGGAATGGTCACAGAAATGGAAGCTTAAATTTAAACCTTCTAAAAGTCAAGATATGATTTTTAAAGGCTCAAGGAGGTGCAATCTCTTATACCCTCCCCTCTACCTAGGAAATGAGGTCATTAATAGAACCAGAACTCATAAACACTTAGGAATCATTCTAGATGAGCATTTGAATTTTGAAGCCCATTTACAGGATATCATAAAAGCATGTAATATAATGTTAAATCCATTGAAAGTTCTTAAGACCAAGATTCGAGCTAAACACCTAGAGAAGATGTATCTATCATTTATTCTCCCAAACTTAGAGTATGGAAGTATATTATTTGAAAAATCTACCAAGTATAATATTATGAAACTAGACCAAGTTCATTATAGGGCAGCATTATTAGTAAGTGGCTGCATTCATGGAACATCTACTGTAAAGGTTTTGAAATGTCTAAATTGGAATACCCTGTCTGAGCGGAGAAAGGAGAAACGTTTATGTTTAATGTATGATGTTAGACAGAAATTGGTCCCAACTTATGTTCAAAATTTTTTTGATAGTTATCAAAATAAGCAACATAATATTAACTTAAGAAAATCAAGAGAATACACTATTCCAAAGTTAACTGCACGTTCACAAAAGTCACCAATAATAAATGCCATAAGAGAATGGGAAGCCATTCCAAATTATCTAAAAAGTGCACCATCAAGAGTCACTTTCAAAACCAATTTACGTAAATATTCAGGAACAATGAAGCATTTAACAACCACAAACCTGGATCTTACAAGAAAAGAAGAAATTTTACTGAATAGAACAAGATGTGATTTCATTTTTACTGGTCATCTTTTTCAACATAATTTTAAAGGTATTGACAGTCCCAAAAGCATCTGTGGTTTTAAACAACAAACTACAAAGCATCTAATCTTCAAATGCCCTCTGTTGAATGTTATAAGAGAGAAACTTTGGGGGGAACTCAGGAACATGCCAGAAATGAACATTTTCTTTACAGGATGCTCTATAGAGCAAAAGCTGAATATCTTAATGTATGGCAGAGATGGAGTTAGCATAACATGCAATTCTTCAATATTGAAGCATTTTACATCCTTTTTGTGTGAATGCATTGATATAATTATATAGTTTTAACACATTCCTGCCATGCATACATATATGTTGGTAGTCATTTTGTTGCTATTTTGTAAATTTGAATAAACTTTGTATTAACAGGGCCAATAATGCTGATTTCAGCCTCGGCCCTGTCATTTGTAGATAATTTTGTAAAGTAAAATAAAGAAACCATAAAAACTATTGATACTTTGTTGGAAAACATTATTTGAACTTTGAAGCCCTTTTTGAAGATAAAGAATTTTTTTCAAATGATTCCACTTACTCATTGAATTTTCCTTTTTACTTACATACATTATATTGCTCTAAGTTCCGCATACATCTTTTATGAACTTTTATTCTTTCAAGAAAATGATAATGTCATCAAGTAAAGCAGAATATATCATGAGGTTCATCATTTTAAGATCTTCCTTTATGCTTGAGATTCCCAATGTATTTTTGCGCTCAACTGGGAATAAGTACTAGAAGGCATATACTGTTAAGAATATCATGGCAAATTATAAATACAGAATATCAAATCATTTGGAGTCCATAGTATCAGAAATATCACTGGCTATTATTGTACAGACAATAATTGTGGGATAAATCATAAATGATAAACATTATATTTGTAGACGAGCTATGAAGTTAGGGGGAACATGCACTGGAGAACATGGGGTGGGACTAGGAAAGAGACATCATCTTGTGACGCAGTTTGGTCAAGGTGGAATGGATGTCATGATGCAGTTGAAACAAACACTCGACCCTAAAAATATTATGAATCCTGGGAAAGTGTTATTTACAGACTAGTCTCATGAATTTCCATTACAAGAACAGTTGTTTAAAACTTGACTGGCATTGGCCAAATCATTACTAGGGGCTGTATCAAAATGTCAATTTTGTGAAACTAGCGTCACTAATTTGATCTTCAATTTTGGAATATTGTCGTCATCTTGTGCTGTTGGGTGAGTGGGTGTGCAGACCCAGGCGCCACATAAATTCACATGAAATTCAAGAAAAACTGCTTTTCCGTTCCACTTGAAATTCTTACAGGTGCAAGAGCAGACTAGTCCCAAGATTTGGTTAGGTTTTGGGCATGCTGGGTAAATTATATTGTGGCTATTTTGTTCTTCAGTGAGATTTTTATTACTTTGTCTTGCTCTAGTCTTGTTTCATAAAAATGACACCTTGATACGTAAACCTGCCCCTAAATGTGCAATATATTGTAGGAAAGGAAAATATAAGTGAAAAATGAAAGTGGATATTTTGAGTTTATTAAAATTGTACATATGGAATGGATGCAAAATTATTTTGTTTATGGCTCAATATAGGACTGCTGATTGATCATTGCTGTAAGGCCTAACTCTTGAGAGAAAGGTCAGATCTCAAATAATGAAAAAGATGATTTCATGTATTTGGATGTTACTGGTATTTGTAAAATCAAGAAATGTGCTTTGTTTATAATATCCATTTTTATTAAAAGCATTTACAATTATACAATTAAAATATAGCTTTGTAAATACATTATTAATAGCAAACTTGTATGGGGTTCAACAAAAACATTGATCTTCGTGTCAAAATTGTAAAATAAATATTAACTACATGCATAGTATAAAAGTGCAGAGTATGGATGGAAATCTAAAATCTTCCTGGTAATACCATTTATTATTGTATAAAATACATTTTATAATAAAAATAGTAAAAAATTTAAATGAATTCTTACGAAATAATAATCTTTTGTCAATAAACAAATAGCAATTCTCTTCTCTATGATATGATAATTATATTATTTAAGTATTTTATCCAGATTTCCTTGGAATAATATGACTGTATAAATTAATTATAATATCATTTACATTTGTAATATCCCTTAAAGTCCCCGATCTGGACCCTCTGAAAAAATGTTTTGTTGTCCGGTACTTTCCCACATAAAATGATTGTACCGTTTGAAAGAACAGACTTCCCTCTTAAAGAAAACACCTCTTCTATTGATGTAAACAGGGGCAAAAGGCACCAAAACGGGGTTAGACAAGGTGGCATTCTGAAGTCTCACTTTCTTGTCATCACGATTCCAGGTAAACCATCAGACGGATTTACTTCAAATTTTCACACATGTTACATGGTAAGAAGTTCTAGAGCTGATTAACTTTGCGGCGGCCATCTTGCATTCTGGTGGCCATCTTGGAATTTTTTTCAGATAAATATTGTCATCGCGATTCCACAAAAACCACTTAACAGATGTACTTCAAATGTTCACACATGTTACATGGTAAAAAGTCCTAGACCTCATTATTTTTTCGGTGGCCATCTTGCATTCTGGCAGCCATCTTGGAAGTTTTAAGATAAATCTTGTCATCACGATTTCAGGAAATCCAAACAGATTTACTTCAAATTTCCACACATGTTACATGGTAAGAAAATATAGAGGTGAATAACTTTTCGGCAGCCATCTTGCATTCTGGCGGCCATCTTGGATATTTTGGGATAAATCTTGTCATCGTGATTCCAGGAAAACAACCTAACAGATTAACTTTAAATTTTCACACATGTTACATGGTATGAAGTTCTAGAGCTGATTAACTTTTCAGTGGCCATCTTGCATTCTGGCAGCCATTTTGGAAGGTTTATAGATTAATCTTGTAATCACGCTTCCAGAAAAACCACTTCACAGTTTTACTTCGAATTTTCACATGTGTTACATGGTATGAAGTTCTAGAGCTGACTTTTCGGTGGCCATGTTGCATTCCGTCGGCCATCTTTGAAGTTTTTAGATAAATCTTGTCATCACGATTCCATGTAAACCACGTAACAGTTTTACTTCAAATTTTCACACATGTTACATGGTAAGAAGTTATAGAGCTAATTAACTTTCCAATAGCCATCTTGCATTCTGGCGGCCATCTTGGAAGTTTGTAGATAAATCTTGTCATCACGATTCCAGAAAAAACACTTTACAGATTTGCTTCAAATTTTCACACTTTATACATTTACATAAATTACAATGGTCCCTTCCTGGTATATTTTTTTAGGTTTTATGACTGTTAAATTCTATAGTCTAGTTAACACCACTTTATAAACAGGTTTATTAGACTCCAGATGAAATCTGGGGTCTATTGTTTTTGCCTGTTTTCTTATTGTTCCTCTTTTTCTTTCTTTCTTTCTTCTTCCTCCTAACACATTTTCTCTCCAACTATAACATCTTACTTAAACCAACTTACATGGTTAACTAAGGAATGTTTCTGGCTTTCTGGGAAATTAGGTCAAATTTTTATCTAGGTCAAAGGTCAAGAACTAGGTCAAATCTTACATTTTCAACATTCTTCATCATATCTTCGTCAATATTCATTGTAACTCCTTCATCTTTTTTTCATCATGTAGCTTAGAAAAAAGCAAATCAAAGATATGACATCAGAATTTTGATTACTCTTACCGATTTTGAGATATGGTGTCCGAAATGTAGGTCACGACTGAACATCCTCCAAATTGAATATGTGAGCTATGAAAAAGATGAAGAATTTTCTCAGAAATCCAAATCTGCAAACCAAATTTCGATCCGACTTCCCATTCGGAAGTTATGGCATTTTGAAAGCTAAAAACCGCTAAATTTGGTGCCCCATGTTGAGTCAATGGGAAAAAAGATTTTTTTGAAGTGTAAAATACTTAATATAGACTGAATACAGCTTAACATAATGAACGCCTGTAAAAGAAGGGGACCTCAAAAGCTACCTAGCTTTAAAATTTGGACACCAAAATGCCTAGGTCAAAATCTAGGTCAAATTTATAGTTTTTACTTATTTTTGCGATTTTGACACTACACTTTAATGATTTGCTTCCAAATTTTGTATACAGGTAGCAAAGAGTGTGCTTATAGTGAAAGCCTTTTGCCGTCAGAAATTATTTTGACCCACTTTTGAGATATGGTGTCCGAAAAGTAGGTCAAAATAAAAAGTTCTCCAAATTTAACAAATGAGCTATGAATTAAGGGTAGAATTTTCCCAGGAATCCGAAACCGGAAAACCAAATTTCAATCCGACTTTCGGTTCGGAAGTTATGGCGTTTTGAAAGCTCAAAAATCGCTAAATTTGGTGCCCCATGTTATGTCAATGAGAAAAAATGTTTTTTTGAAGTGTAAAATACCAGATATAAACTGAGTACAGCTTAACATTCTGAAAGCCTATAAAAGATGGGGACCTCGAAGGCTATCTAGCTTTAAAATTTGGACACCAAAATGCCTAGGTCAAAATCTAGGTCAAATTAATAGTTTTTCCTTATTTTTGCGATTCTGACATTACACTTTAATGATTTGCTTCGAAATTTTGTATACAGGTAGCAAAGAGTGTGCTTATAGTGTTAGCCTTCTGCCGTCAGAAAGTATTTTGACCCACTTTTGAGATATGGTGTCTGAAAAGTAGGTCAAAATAAAAAGTTCTCCAATTTAACGTATGAGTTATGAATTAAGGGTAGAATTTTCTCAGGAATCAGAATCTTTAAACCAAATTTCGATCCAACTTCTGATTAGATAGTTATAGCGGTTTGAAGTCTCGAAAAGTCGATATGATGATATCCCCATGTTAAGCCAATGGAGTCGAAGATAGCATTCTTAAGAGTTGTCTAAATGTCTATATTCTAGCTGACTCAGCTAATTCTGAATGACTCAGCTTACAAGTATTTGGATGACTCAGCTTAAAAAAAGTCTGAAATCTGGAGTCTTAAATTGAACTTGTTCAATTTACATGTCTAGTTATTACTGGTGTAACTAACACAACGAAAAAAAATATAATTAATTTATTTGATTTTATATTACATGAAATTATTTTTTGTTTTCGATAAAACATTGCTTATTAGAAATATATTTAGTTGAAAACTTAGAGTAAACAATCAGTTCTTCTATCACATAGTTTATTTTGGTTCAGTAGATTTTTCTATACATTATTTTTATGTCACCACCACTAGTGATTGGGTGACATATTGTAATAGCTTCGAACGTTTATCTTGACACTGTTCAGTAGTTAATGTGTACTGTATACTTAACAAGGTGTGGTGACATTTTGCATGTTTCTGCATCGTCACTACTATTTAAAGCTTATGTTGATATTGTAGCAGTGTTTTTTGAGTTCTTTTTGTTGGTACAATTAGTTTCCAAACCCTATACTTATATCAATCTGACACACAGTTTTAGTGCAGGTTTAAGTGATTTTTGTTGATTATTAAACGCAAAGAGCACATGTGTCTCGAACTCGCAACATTGTGGATACAGAGCCCATTCACATAGTTTGACATGCTGGTGCTCTGAACCAGCTCGTTAGTTAATATCTGACTAAGAGACAGCTTGCTTTCCCGATGAAGAAACGTTATCTGCAGCTTTTATGAGTACTATAGTATCTACAACTATTTTTGATCGTATGAGTATTGGATATCATTATTTACAATTTTTCTTCCACATGTATTTTTATGACTTCAGTATGAATGGAATGTCCCTCAGAGTTGTGGTCGTTGATGAGGAATTGGTCATTGAACGGTGTGGATGCTGTTTATTCCCATATTAGATTATTGTCTTGGGATATTCAGGTTTGATTTTTGTTTGCCAGTTTTACACTTTACAGTTTGCTTTTCCCACTAGGTTGCTTTACACTTTTTTCCTTTCTCATTTGTCATTTTTGTTTATATTTAGTAAGGATATGATATGCAGGTCTCTCCTTCTGTGTGATCACCTGTCCAGAAGATAATTCAACTGCATGAAGAACATTTCGTTGACATGATGCACAGTGAAAGGTTTTCCACACATTTACATTTTAGTTTAAAAGAGCTTTAATTCCGTTATATACTCAGATCAAGGCCAATTTAGCATACATTTCGCTCTCAAAAATCGCTATGTGCAATAATGGATTTCAAAGAAATGTTTGACGTTTTCAATAATCTTTTTTCTTTTTGATGAAATGTAGTTATTTATTCTAAAAATCAATCGATGTCATACACAAAATGCATTTAAGTGGTATAAAGTACAGAAGCAGAGTAAAAATATGTATTTTAGAATATCACCATGTGTTACCCCATTGTAGCGCCTCTTGCCCATGTTTCTATCGATATAAAACATGATATCATACACCAAATATGCATTTATGTCAAATTATGTGGTTTAAAATACAGAAAAATAGATAACATTCTCCTTAGAATACCACCTTGTGTAACCCCACTTTACTGCCTTTTGCCCCTGTTTATTTCAATATAAAAGGTAGCATGTAACCTTCCTTGTAACATGTGTAAAAGTTTCAAGAAAATCAGTAAAGTGGTTTTCCTGGAATCACAATGACAAGATTTATCCAAAAAAACTTCCAAGATGGCCGCCAGAATGCAAGATGGCCACCGAAAGGTTAATTAGCTCTAGAACTTCTTTCCATGTAATATGTGTGAAAATTTGAAGTAAATCCGTTTGGTTTTCCTGAAATCGTGATTACAAGATTTATCTTTAAACTTCCAAGATGGCTGCCAGAATGCAAGATGGCCACCGAAAAAATAATGAGGTCTAGAACTTTTTACCATGTTACATGTGTGAACATTTGAAGTACATCTGTTATGTTGTTTTTGTGGAATCGCGATGACAATATTTATCTGAAAAAAATTCCAAGATGGCCGCCAGAATGCAAGATGGCCGCCGCAAAGTTAATGAGCTCTAGAACTTCTTACCATGTAACATGTGTGAAAATTTGAAGTAAATCTGTCTAATGGTTTACCTGGAATCGTGATGACAAGAAAGTGAGACTTCAGAATGCCACCTTGTCTAACCCCGTTTTGGTGCCTTTTGCCCCTGTTTACATTAATAGAAGAGGTGTTTTCTTTAAGAGGGAAGTCTGTTCTTTCAAACGGTACAATCATTTTATGTGGGAAAGTACCGGACAACAAAACCCCTTTTCTAGAGCCCTTTTGGAAATCAGATCGGGGACTATTACCATCCCTTACAAGATGGTATAATGCTTGGAACATAATCCCTTACAAGATGTTATAGCCAAATGTACTTTAGGACACCATCTCTTACACGATAATAATGTACTTTGGGACATTGTCCCTTACAAGATATTATAATTTACTTTGGGACATTATCCCTTACAAGATGTTATGACGTACTTTGGGACATTATCCCTTACAAGATGTTATAATGTACTTTGGGACATTATCCCTTACAAGATGTTATAATGTACTTTGGGACATAATCCCTTACAATATGTTATAATTTACTTTGGGACATTATCCCTTACAAGATGTTATAATGTACTTTGGGACACCATCCCTTACAAGATATTATAATGTACTTTGGGACATTGTCCCTTACAAGATATTATAATTTACTTTGGGACATTATCCCTTACAAGATGTTATGACGTACTTTGGGACATTATCCCTTACAAGATGTTATAATGTACTTTGGGACATTATCCCTTACAAGATGTTATAATGTACTTTGGGACATAATCCCTTACAATATGTTATAATTTACTTTGGGACATTATCCCTTACAAGATGTTATAATGTACTTTGGGACACCATCCCTTACAAGATATTATAATGTACTTTGGGACATTGTCCCTTACAAGATATTATAATTTACTTTGGGACATTATCCCTTACAAGATGTTATGACGTACTTTGGGACATTATCCCTTACAAGATGTTATAATGTACTTTGGGACACCATCCCTTACAATATATTATAATGTACTTTGGGACATTGTCCCTTACAAGATATTATAATTTGCTTTGGGACATTATCCCTTACAAGATGTTATGACGTACTTTGGGACATTATCCCTTACAAGATGTTATGACGTACTTTGGGACATTATCCCTTACAAGATGTTATAATGTACTTTGGGATATTATCCCTTACAAGATGTTATAATGTACTTTGGGATATTATCCCTTACAATATATTATAATGTACTTTGGGACATTATTCCTTACAATATATTATAATGTACTTTGGGACATTATTCCTTACAATATATTATAATGTACTTTGGGATATTATCCCTTACAAGTTACAAGATATTATAATGTACTTTGGGACATTATCCCTTACAAGATGTTATAATTTACTTTGGGACATAATCCCTTACAAGATGTTATAATGTACTTTGGGACATAATCCCTTACAAGATGTTATAATTTACTTTGGGACATAATCCCTTACAAGATGTTATAATTTACTTTGGGACATTATCCCTTACAAAATGTTATAAAGTTACAAAATGTTCTAAATGGAATATGCAAAGATAACTTCATATTGTCGCCATTAAATGGTTGTCTCCTAAGGCTTTCACTAGTAAAGTACAGCACTGATGTTTATTTTGGTAAAAACAAATGAAATAACAAGTTGGAATGCAGATATAAAATTATGATGAAAATACAGGGAAAGGGAAGTTAAATCATCTGATTAGTTTCTATTTCATTATAGGCAAATAACATTTTGATTGGCCTTGGTTCAATAAGAACAAGGAAGTAGAATTCAGACAACATTGAAGTTAAAATGATCAGCATTGGCTAAATATTGTTGGCAACTTGTATTGAAACAATGGGGAATCCCCATACTTATTTCTATGAAACAGGAATTTCCAACTGTTGTACTTTCATAAGTATACCAAACAAATGCAATATTGCATTATTGGTTACGGTAATCCCATGACATTGCCCATGGGTGTAAAAATGTTGTCGCTTTCTAGAATTCAACTTGCACTAAGTGAACTCATAACAAGGCTTTCACTCTTTGTTGTTTTTTTACTTCAATAGGCAACATGCCATATATCTTGTACTTAGATAGTACACGAGATTCCTTTTCATGGAGTGGATAGACCAAATAGAAAGAGCTGAGTCATAAGCTGAGACAACGCAATTGAGACCTACTGCGGTAGTAGTTATCTTGATGTCTAACTCAATCAATTTCTTGGTTTACCAAACCATTTGTGTCCAACATTGCTCTGTGTGTGTCTTGAACAACTACAGAACAAATGGTCATGCTCAGGGGCATAATCAAATCCTTGCACAGATTGTTACACATTAGTTATTTTACCCTGGCCTTCCGCCTAAGATATTCCTCTTTGAGAGTCCCATGGTATTCTTCAGCATCATTATTCTTAGGAATCAAATCAAATGTTGCACCATAGCTGGGTGAGTTAACATGATTATGACATCCTAGCTTGTACAATTGAAGTCTTGGGTCACCTTCCCTCCCATTGTGCTCACTTGCAAGGTAGAACCCTGAAACATTATGCATATAATGATGACAATGTTTCATAAATCAGTCAAAGATAAATCCATTTGTGTGAAATCTTGTGGATAGCTTTTTCGATACCTAATAATATTTCAAGTTTTAAACAGTCTTCATCTTGATACCCAGAGATGAAAGATCTCCATTAACATATTGATAATTGCTGGCGCCTCAGGGGTGGAGCCCCATTTCAGATGATGTTTTCCCATTATTATACTCATGGTCAGTTGATCAGTTTTTACATCACATTCAAATTATTCTTACCTTTGCTTAAGAATGACTCAAGTGAAATTCCCCCATCACCCGTAGAATGTACCATGAAGAACCTTGGATCATCTCCCTCAATTTTAGATGTGTCCTCCTTCAATGGTTTACCTTTCTGTAAATGAAAAAAACATTCATGGGTCTTTTTGATTTGATTTGAAAACTATACATGTTGTGTTTATTCTGAGTATGCACAAGTTCAAAAATACTGTTTTTTCAAGAGGCCCAATGATGATTTTTGTAAGAATCGCTAGTGACAGATATTGAAGTCAAAAAAAGTAGAAGTAAAATGATTCAAACTTTCTTTGATATGATTAGATTTTTACCTTTGTCATAAGTTCTGCTGTGCAGATTGATGTTGTCTTGTTCTTGGGTTGGACAAAATGATTGTCTGTCGAATTAATCATTATTATGTTAATAGGTTGATTCCTATGTCTGCTTTGTTCTTCTTCATCCATTCCACTAAATATATATCCATGTAGCAGAACTGAAACAAAAAATAAGGGAGATATAAATCCTTCAAATAAATTAAGAGGCTCATCCGGAATGTACTAAAAACCCTTCGACCCTTCGACCCTACGACCTACGACTTACAGGGTGTCAAGAATTTTTGAAATATATTTTTATAAAAACCCTTCGACCTTCTAGATATTTCTCAGTCCATATGAAGTTGCTGGAAATATTACTTTGTGTATAGAACTTAAGAATCTGTCCCAAGAGAGTTAAAGATATTTAAAGCTGGACTTCGATCGGAGCCGGCGATATTTACTCGAGTCTCTAGCCAATACTAATATACGATACAGTGGCCTTAGAAGAAGGTAAGGCGATATGATTTTGGAAAGGTTTCTAAATGAAGAACGTGACGTCACTTCCGAATCATAGCATTCAAAATAAGTAGCTTTTAATTACCTCCACCATTCATAATATTACGGTGGTCCAGCGGTAGAATGCTCGCTTAGCACGCGGGAGGCCCGGGTTCGAATCCCGCATTCGCCTTTTTATTTTTTTAACTAAATGATTGTTCTTTGACATTACGCAGATAATTTTTTTTTATTTACATAAACTTTATATTAGAGCTTGAAAATGTAAAAACAATGTGTGTCAACATATTTACACGTCGCACGAAACTGGGGACAATTAGAGTAACATTATGGCGTCAAAATACCAAAACAATACAATGGCCAGTATAGGGCGCAATCAGCATTATAACGTCAAAAACGACAAGCGTTACATTTTGTCAAGTTTAGTCAACCTAAAAATAAGATGCTTTATTCTTATTCAATCCTGGTGAAATTCACAGAGCAAGAAGATCTCGAGGACAATATTTCTAAAATGTTTTTGATTTTTGAAAAACGGTCAGGGAATCCACTCGGGGCGTTAGTAAAAATTGATATGTATGGTATTTGTGGTAAAAAATCGATGCGTTACATTTTTTCAAGTCTCTAAAAGCAACTCTTATTCTCTTATTATTTGAAAAATAAAGAAATCGGTTATTGTTTTGTAAATTTCGCCATGACAATATTGTGCAGTTAAATTTTTTTTGAAATCAGACCTAAATTAGAAGGTTAAATAAAGGTGAACTTATTGCTTGTCTCCCTCGCCTTCAAAACCTTACACAATTTTGAAAATCTTAAAAGCGTTCATATAAGACGATTTGAACTGTAGCCGCTTGGCAATTGTGACGTCATAAAAGCACATGTTCCAATGAATAAAATATGAAATTTTAGTAAAATTCTGATCAGTATTTCAAAAGTTATCCTGATTTCAACGAACCGTGTAAGCGTGAAATGTTACGCCTTACAGCGTATTTGACGATTTCGGAGTACATTTAACTTAAAAAATATGGTAGATCCCATCACACTTTTCAAGGAAAAATAATTTCAGTGAAATGCGAATAAAAAATACTTCAAAATGATATATAATGCATATAGTTAGCTTTTTAAATAAGGCAGATATTAACGATTAAAGCTGAGATTAGCCCGTATTTCCCGAATTGTCCCCAGGTCCGTGCACGTCATAATTGCGTTTTGGAGCGATGTGCAGGTTTAATGTATTCAAGCACATTCGAATGTGAACGTTTCTTACCTCCTCAGTAAAAATATTTGTGCTTTTCCCATCACATTGTAGCATGCAAGGGTACAAGGAAAATAAACACAAACTCAAGAAAAAGTTTGCAAGCTAGGTCATATCAGGTTCGTATAACCAGCTTTTGCCAATTTAAGTTTTTCAAAAGGATCAAGGGGTGAACATTTGACAATTTTCACGGGCCCAGAAATCTTGAAAATGCTCAGAATCGTGAAAAATTGTACTGGTTTTGAGAGAATATTTGGCCAATGGAGTGGTCCACTTGAACCCACGAATGTCCCCCCCTGAATATATACATTTTAAGGGCATAAAGGTTATTACAAACACATCTATACAACTATATTTATTAGACATAGATATGAAACATTTCAGAACTAGATAACAGCAACGCGAGGTGGAGCAAATCCCATCGAACTTTTGATCTCAAAATCGTTCAACTACTTTTCAAGTTTTAGTAAAAAAGTAAAATTAGACTTTAAAATAGAGGCCACTTTTCAAAATGGCCACCTGGCCAATGTGCCATGCTTATGAGTATCAACATATCAAATGTGAAAAAATAGGTCCACTACTTTTCGAGTTAATATGCAAAATAACACACACTAAGTTAGAAGCCATTTTTCAAAATGGCTGCCTACTTGCCAAAGTGTCATAAGATAGTGTCCCATGCTTATGAGTTTTCACAAATTATATATGCAAAAATCGCTCCATAGCCTATTACTCTTCCCAGTTACAGCAACTTAGAATTTTGACATCAAATTGTCCGCTATTTCCAATTCTGATTGAACGAAATGCGATGGTACCTTCAGACCCTTGTGTTGCCATTTGGAAGTGATTGTGTTTTCTGATTTGCTTAAAATCTTGCAAGCAAAGGGATGCAAAACAAATAAGCTTATTCTCATTGCCTAGTCTAAATTAGTGTGTTTGTTCATTTCCCGCCTGCCGGGCATAGACGATAATCATTCATTTTCAGTTATTCATGTTCTTTCTGGTCAAATATAGAGAAAAGTACTTCTCCATTAATCATGAAAATTATTTCTTAAATTATCGGTGAATTAAGCTTTTTAATGGTGTATAAAACTTAGTGATTGGTCTTATATTTCTAGAGATATCGTAATTTGAAGAGTGTTTTTCAGCGCGATTCTTATATTCCTTCCGCAATTCAGCTGCACTATTCATACCTTTGATTGATAGGCTAGCAGTAGATTATGAATTCTTTGAAGTGACAATGTTTTGACATGTACAAACCTTCCTAATTCATAAATATTCAAATCGTCATAGTTACATTTCCTTTTATGACCAGAGATTCTAGAGTTCTCAAGATTTCTGCTAAGTCTAATAACCATCATATTTGTAATGTGTGTGGGGTTGGTGTTGGTGTTGGTGTAGGGAGGAAAGATTTCGAACGCAATGCGTGACATATACGTAATTCGCGTGAAAAGTCCGAACGAAATGCATACGTTTTTTTCGGCGTTCATATTTTTGCTGTGTAGACGAACTTTTTTAGAAATTTTTCTACTGAAACATTTTTGCTTGACAATTACCAGGTAAAATACGTATTTGCGTGCACAGGGAGCTCAAGTTGGAACTATACGTAATCATTTAGTAAACTGGACTGGGAAATCAGAGGTCGAAGGGTTTTTCAATAAAATATATTCCAAAAATTCTTGACACCCAGTAAGTCGTAGGGTCGAAGGGTCGTAGGTCGAAGGGTTTTTAGTACATTCCGGCTCATCCCAGTATGAGGCGTATACGCATTGTCCTACAACTTGTATTCTCTTTCTTGGCTGATTGAGAAAATATTTTTGTCATATGATTAAATCTGGATTACAATTTATTACATTTATCATATACAATGTACTCACATTTTGAAAGATTTTGCTTGCTCGGCATAGCAAGCTCTAGTTTTCCATTCCTGATGCATAAAAAGCATCCACTTTTACGATGTTTGAGTAAAAAAGGAATGGGACCTTTAATCTCTGTGATCCCAGCGATTGATATTGTCTCCGTCACTACCGAACATCTTTTAGTTATTTCCTCTGTTATCTCTTCCTTGTCATTGTTTATGTCATATTCTGTAATGAAGAACATTGTTGTTTAAGGATTTAAGCCCTGGACTCAGTGCAATGTGGAATGACCATTCCTTGAAGGTGTTGCTATCCAAAATTTGCACGAGATATGAAGCATCAAGTGTTCATTTTAGGAAATAAAACCTGAAAGGAATGGTCATTCCACAATGCATTGAGCTTAAATTCTTTTCACACGTTGCAATATATTATCTAGCATACCATACGAAATCACCAAAAGAACATATTTTCAATGAAACTTTTTCCAAGGGTCAAGTATAGAAAGCATAGATTGCAATCTGTAGAGTCAAGTTGTCACTTTGACAATCACATAAGGAATGACCTTGGATGTGTTGATTGGTTATATAATACACTGCTGTTATATGAATCGGACATACTTGCCTAGCTACTATACTAGTACAAATGTGCATTGAGGCCTGTTTTTTTTTTAAATAACTTCCAACATTTTTGTTCCTCTAGGCCTTTTCTTTGCTGCCACTTTAAATATAACAATTGATCAATAATGTATTTTATTTTGTAATATTGTTGCATTATCAACTATATAATAGATTCTATACAGGTGATATAGATATTACACTTACCTTTAAAAACTTTACTTATAAATGTCCTATAAATTATTTTAAATTCTGGCATGATCACGTTATATTGTAAACAGCAATAGATGTCGATATATTTTTTATTGTTGTTATGAGGTGTATTTTAATCCCACTTGTTCTACAGTGTTATGTTTAAATACTAATCTAGCATGATGTTTCTGTTTTCTATGAGTCATCTGAAAGCAAGGGAATTCCCCATAATAAAGTACACGAATCAGTAAGGCCTTTTTACAAAACAAGAAAATGAATGCACTGTAACATTTGTTTTGATTGGACTGTTACTTATGGATAAGTCCCTTTATTCTTTTGAATTGGCTTTATTTTGAATTAGGAAAACTATTCTTTTCATGATCAGTTGCCATGAATCCCAAGTTTGAGATTTTGTTTGTAACATTCTTATTGTGTGTATGCCCCGCCTCCATCATATCCTTGACATCTTATATGGTAAAAAGGTGTATAGTAGCAAGATTTTGTATAGTACTGGAATTTTGATTTGGTTAAATTTTGTTAATAGAGTCATTTATGAAAGCCTATTGAGATAGAGCATCTCCAGCATTTTTCATCTTGCTTCATCAAGCTTCGGACCTATCCTCGAACGTAGTGATTGAGCGTGGGAACCGACGATGGCATTTTTATGAAGCTAGTAAATGCTCAATTAACTTTCGTATTAATTGTTCTAGTTTCACAAAAGACTGCTCGGAACAACATGACTTTAAGTAACCATAACAACCTTTTAACTATATTTCTGGAAGTTTTATTTTGACATTTTAGTATTGAAATCCAGTCTAGCCTCATACACTGTACACATTAGTATGAGGTTTTAGGATGTCAGTACAGCATGATGAAATTGGGAAAAACATGAATCAATCATCATCATCATCATCATCATTGGTTGCTATAGCTGTTAGGCGATTTGGTGAATCGGAGATTCATTTTCAACAATCAGTGCGTGGAACCACTGATTTTGGAAAACTTGGAATTTATAATGTTGGAATCTATGATATTGGAAATACCTGTTGACTTTTATGTTTATACACTCTGGTATCCCAAGTTCTAATTACCATTGTTGTTGAACAATCACCAAACCACTGACAAAATTCAAGTGTCCCAATTTTCTTCAATATTCATATCTTCTGTTATTCTAATATAAGGTTTCTAAATGACAGTAACTATGGTACAGTAACTACACAGCATATTTAGAAACAATCATTTATTTATTTTTCACAACTTGTATATTTTACAATTCAATACTGTAATTATTGAACACATTGTCTGAGTACAGCTGTGTCTAAATGAATTGATCACTTTTTGCCATATTTGCCTACGGCCTCCGTGGCAGCTGCTATGTATTCTGCGGCGGCAGCATCTTTGGACTGTCCTGGAAAAAAGGACATTTTTGGGAATGAGTATTCAAAACGTAAGCAATTCTGTTGTACACAAGTAAATATTTTTGATAGAATAAAATCATTTTAAAAGGCTGTGTAGAACATATTTTTGTTTTTAAGTATCGGGTAATAAGTTTGAAGAGAGAACATTTCCTCAATTTTACAGTCTCTCTATCACTGCCACTATAATTACAGTTTAAAAATAAATGGGTCTATACCTTTTCGCTTCTCCCAGGCATCCCACTTTGCTCTTCCAATCACGTCAGTTACTCCTGGTTTATCTTTTAAAAGTAAATAGATTGATAAATTAATTAATGAATAAATAAATAAATAGAATAGATTAATGATCAAATAAATAATGTCATTGTATATTTTGTGTATAAATTTGAATAGCTAATGAATGGCAGAAAAATACATTCACTTAGTGACTATAACAATCTGTTGACAGGTTTTACTGTATGTTACAGGTTGTACTGTATGTTGAAGGTTTTTCTGTATGTTACACGTTGTACTGTATGTTGAAGGTTTTTCTGTATGTTACAGGTTGTACTGTATGTTAAAGTTTTTACTGTATTGTGTTCACAATTTCCATATTTTATATAGACCTCTCAGACCACCCCTTCTTTCATTGTATGCAAAAGGGTTATTATGAACTGGGAGGTTTTGGATACAGGGTTTATCTTGCAGCATAAAATTTTATATCTTAGTTTTAAATAATTATTTTAAAAATCCAAATTTTACAAAAATATCCATCCCGCTTCCTAGATACACAACAGTAGTATAGTCCAGGCCCATCAGGATTTGCCAAAAGGGGTTCACTTTTTAAAAAATTGCAGTAGGGTATACCCCCTGGACCCCCCCCCCTGGCTAAGGGCCTGATATTCCTGCAGGTTATGTACCTAGAACCTCAGTATATATGACATACATACCTCTGTTATTATCCCCAGCTGTAGCTTGTTTATAGAGACTGTAATATTTGGCATAGTCATCATTTGAGGGAGTCTTGTCCAGGTTCCTGATGTCATCAGCTGCCTTCTTGAAGTCCTGGAAGAGAAAATATACATGAAATATATATTGGAAATATTTGTTGAGTATATGGAAAATGCACAGACTGAACTAAATATGGGAAGTATACATAAAAATATGAGAAATATAAACAATATACAGTAGAACCTGTATATCTGAACACCTGGCTAATTCGAACACCTCCCAATCTGAACACTTTTTCGGTCCCATTTTTCCTCCCATTGACTCCCATGTTAAAAAACTTGAAATGTGAACACCTCTCAATTTGAACAGTGAACAGTCATATTTGAAAAATTAACCTGTCTAATCTGGACACTTTTCATAAAATTTCACATGTTTCATACAAAATTGCTCAAATATTGTTATGATATCAAAACTTTGGGAAAAAAACTTGAATGGTCTTGATTATAATAGGGCTTTCCAGCATGACTAGATTCATTTGAATCGAATTTTCGAATTTCTGAAATGCCATAAAGCTATGTGGTCAAATGAACTGTAAAATTATGTACCGAGAATGTGTTCACTATGGCATTCGGATTAGACAAGTTTTAATGTACATGAAATATATATAATATGCAACACATGGTTAAGGTCAGCAATCCTAAAATATGAATTGATTGGTGTTTTGATGTTGATTACATGTCTTTGAGCCGTTGTACCACCTGTACTAACACAAAGACAATGATCAGCATGAATTACAGATAAGCCACTTTTTCGTCATTATATAGTACTATTAAATGTTGATTAAGATAAGTGATGCATCCGGTCACGAGACAATTCTTAATAATCTTTGTACCCATACATGTCAAGTTTGTCTGGGATACTAATTTATCAAGTCATATACAAATGAACTCTCCAATATAACAGGTTAAGTTGTCCCCAGGGGTAATTGTCTTCTTTATATATGGCTCTGTATCAATGATTCACACATAGCAAGGCAAGGTGTGTCTGCTTCCAGACAATCCAAACACAGTATTAAGTGCACTGTGTTATATAACCAACTAACCACCCAAGGTCATTTGTTGAATGGTTGTCAAGGTAACAAGTTGACTTTAGATTAAAATTGATGCTTTGCCAACTTATCCTTGCAAAAAGTTTCATTGTTTGTAATGCCCAGACTTGTTGCATTGTGACTAATTTATTCCACTCACAGGCTTTATTTCCTAAACTTCACATGTGATGCTGCACATCTCGTGCAAAGGTTGAAATGACACCATCTTGAGGAATGATTCAGTCCACAATGCACTGAGTCCAGGGCTTAAATCCTTAAATTAACCACTCTTTCCTGCACACACTTAACAACATTTTATATACGTTGTATCCACTTCTAACCCCACGGTGGAGGATGAGATGGACAACTTTGGATAAACAGGTGACTAAGTAGAGTTTAACATGCTAGTATATTCTGAAAAAGTCATGTGTAAAACAAAGTAGTATGCAGCCCCGTAGCCAGGGAAGGAGTTCAGGGGGTTCAAGACCCTCCCCCGAACCTGGCCAAAATTCTTTCAAAATCATGCAGTTTTGCACCACTCTGAGCACTTTTCAAGTGGTTTTGGCCATTTTTTGGTTATAGTTGTCAAAAGTGAAGTTCCCCTGGAATTTTTTAAAAGTGAACTTGGCAAATCCTGACTACAAGGATGGTATGAGTACAACATTTAATGTTATAAGGTTATCATCATTTTGTCTATACTTAGTAATTTAATCAATCAATTAATCATTTTTTTAAATTTATTTTAAGTTTGAGTAAATCAAAGTCCATGTAGTGCTCAAAATAATCTTACAGGGGTTGTTAGTTGTCTCATATATTTTTAAAAGAATTGGAAGAGTTCATTATTCCTATGGTACAATTCCAAGTGCATGGTACAATCATTTTTGCATAAAGGCCAGGGCATAAGTTGAAGGCTGTAGAATGTGAAATCATTGATTACAATGTGCAAATAAAAGTAGACCTCTTCCGCTTAGGCAAAGTCAGATTTTGCAGGGCCTTAAAAAATGGGCCTCTTTGGGCATAATTTGGCCTTATTTTGGGCCAAACTATCAAAAATAGGCTTTAATTTTTCAAAATTTGGGCCCAATTTTTTAGATTTTTTCCAGAATCAAAATTTGCCCCCCCCCCCCCCCCCCTTGTTAATTTCTGGATCCACCACTGGGAAACCTATTCCTTTGGGTTCCCATTCCTTATATGGCAATACATGTAAATAGAATAATTCTGATCCACATTAACCCCAAACTGTTTTTAATTAATTTATAATGATCTGTATGTAACACCAACAATATACAGTAAAACCCTATATACAGTGAACACCTAAGGAGCCACAAGTGCTGAGAAGAGGTGTTCACTAGACACAGGTTTTCCCTAGAGATGGATCTTCATTGTTCACTAGAGAGGGGTGTTCACTAAGACAGGTTTTACTGTACTTTTGAACAACCTGTCTTGTCTATGCAAATATTTAAGCTTGACACATTGCTCATCTAAACAGCATAAATGACAAGTACAAAAATAGAATCTTAATTCACTGATATTTCTCAGTTTCTTTACAATCAATTTTTCCAAGCTTCTTCGATTACAGAAAATAAAGTTTATATTGGTCTATTTATTTAAATTATGAAGAAAAATTTGTAGGAATGACTTAGGATGAGGATTAAGAACAATACTGTGGCATTTGAAAAGCTGTTTCAACTGAACAATGTTTGAATTATAAGTTGATTATTCCAAAGAAAAATATTTCAACAATTTGGGATTTACAATTTTATATAATGAACGTTCATTTAATGACAAATATCTAGTAACTCATACTACTAGTTGATTACTGGTTAGCTTTCAAATATAATTGTTTTTCAAATGTGTTGCAATTTTTACTTTGAATGACATTTGGTTTTTACAGGTTAATTGTTTGCTTTGTGGCATCTGCTTGAATGATCAGATGACTTAAAATTTATTATTTTTGCAAAAATTCATGTTGAAATAAAAGTTTGAAATCCCAAAAGGCAAGAGCGGGTATTATGAAGCACACTATAGGCAGAGGCAGATAAACTCATTTTATTTGTATTTTTTGCATTTTTAGATTATTTGTAAGGTTCTAAACTGCATCTTATTTGGAAGGTTCTAATGCATTTTATTTAAAGGCCTAAAATGTATATTCTGGAGCATTTGCATTTATAAAGTTATTTGTTTGTTTAAGAGTAAAAATAATGTATTGTATGAAAAGTGTAATTAATATAAGATATGACCTTACCGCAGAGTCTGCCATGTTGATAATCAAGTTGCTTGTTCAACTGCAATTTCAATAGTGAGAAGGTTTATCTTTTGACTTTTTGAGACATGGACTTTTAACATCATTATCATTATAATACTTGACAAAGGACACGCACTGAGTGTCTGCATGTGTGCCAATATAAAATGTGTGTGATGCTGATTTTATTTTAACATTTTTATAAAATATGTGTTTGGCATCTATATAGAGTATTAATAACTCTGTTTGAACTACAAACACTGTCCGTTTATCTTCAGTCATACAATCTGAAAATTGCCCCCCCCCCCCCCCTATCTTGTTAGACTCCCTTCTCAACCTTTCAGATTAGTAGACTAAGTAGAATTTTTCGTAGTTCAAGATAAAATTATTCATTTTAAATATTATTCATTTATGTAAGGGATTTTAGTTTACACCAGAAAAACTAAAGTAAGGTTACCCTGGCCTTGAGAGTTCACTTTGACTCCATTAGTTTTTAGTAGACTATATCCTCTAGTCTGAATTTTTTGAAGTTTGGAATGAAAATATTCAGACTATAGCCCACACATGTGAAAATCTGGGATTGAAAATGTTTGAAGTGTCATTCAAAATGACCGATGGAGTAATATAATATTATATGCATATTTGTTACTTCACCTAGCTTTATTTCCATTTGACATGCTGTGCTACTTTTATTGTACCTGCAGTGGCGGATACAGGGGAAGCGCGCGGGACGCCCCCCCCCCCCCTAAAATCCGGCATAGAAAATTAATTTATTCTAATCAATTTGAATAACACTCAGACACTTGCATATTGTATTTATAGTGGGGATTATTCTTTTTATTTTCAGATTGTATGAATTATATATTGAATGTTAAATACTAGAATAGTAACCTTTGATGATGGTGCTCTTTAATTTTATACAAGTATATTTTAATGCTGATGTACGATTTTTGATTTAGCATTATGCAAGTCGTATAATGTTAATGAAATTACTTATTATGTTAGAATCCCTTAAAGAATAGGGAATTTTTAAATATTCGCCAAAGAGAAACTGATGCCTGGTACGTATTCAAGTACGAGAATAATACCAATGGAGATTTGGAAAAAGTACGAAACCGAGAACGTGAAAACTATACAGAGGCGAAGGTGTAAATTCAAAACGCAAATCAATATATCTTAGAACACCAATTTTTTTTACAACAAATGGTAAGGACCCATGCTTCAATGTTGAAACGTTTTTAACATTTTAAATAACGATTTAGCCTCTGATGAAAAATCAACGTACTGCTTGAAAACGATGATCTTTGCCCGGGGATCTTTGACATCGCACTCATTTCCTGATGAAATATATAGATTGTTCTATTTCTAAGACGCTTTTCACTTTGGTAAAACAATTAATTTCAGATAACTATGCAATATTAGCCTTTTAAAATCATTATTGGTATCATTAAACTTTTTTCAGACTTTTTGAATCATGAAAATGGGCATACGTAACAATGTTATTTCAAAAAGTACTCAATGGAATCAGATAATGTGATGTTAACTTACTTAATGCTAACATCACATCGTACAAACGAGGATGGAGATAAAAGTATGGTCAGTCGATTTTATTTTAACAAGTTATCAATTTGCTGGCTTTAAAAAACAGCTGTACAACCGAATGCACTTAGTGACCTCTAACTTGGCGCGGACGTTAGAGTACGATGTAAACAATAACAAATAAACATTGCCAAGTGTATAATAACGATCATTGGAAATATGGCTGATCTGAATTCATGTATAGAAGTGATCCTGGAATCTATGGATTGTAACCCTAGACATGCTATAATAGAGAGTCTTATACTAGACTTCGATGAGGAGATTTTAGATGAAACACGTGAAAAACTATTTACAGTGAGTTGTGAAAAACTGTCAAAAGATTTAAATACGCAATATGGTCCTACGTCAATTAGGGGCCAAGAACAAACGGAGGAAGCCCTATCATTAAAGAGACGGGTTGGCGACAAAAGGCTAACAAGTATATGTAATGATATATTCGAACTGTATGCATATAATTCAGACTTATTTGATAATTTTCCGAGAGGTGTAGTAGGAGCTAAAAGTCATGTCCCCGATGTACATAAACCTGTGAAAAAGACAGAAGATGTTCCAAAGGCAGTTATTCTAGAACATGGTATGAAGATAATAGAACTCTCCCAGAAAATAATCGATCTCACGGATACCATTGAGTCTATGAGAAAAACCCATGCGAAAGATATAAAAATGCTGACTGATAAGATAAATCAACTTACAAAGTCAAACAATAAAACAGAAACTTCGAAGTCCAATGATAAAACAGAAACTCACCAACCCAAGGTGATACATACCGCCTCTACAACACTAAATGATAATAATGCCAACATTACTACCGAGGCTAAATTACCCTCCATTGGTCGAGGCAGAGGAACTTGCCGCTCTCGAAACGTATCTGCACCTGGACAGTGTCGGGAGGCGACCCCTACTCGCCCACCAGTCTCCCAGGGTAACAAGAATAAATCTTTTGAAAATAAAGAAACTCCGCAGCTTATTTCTGTCGTTGGGCATTCAGTGTCCAGTAACACGGATTCGTGGTCTACAATTGTGCGCAAACCGCGACCTGTAAAAACCCCCGCTCCCCAAGCTCAAACTAAACCAATGTCAAGGCCTCTGAGTGGGGTCAAACATGAAAGAGGTGCTACCTTCTACATCGAGAATATCGAGATCTGTGATGGAGAGCAGGATAAAGACATCAAACGACAGGTTATTAGCCAAGCAAAGGCAAATAACATCCGAATCATGCAATGCTATGTCATCCATAACCGAGTATCGGAATATCGGGTTGGTTGCAAAATAGTCGTCCCTCAGTCTGCTGCAGAGATGATCACTCAACCCCATGTATGGCCCGACCCTGTCAGGTGCAGGGAATGGGTCCAACGAGGTCGATATACACGATCTAGGCAACATGACGACCTAGATTATGATGATATTCATCAATCTTCTACCGAATATAGTGCATCCAACTATAGAGAGTGGCATGATAACATGTGCCAAAATGAATATGTTGAATAATATGGCTTCTATATCAAGAACTATGTACATTTTAATCTGTCTGTTACTGATGAACTACACCATAACTAGTGATCCCAAACATGTAAACACTACTCTACGATTCATACAATGGAATTGTCGAGGATTTAACGTGTCGTCATTGTATATAAACTCATTGTTGAATCGCTGTGATATTATGGCCCTATCAGAACATAAATTATATCCCTGTAATCTTGGCAAGCTAGAATCTATTAACACTGAATTCTGCTGTCTCTGTAAGAGTAGCAAGCAACTAAATGAGATTGATTGTGGGAGAAGATGGGGCAATGGTGGAGTTGCTCTTTATTGGAGAACTTCTTTAAATAAGTATGTTACCACTGTAAATAAAATGTGTACTGATAGAATTGTATGTATTAAGCTGTCGATATCAAAGAGTTTGCCTATTTATGTTTTTTCTGTTTATATGCCACAACAAGGGTGTACTACTGATATCTATGATGATGTGCTGAATAAATTAGAAATGTTTGTCCGTGAGGCAAATCTGATTGGTTCAGTTGTAATCCTTGGTGATGTCAATGCAAACTTCGGTCATCTCACTGCAAGTTTTAGAGGCAGTGGTCAACCATCATTAAATGGGATGAAACTATTTGAATTTATGACACGTAATGTTTTAACTGCGATTGACATGGCGAATGACACAACTGGTCCGAATTTCACTTTTCAAATGTCGCGAAATGGTAAACAATATGTCAGTTACATAGACCATATTATTACATCAGCATCACTCGTTAGTAACATAGATAAATGTTATGTCATAGACGATGAGCCAGATAACTCATCTGACCACTTACCAATATACACTGCCATGAGTATCAGTGCAGATGCATGTACGTCAAAAATATCAACTGTCAACTTTACGGGGGGTTTTGCATGGAACAAAATATCTGTGTCTGATATTACAAATACGTACACAAAGTCAGTTGAGCATTGTTCTAATGATATTTTATTAAAACTCCAAGAAGTTCTGTCTACAAGACCTTTAAGTGATAATGAAATTGAACACTTCACTAATACTCTGGCAGGAACGCTGGTCAGTTGCTCGGAATATCATATTCCTAAACGTAAATTTAAACGACATGTTAAGCCCTTTTGGAATCAGAACCTAACTTTGTTAGCTAAGGATAAAAAAGCTAAATGGCATACATGGGTTAACCATGAGGCCCCGTAATAATACAAATACTGTGAGAAAACAATATTTAGATGCTAAAAAGGTTTTTAAAAAGGCCTTCCATGTAGCTCAATTTGAATATGAAAGGCAGGAAATGGAAAAGCTATACCAATCCGAGCAAGCTGACCAGCGTTTCTATTGGTATTTGGTAAATAAGCAACGTAAATCTAGAAAATCTCCTACGAGTCCAGTGCTATCAAATGATGGTGAGTTGATTACAGATCCGGATGGTATTCTTAAACAATGGAAAGATCATTTTGAAAATCTTGCAACCCCAACTGAATCTCCAAAATTTGATAATCCTTTTAAACTAGAAGTGGAAGATAGAATGAAATATCTTATATCAAATATGCATATTGAGGGTGAGCAACTGAGCATTACCACGGATGATGTAATTGATGCTGTTAAAGCACTGCACAGTAAGCGGGCCAGTGGGTATGATTCAATAACTGCTGAGCATTTAAAACATGGTGGTGATATCTTATATCATGGTATTGCTTTACTATATGATTCTATTATCAAAACCGAGTACATTCCACAGAATTTTTGCATAGGCATTATGATCTCAATTGTTAAAGCAGGTAAAGACCCCTTGGTAAAAGATAACTCACGGGGTATTACGCTAATGACTATGTTTAGAAAGCTGTTTGACAACATTGTACTTAAATATGTAAAAACACCGATTTTAAGGTCAATTCCTCTCCTGCAAGGAGCATCTACTGATAAATGCTCATCCGTTCATACTTCATTATTAGTACAGGAGACTATTGCTCATGGTGTTGAACATAACAAAATGGTTGTGGTTACTGTAGCAGACATTAGGAAAGCTTTTGATTCCGTGTGGATTGATGGACTTTTACTTAAATTATACAACTGTGGGATTGTTGGTAGGATCTGGAGAGTACTGTATCAGATGTACAAGAAATATATGTGCTCAGTAATGGTAGCTGGTACGTGTTCAGACCTGTTCCCTATTCTGCAGGGGGTCCATCAAGGTGGGGTGCTCTCCATGATTTTCTATCAGTTATATATGGCTGATCTCATTGTTGAAATGTCTAACCTTGATATTGGTGCTTCTGTAGGTCATATTAATTGTGTAAGTCCAAGCTATGCAGATGATACATGTATAATCTCGAATTCATTTGAAAGTATGCAAATCCTGCTGAACACCTTCAATAGGCATAGCAACAAATGGAGATATAGTATTCACCCTAAAAAATGTTCATATATGGTATTTAATGAAAAAATAGAGCTGGGTGCTCCACAGCGATTAAGAATTGGAGGTGTAAAAATATCAAGATCAGAGTCCTTGACTCACTTGGGAATTCCACTTTCTACAAATAATTGTATCACTAATTATGTAGATGACCGTTGCAACAAAGGCCTGAGGCAGTACTACTGCCAACTAGCAATAGGTAATCGCTGTGGGGGGCTCACTCCAATATCTGCCTCAAACTTATATAAGACATTCTCTATTCCAAGCATGCTATATGCAGCACCTATTATCAATTATCAGAATGGTGATATAATAAAACTAGAAAATACTCAAAGAGACATTGGAAAGCGTATTCAATTTATATCAAAGAACGCAAGCAATCCTCTGTCTTCCACGACATTAGGATGGCTAGATGTCGATTTGTTCATAGATTTTCTAAAGACTGACATTTCTTTGGAGATTATTGAAGTTACCGTTCACAAATATCTATAAAGCAATATGTGTTTACCGCATGTTTTACCTGTTAAATGTAGAAAATCACTGTAACATGTTTTCACCCATAAAAGCAATGCTTCAATGTGCAGATTCATATGGGTTAATAATCGATGTGCGTGATATTCTATATGGCAAATCTTATATTAATAAATGTGCATGGAAAAGGATGATTCTGGCAAAAGTCTCAGATGTTCAACTTCAGAGAACATATACAAAAAGCCTAATGTACAGTGGTCTGAATTTACTCCCGTCGAGAGCTACTTAGATTTTGAAAGTATAGCTCTCTATCGCTAGAATCAACAGCTTAAGAATCGTGACTTCAAAGAAAATTTCAAGGAATTCAGCTGACTCATGTTGCACATTATATACCTGAAAATGTATCCTACATCGCCATCTTTCATTCAGCTCATCTATAGAGCGTCTCACTGCCCTATGTATCGATCAGGACTTCATTTTATTGGTCGTGTCAAAAGTTTTGGCCAGGTATATTCAATATGGCGGCTTGACGTTTCTCAAGTTGCGCATGCGTCGATAGTATTTCCGTTTAACCGCCATATTGGAAATGGGTACCAAACAAAAAACGATTAGAACTCCTGATCGCCATAGAAGCACATCCGCGATCCTACATGCATGGGGAAAGTAGACACATATGAGCCCATATGTAGGCTACAGTTTGAGACAAACAGCAAGCCGTTGACTGGCGCTGATCAAATTTAGATGTCACAATTCTTCAGCTGGGAGATCCTCACGATGGAGAGCTATACTTTCAAAATCTAACATGGTAGCTCTCGACGTGAGTAAGTCTGAATCATTTTCGTAAGTTGAGCTTTAATGCACTTAAACCTAATATATGGTGGTGTGTCGCACAGGAATTTCCAAGAGCCATGGCTTCTTGTATTATAATGTTCAAACTGTTAACTGGTGAACATATGCTTAATTGCAAATATCGTGGAGGAGATAACAAATCTAAATTATGTACAATGTGTGACTCATTTGAGACAGAGACTGTAGAACATTTCTTATTTTATTGTAAATCTGAAAGTTACATACAAGCCAGAGAGCAACTGGCTAATTTCTGTACTGAATTGAAGGTGAGATTTGATTGTGACACAATTCTCGGCATTAATGTTACATGTGATCAACATTCTATGTTAAAGTTGAAAAAGTTTGCAGAATTGGTCAAAATCAATTATAATATCAGAGGTTCGATAATACAGAACACTGTCTAACTGAACATGGACCTTCATCCTCATGATGGAAGTCAATGCTCTGAAACACAAATTCATGTATATATATAATACAAACATTATGTAAATAGGTTGTTCTTTTTCAAATGTTAATTTTATTATACTATATAATTGCATATAAATAATATGTATCTCCTAATTATTTAGGGCAATAAAGCTATACATACATACATACAATTACAAGTATCACACGTTATCATATGTATATTTTGGGATGTTCAGTTTAATCAAGATTTCAGTTAAGAAAAATGGTAGATTTTACCGAAGGTTGATGAAAATATTTTTACCGAAAAACATTAATATGTCTGTCGTTATCTAAGATTGCAAGCTTAAACTATTTTCTAATTCCAAAAATGCTCAGATTGCAACAAAAAGCATTCGAATTTTTGAAATATCCGGGGACCCCCTGTTAGTCATTCTTCGACCCCCTTCGTCATCTACCGGCCACGAATTCAATAATCAAGGCGCCCCCCCCCCCTCCCACCTGAAATCCTGGATCCGCCACTGTACCTAAACTACTTAAAGGTGCTACAAATAGTGCAGGGGGGCCATTCAACGATCATCAACAAGTGTCAAAATATATTTAGGTTTGGATATTTCATCAAGACTAACATATATTTTCATTATCTACAAAGAAACCCTCTGGATGAACATTATTTCAGCTGATATTCCACTTGAAACATGGTGGATCTTAAAAATCTATAAGTGGGACTCCCTTTATAGAAGCTTTGAATTGAATTTACACTTCTTAATGCTGAAATTGATAGTTTATACATACATTTTATGAAAATAGGTATGTCAAAGAAGGTATTAAGCCAAATATTGACCTGATAGCTCAGAAAAAATAAAAAATTTCGAATTTTCTCTCTACAGTCCTTATTGCCCCTTTAATTGAATTATTATAATGTTTATTTTTGGGAAGTGAAGCTTCCTAAAATTGATAATTTTGTGCACAAAATATCTTGTTTTTTCCCGCAGGAGGGAAATGATGATCAGTAGACTGAATTCTCGGGATATTCAGTCTATTAGATATAGACTAAGTTTTTAGTAAAGATGGATTGGCAAGCCATAGTTGTCAATGATAGACCTCTCTAAATAGAAGGCAATAAAGTTACAAAATGTAAACAAACATTTGCACGAAAATAGGTAATTATAATGATTGATTGTGTCATAATTGCTGTGTTTTATTGAATGTCAGCTTAAAGTTTGATTTAAATAGATTTTAAGATTCATTCATTTACAATGTGATTCGAACTTAGGAGAGCTGAAAACCTAGGATGACCATTTTTATAAGGCGTTTTATAAATCGTAGTTCAATTGTGAAATACTAAAGTGAAATGCTGTTTTATGCTCACATTGGCTTATTTTTGAAAACTATACTCAACCTTTTCAACCCCATATAAAAATTTTATAAGTATAGGAAACAACCTCTAGTTTGTGCTCTTGTTATTGGTAATTTTAATGTAGTTCACAATATAATGGGTTGCAGAAATGTCTTTCAATGATGTGATGTGACTTGGAAGGTTTTCTGGAAAGTTACATTCGTGAAATATTGCAAAGTTGTGACAATTTTTCAAAAGTTACTCTAAAAACTTTGATTCATAATTCTGCAAAAATCACTTTTTAATTACTGTATACTGTTCTTTTCCAGGGCTTGCTATGGACGCCTGAGCCACACATCAACTATTCACCCTTAGCCTTATCACTTCTTCATAATGGATTTATTTATGAACAAAGTACTGCTAGATAAAGACAATGAAAAAGTTGACATTGAATCAAGACTTGCCAACAAGGTGGTAGGGTTGTATTTCTCAGCTAGCTGGTGCCCACCTTGTAAACAGTTCACACCGTTGCTATGTAAATTATGTACAGAGCTAGCTCAGCAGAAAGTGGCCACTTTTGAAGTGGTTTTCATAAGCTTTGACAAGAATGAAGCAGAGATGGATTCATACAGAGAGGAGCAGGGAGAATGGCTTGCATTACCTTTTAAAGATCCTTATATTGAGTAAGTGCACTGAAGTATCCTGTATAGTGAGTGTTTTATATTGAGTAAGGGTCCATTATATTGAGTAAGGGTCCATTATATTGAGTAAGTATCTTTATAATGGGAAAGTTTATATTTATTGAGTTAGCTTATAAGTGTAGATCCAGGTTCTTTATCTAGTAAAAATATGTTGTGCTTTATGTGCATCAGGTTTACTGTATATCATACATGTAATTGTGGTCAAACACTGAAAGAAACATTTACAACTACAAGTACTGTTCTACATTATTACGTTTGATGGCACAAATCAATATTCAGTCTATTTAATTCCAGGGAACTGAAAGAAAAGTATAAAGTGACATCTATCCCAAAATTGGTTATAGTAAAGACTAACGGTGATGTGATAACTCACACAGGGAGAAAGGACGTACAGGACCAAGGTGTGAAATGTGTGAAACATTGGACAGATATGGCGTTCATTTCTGAATCGAAGAGTAAAACTATCACAAAAGAACAAAATAAAGAAATAGAGGATACTGTGTAAATTGTGTATCATAATGGTATGTGCTGTGCATCTATGGGTCTGAGAATATGGTATTCCAAGTCCAGTGGGCTTCTTCTAAGGCTAAGCAGCATTTTATGCTAGACCCTTAATTCAGAGACCATTTTCATTCAATAGCTCCTATGAGTTATATGTCATTATCATAGAGATGTGGACTTCATTTGAGGCACCTTTTACTTTTTCAATTTGAAGATCTTTGTGGATATTAAATAATAAATTGTTGAACATAAAATTTCTACCATTTTTTGTGACTAGCATATATTTGTAAATGAAGTGAACAAAATATAATTAAACATTACTTCAAACTTCAATACTTATTATAACTAAATGTAATCCTGATTTACAGCAAGTTTCTGTCCATTTATGTTACTAGATAATAACTCCATTCTGAATGATTTGTTGGATTTATGGCAAATTTTATAATAAGTTTGAACTCACAATGCGTTAGCAGGATTTGACATATTGTCCAGTGAGTGAGCTAGGGAGAAGGGTAAGAAATACCCCTGAATTCATAGATGAATCTATCTTCATATATAGATGAACCTCTAGAATTTCCATCTTTACATTGAGATGGATGTATCTTTTATTCCCGATCAGGTCGGATTTCATAATAAACAATAACATCATTATATGACAATGGTATCACAGATTTAGAAAGGATAAGAATAAAAGGGTCAGAACATATTTAAAGTGTTCAATTCAATTTACAAATTTCAGTTCATCTCTGAATTCTGAGGTATCCACCCCTTTTACTGAGGAGTGTACAAATAATGGACATTGCTCTACTTCATTCAGTTTGGGGAACCCTTATATCAAATATGAATTCTTTACTATCATTTATCAGGCAAGGAAATAAATAAAAAATATAGACAATATACTATTGATAAAGCTTTTATTTTTTGTATATTCATAATAACAGTATACAGCTTTCACATAAACAGAGGTTCTAGTAGAGCTAGCAGTCAAAATAGTTTAACTATATCATCTGTGTTGACAAGAAGCGCAAGGGGGGTGCACGCCAGTAGGCTCGGGACATTTCCACCATATAGGCTTAGAAAATGTCCGTCATAAATCCTTCACTTCTTATCTCAACCAATAATATAATAATAAACCTTTTAACTGTCATTACTATTACTTCTGTATATTTTAGATATGAAAACAAGTATATATATAAATATATAAACAAGATACAAACAACTAAATTTGAATTGAGCATGAATTATGTGTGCTCAAGAAATATGTTTTTTAAGATATAAAATAGTTCTACACAACCACGTGTATATAAAGCACTCGCAGACAACAATTACAGTTTCACCCGTTTGACATTCAGTAAAACTTGACTAAAATGAACACCACTGGGGCCAGCCAAAAATGTTCATATTTGCAGTTGTTCACATTTTGAGTTATTTTTAACATGAGGCGGATTAAAACAGGAAACCAAAAAGTGTTCCCATTGGGAGGTGTTCGGATTAGAGATGTGTTCAGATATACAGGTTTTACTGTAATTTATATGTGGCTTTTCATTAAATTCCATGTTTTACATTTGTAGATGGGTTTTATGTATTTAAATACATACACACATACCGGGTGATATGATCTTTTTACAGTTCTTGATTTTTTAACAATATTTAAATATTACAACAATATTTTGACATACTGTTAAATAGAATTAATAATGTCAATCCCTTGGAGTAGACACTCAATCGTATTGAACAATGAGAGGTAGCACTAAAATAAGTTTTATTTTCCTTGAACTAACAAAGTTAACGATTGTTGGCATTAACAGTGTACTTGATAAACTGTACACCTCGGCAACAAGCCTCAAGTGCATTGTTCACCTTGCAGTCAACTGTACAGTGTACACCTCCAAATTTTTAAAATTATCAATAATCTGGCTTAGCTGACCACCAAGGCCTAACAGTGGGTGATAAAGATATAAAGAACAATGAAAACAATGTAGCATATACAAAAGTGAATTGCCCCAAAAGTGTGGCCCTGATTACATTGAGTTTCCATCTCTGACATAACATAAATGGCACATGATATATCATCTGATATATCCTCTGATATGGCATCATTATAATGATAAAGCAGGACAACTCACAATAGTCTCATGTATAAAGATAATTGAGTTTAAAATACCATGAATGTCTTTACACAGCAGAGAAACTACAAAGGAAACAAGACATCTACATATATTCCATCACTTTTCAAAGTTAATTATTGCAAATAAAACCAATATATTACAACCCTATGTTTTGTGCCAAATTAGAAACATGTGTATAACATAAGGAAAGATGTACACACTCTTATTCTTAGTCGATATGTTTCAGCATTATCATTCTCCATACTACTCTTGTCTTTACTACATTGCTGAGTGTTTGCTTTGGTTGGTTATATCCCAGGGTGACCTCCTGTCCTTGCTTGATTAAATAGTTCAATTGTTCATAATTAGGCTAGTTTGCAAGTTTAAGTTTATGCAACTATCTGAAGTCTGGTCATTCATTCATCTACCAGTATTTGTCAAAGTCCTTTTCAATGGTCTGCAAATTAAAGTAAATTAAGATCAGTGGAGTACATGGATTTGAATCATCATGATCAATCAAAATTAAGATAAACTAGCTATACCAAGTTATATGTGATCTTGAATTTCTTGAAAATGTGCCTACTTGTAGTGAGGAAACTTAGGATACAGCACATGTATGATTTAGAAGCAGTTATAAATATACAAGTTATGGTAGAATTTAAATAACAAAACACTGAACATGTCTTGAATTAATTAGATTAATATGGACATACATGCTTTAATGGTGGTAATAACATAATAATATTTTAGCAGAAAGTATGTTATAAAGACACATATCATAAAGGTATATATTAGAAGGAAGCATTTGCAAGTACAAAAGAAAACATGGCGTAAACACAACAAAATGTTACCATCCAGTAAGTTATTGAAATGGTTACAAGTGTTACAGACACAGGCCCTGTTACCATGTATAAATGCAAGAAATGCAAAATCATATCTGCCATGGTAGTTAGATGAGTGCCAAAAGTGTTACGTGCAATAAGACTTCCAAACAACACAAAAATCCAACGGAAAAATTTTACCAGATAATTGCATCTTGTTTTATCGCTAATTTTTAAAATCTAGAAGATCTCAAAATTCCATTTTTCTTCTCAAATAACTTCACAATTCAAATAACTTCACAGATTTAAATGTAACTCCAGTTGTGCCAAAGTATTTCCTGGTAAATTCTATGGATTATACAAACTTAAGTTTTCTCAAAACCTCCATGCATAACTGAGAGCACGTTAGAATGCCACTGTGCATGTACTTACAAATGGCTCAGTGTTAGGTGCATATCTCTTGACAGGTTTTCCATTTTGATCAACCAAGAATTTGCTGAAGTTCCACTTAATAGCGCTGCAATAAGCAAACACATATAAGCACCTGGGTTATTGTAGCTTGCCCCAAGCCAAGCATACACTATGTTAGTAGAGTCATACACTATATTAGCACTTATTCTAGGAAGGTAGGCACTCCCAATACTTCCAATCATCTATGCGATTTTAATGACCCCACAGGCATCTACTACTCTGTTGTTTTATGCCCCCCCCCCTCCCTCCCTGGTATTAAGGGGTCTCATCTTTCAATAATGAAGAAAACTGATTTTAAATGCTTACTGAAGATAAAAAAGAATTGAGATGATAAGTGAAAATTAGGAATGCCTCCTATCACACACACACAAGTTATCCTGTGATTGAGATTCTCCCAGATCACCAACTCAATGAAGGTGATCACCCACTTAACAGTTGTATACTTACAAATGGCTCGACATTAGGAGCATAGCGATTCACTGGTATGCCTTCTTTGTTTATTAAAAACTTGCTGAAGTTCCACTTTATAAAACTAAAAGATTCAAAACATTTAAATTATACTCAAGTGGCTCTCTTTTTATACATAACCTACCCTGAGTCCTGAATAATGCACATATCAATACATTATACTGTACTCCCAGTTAATTTCGCGAGTTTTACCACATTTGCGAAAAGTGAAAAACTAAATCGCACGCGATAAATACTGAGAGTACAGTATAACAAAATGCTCTAGATAATAGCAGAGAGCACTATAAAATATCACAGGGCCAAAATAATATCAATGGACCCTACATAATATCACAGGGCCCTATAAAATATTGTAGTCCAAAGATAATATCCCAAGGCTTCACCTCATATTACATATTATATGGCCCTATATAAAAGAAAAGCAAACCAATCCAATTTATTTGAAAAAGTACAACGGTATAACCATGGGCTTTCAACTAGAAGGGTAGGCAACTTCCCATATTTCATACATAAACATTGCCATGGGTTTTCAAAATTGGAGAATGTACACATTCCAAGAAAATCCTATTTTGTACTTTTTATTGATGATTAAAAGAAATAACTCAAAAGTAAAAACATGATCTTCTACATACATCTTGATAATTTAATAAAAATTGGAATTCATCATAATTATGACAATACAGAAAGTGAACATTATCCCACAAATTATATTTTTATTGGAATGTGTTCTTGAATAATTACCCACAATGCAATACTCAAAGAGAACATCTTGATAACTCTTATTCTTATTGGTCTCTTTTGTTTACTTTTATATGATATTGAATATATTTTATGCTCAAATCATATTAAAAATTGATTTTTATTCAAAATAATACTAAAGCATATACATTTATCTAATACTTTTTGAAATATTGCCATAAAAGGGAAGCATGTCATTGCTCATTTTGAAGGTCTCATGTTATTACATAGAGTTGCATACCCTTCTAGTTGAAAGCCCATGGTATAACAAAGACATTTGATTCTTAAATGACACTTCTACTCACTATTAAATTAATTTATCAATTTACGAAATGCCTTGTGACCTTATTAAAGAATAGTATTCATATGTTGAAGAATCACCAAATATGGTGACTAAAGCCCTTAAAAGTAATGAAGTCCCATCAATTATTTTAAATTATTGAAAAACTGTTTTAACAAACGACTTACTTTCCAAGAGTTCCTTTCTGCTTTGACTTCAGATAAT